CGGAGCAGATAACCGCGTCGGCGTATGGAAACGTTACGAACGGAACCAGACGACCGGCGCTGCCGAAAATGCGAATCCTTTAGTCTGTGTCATGGCTGGAGAGTTCTGTCCTCCTCCCGTACCGATTTTGAAAAACTTCACCAAGTACCTGGGCGTAAACATGAGCTACACGAACGATCCAATATTCGGTATCAACTCTGAAATCACCTTCGAATGCCTTCCAGGTTGGCGTCCGATCGGAGGTCAGAAGCAGTTACGGTGCGGAACCAGAGTGGATGGAGGGGAGCTAGGTGAGTGGAAGCTCTTTGCAGCTGAGTACTACAATCAAATCCCAGGCGAGTTCCTCGAATGCGATCGCATCCAGAACTGGTGCCCGGACGTTATTCCCGCAATGCAAATCTCAAACGTTTTAAACACCTACTGCACGGACGAAAAAGACCTAGACTCGGTTTGTGTAGTCAAGTGTCTCCCGGGTTACGGTGAGACGGAGACGCAGTATATCTGCGTGAACAACGGGAACGGAACTAGCGGAGAATGGCACGTGCATGTAGGTGGTGTAGTCTTCGACCCGGAGATTTACCCTGACAAAGAAAGTAATTGCAAACCAGAGCCTTTCTGCGGAAACTTGACGCTGTTGGATACGGTTGAAACGAGCACGACGAATCGGATGTTGCTGGACGAGAGCACGTACACCTGTCTGCCGGATCATTTCGTCTATGGGTCTTTGAGTCCCAACATCACACTGCGGTGTGAGGCGTTTAACGACGTCGGGGTGTATTTTAACGTGGAAACACGAGCTCAGGTGACGGAAGTGAAGTGCTACGCAACGCCTGATTGGTGTCCGCCGATACCCGATATAGCCAATGGCTACTACGCCATGCCAAGCTACAGGTACGACAGTGTGGCTTTCCTAAACTGCAACCCTGGGTATCGAGTCACCTTGGGCAATTTCCTTGTTTGTGACCAAGAAACGCGTCAGTGGAAATGGTCGGGGATGAACTTGGCGGACAACTTCACCAATTTGGAGTTTCTGGTAGACTTGTACGACACGGGGCTAGAGGGGGAAGCGACGCGGAAGAAGCAAAAGCAGTCGATGTTGGAGAGGAACTTTTTTTGGAGCGATAGTCATGCAACGACATTTTGCGAATTAGTCGAGGGATTCTGCAATGAGACGGATGTCATGGAAGTTTACACTTTCGAGAAGCAGAAGCGCTTACTACCTTTTGAGCAAGGAGGCTACTCGCTTTCTTACCCTGAAGGGATGACCACGGATGCAAATGGGGTGGATAGGAATTTGACGATGCTAGCGGACAAGAATGCTCTTGGCATGAGGGTGCAATTGAGCTGCAACGAAGAGGAGTACTACTACTATTCCTTCGGAACGCAGTACTTTGAGTGCCAGTTGAGTTCTCTATATGAAGAACCTGAGTCCATGTTCGATGTGGTGAAGTACCCGGACCCGCCTGGGCACATTCCAAGCGGTAACATTTCCATGTATTTTCGTCGCAACACGTCGATGTGGGTGGAGTACGACGATAAGAACTTACTGTCTACTTTATGGCGCACCAGTATCTATTGAATAAGAACCGTTCAAGCCTGTCGAAGTCTGCGCAATGATTGACTTCATACTGACCTAACTCAATCTGAAAGCGATATCCAGCACACGGTCTCTAACTCTCGATACCGCTTGGACGCCCCTCCATTGTCGTAGTGACAGGCCTATGGTTCCGACTTGGAACTTCTTCGATAACGCCTGTTGGCAAGAACATGACGGGTACAACAATCCCCATACTTGGTACGTCAATGTGCCAAACAATCCGCAAACTGGTACTTGGTGTGTGTGGGTCAAGATCGATCAAAGCATGCCCAAGGGGAATATCTGGAAGACTTTTGACGCTTCAAACGAGCTGGCGTGGGAGATGCAGAAACTAGAACACGGAAAATATGAGGTCTACGTGACTGTTGGTGTGGGTCAAATACCTTATTTTTTAGACCAAGCTGGGGAGCCAGTGGATTGGATGGGGAATATCACGGATAGCACGTCATGGCAACATTTGTGCTACATCTGGTATATGCCTGGTAGTTCCGGATTCACAGAGTTTTACATCAACGCGAAAAAGTCGACTACGACAACTGGCGCAGAGCTATTGACGAATTTCGCCTTTCAACATATCGGTGTGCGCATCACTTTAGGCGAGATCGTGACCGCTTGGCAAGCCCCAAGGTTGTACAACTACCGGTTGTCCGAGTCCGAGATTTTCGATCTCTACAAATACGATCCTTTGCGGTGTACAGACCAAGGTGCTTTGCGCACTTGCGGAGACCCATTCACGTCGAACGCACTGATTTCTCAAGTCAGCAACTTGTATCCCCGTTACGAGTTGATGCCACGAGCACAGGATTCCCGTCTGACCTTCGGGTGCATGCGTGGTTTCGAGCGTAGCTCAGGTTACTACAATGTCAACTGTCGATCGACCCGGCAGATAAAGCAGTCGACTGGAATAAGCGCTAGTGCTGTGGCGGTAATGTTGAATACTTCAGAATCTTCAAATTTGACGGGTAATGGAACCAATGCGTCAAGTGGTAGCGGCAGCAACTCGTCGAATGGCACCGCTGGAAATGTTACTAGCAACGTGACAGAACCTCCACCACCGGTTGAGTATGAGTTTATCATGGATTACGAACCCTATCCCACGCCAATCGCCACTCTCGTCGACGACGGTTCCCTCGCTGAATTCGCTCTCGAATCCGATCTCATCTACAATCCCTTCACAGCGCTGACGAATGACGCGAATCCAGAATCGTGGCCTCTGCAGTGTTGTCTCCGCGAAAAGCTGTGCAGAGACTTGCCAGTCGGTCCAAATGTGTACTTTGTGAAAAGTGTAGAGCAACGACGCGACGACCGAGTAGATATTCCTACGAGCTTCTGTGATCCAAATACGACGGATAACGTAGTGGTGGACCATACGGACTACTTCTACGAGGAGGACGTGAGCGGAGGAAGCGTCTTTTTGGGGTGCCCTGATATTAAGGTTGCAAAAACTAAAACTGCGAGTGCTCCTGTACCTCACAATCGAATATGACTAGCTGTTCGATATCTATTTGTTTTAGCATCTTTCCTTAATAGAGAGAAGGCGTGGAAGTACTTGAACATCAACATCAGAGCAAGATTCCGGCTGTTTCAGACCTGATCTAACAAGATACTCCTACTTGCAATAGCGCTAATCTCCTCGTCTTCGATCTGGGTCTCGTTGAGCGTTACACCGATGGCCTGAATTTAGGCTCCACAGCCGCCGTCAGCTGTCAACCAGGCTTCGCACTGACAATCGAGTCTTCAGCCTTGATGAATTGTGGCGAAGATCAGGCGACGTTTAATAGCACTCTGAAACAGTGGCGCATTACAGGGATATGGCGTCGTATTGACGGGCAACCAGCATTGATGCCACCTGTCTGTAAACAAGTGCCGATGTGCGATCGACTTTTAGTGCGAAATGCCGAGAGCATTTTCCCACCTGATGCCCAACAATTAAATGACGCAGTCACGATCACATGCTTGGAAGGTTACAATTATGGCAGCTCTTGTTCTTGTAGTTGTAGTCGATTAGTGTTTAAATCGGTTTCTTACTTGATCTTCACCGTTTCTTATTTGAAGTAGGTGAAGGAGTGCTGCTCTTCTACAAGATTATAGGCACAGAAGATGAAGCTGAATTCTGAGAAGATAGAGATATATTCCTAGCTAGTAGAGCTCTTAATGAAATGAAGAGCCCCTCCTCATCTTCTAACACCAGCTGAATTTTGACCAGGTCGGTTTTCGAAAGGCCGTTTGCGATGAAAGCGGCGGCTTTCGAATCAACGACACCTCACTTTCCCCTCTAGGCCGCGCCGACATCAAATGCGAACCGATTAAACAGTACTGTCCGACCATTCCGAACGATGCGGTGGGGTATTTTAGCGCTGATGACGGGAAATTGATCACGCCAGCAATGATTCTAGCCAATGGTAACATGCCACTATTTGCAACCGAGTCGGACCTGATCATCAATCTTGGCGTAGACAGCGTCTTGGCTTTACCTCCATCACTCGAAGATCAGCTGGATATCAGTGGTGACGGTTCTACGGGAGGTAGTACAGGAGCTGGTTCCGGCAGTGGTGTAGCTGTAGCTGGTGGTAGCAGTAGTGCTGTAGAAGTTGCCGCAAGTAGTAGTGCTGTGACAGGAGATCTTGGTAACAATACAAATGGTAGCAATGCCACTACGACGGATGCCACAGTTACGTCAAATGGTACTACAGCAAATATCACGATGAACGTCACGAATACTACATCCATGAGTACTTCTACCAGTACAACTGGAGTCGTCGACACTTCTGAACCTGCAAGACCAGAAGGGGCGTCTCAAATCGGTGTTTTTCTGCTGGATGACCGCAACGAGATGCATTCTTTGAAGATATTTGACCGATTGACGGGTGCAATTTCACTTAGTACTAGCACTGTCACGCTGTCAGCGAATGCTCTTACCCCGCTGCCTGGCGCCGTTATTGCTACGCCGGCTGAGATCCATAGTGGACTGGCACCATCGCCCTCTTCTGGTAGCGCATCAGCGGGAGGACAGATGAATAGTAGCAATCGTAGCAACAGCTCATTGGGAACAAGTCTGTCTTCTGTTGAGGCGCCTGTGAGGATTCCAGTCCGGGATATAGTGCAAGTATCCATCGACAATAACGACCGAGTCTTAGGGACTAAGCTGACCCTTCGTTGCAATGCCGGTTACGAACGTGTAAGCGGTGACGGTGATGTCGTCTGTTCCCGTGGCCGCTTATGGACAGCCGGTGACCGCGAGGCGAAGCCCTTGATCTGTCGAAGGGAAAAACCTATCTTGGCGACAGTGACTTCACGCATCGACGATAAATGCTTGCGAGGCAGTGCAGCGCATTTAGTCCCGAACACGTCGAACTTGTGTTCGGATTACTTGTTGCAGCCTTTTGGAGCACGACCCGAAGTTCCGAACGTGCCTTATGCGAGTGATACGACGTTGTTGGCGCTAGACGGTACTGTGAAGAATGATGTGAACAAAAAAGGCACGGTTGCTTTCTGGTATAAACTTGGCAACACGCAGGACTTCCAAATGTTGCTGTCGGCAGACGTGCTGCCGAGAGATGCGAGTACGATGTGCGGTGCACGCCAGCCGGCACGCCGTAAAAACTTCTATACCACGAGTACAACGACGACCACGACAACGACCACAACCACGATTTATGGCGTATAGGCTATTGATAATCCATCTCATCAGCCACAAATCTCTCAGAATGCGCAGTGCTCGTGGTTTCAGCTCTCTCCTCACATCTCGGAAACTCGAAGAATAAGTATACTCCACTTCATGGAAATGCCAATAAATTAGAATTACAGTCAGACTCCTGCTCCTCCTCTAACCCACCACCTCGACAACCACAACGACTACGACTACGACGGCAACCACTACGACTATCGACCCCTTCGCAAATCTGACGAATGGAACTACTACTGGACTTCTGTTCGATGACATGGATACAGACGTCGATCCTGCGCTACCCATCGGCGACTGGTCCCTTGTTCTGTATCGTGATGCGAACTGTACTAGCTCGAGCGAGCGTGATGGAACGAGTAATTCGTCGAATACTTCAACATCTTCAGGAGGTGGTAGCAGTAGTAGGACTACCACGTCATCCTCAGGAGCAGTTCTACGGAAACCCTATGCACCCGACTGGAAGATCCAGCTTAACGGCGCTTCCTTTGACGATTGCGTGGCTGTGCCAGCATTGGAAGTCTACAAGGTCGGTTTCGCGAGTATCAGGGTGATCGGCTGTGTCGCGACACAAGTAGAAGTTTTCAATACGAGCAATATTAGTTCTTCCTCGCTCGTTGGAGGCGGATATGGTAGTAGCATGTCCGCTAACTCCACTGACAACATGTCAAACTCAAGCGCGATGGCTGCTTCTGAAGATGGACCACCGCGTGTTTTCGTTCCTGGTCCTACGTACGCTGTATTCCGATTCTATCAAACCAGCAATTGCTCAGGCTATGAGTTCGAGACACCTCCGCTTGTAAGTGAAACGCGAAATAGCACGACTACAGCTTCAGGAGATTCATCGATGGCTGTCGCAAACAGCGGAAACACTGCTTCTTGTGTCTCCAGCGGGTTCCTAGATTGGTCTGCTCAGATTGAGTGCCGACCTTACAGTCGAACCAGCTACCCTGCGCCTATGAAACAAATTGCGAGCATGCAGGCTAGACCATGGCTGGCCACTATTTATTCACCTGAAGCAAAGGTTTTGTCGACTGCGACTTCATCTAGCGCATTATCCAGTGGAACTACAGACGAAGTAGTAGAGTTTTCATCTCCTCAATGCTCTGAAAACCGAGCCATCGTCAATTATGCTGGGATGCATGAGGACCACTGCGTGTCTTTACCTGCCGAGCATAGAAGTTTATACTTCGAATCACGCTGGCCACTAGGACACGATGTAGTGCGCAGTATGCAGCCAACCAGATGCACTTCTAGCGGTCGTGAAAACCCAACTCAGATGATCGATTTCTTGTTCTACAGTGAGGAAGGCTGCGGAGGATACCAGATCGTTGATGACAACACGACAGCGTTTGTGACAGCAGCGGCTTTGGCTGGCAATGCTAGTTTTCATGCACAGATGCCGACAACTTCGGTGCGTGAAAACATGTGCGGACCATTGGCAGAATTGCGTTACAACATCACTGCACCTAGTAGCACAAGCAGGTTTGGAGGACCTTCTTACAATTCGACCATTTATTGGAATGCTAGATGTTCTTCAGAACGAGATCTTCCACCTACAGCTCAAGAAGACACCAGCACTCCTCCTCTCGTGTCAGATGCTGATGAGGTTGGTGAGAGTGGTCTTTCTCTGGCAGCGAGTTCTGGCCTGATAACTAGTGCCACGAAGCCATTGCCGTTTCAGATTTCGTTATTCGATGGATCTAGTTGCCATGCCGATGCACCTGGAGTCGTTGCGTTACCACCCATTACCGGCTATGGTCTCAATCAGTGCATCCGTACACCACCTGAGGTCGCGAGTCGCACAGGTGTCGCAGCTCTGAGACTCGAAAACTGTGCAAACAGCGGTTGGTTTCAACTAACAAGCAACATGGAGATCCTGGATCTCCTGAGTGTGCCACATTTAGCTTCCGGGACAAACGAACGTGGTGAATTTCGACTATACGAAGATGCCGCTTGCGAACAAAATTCTACCTTGCTGGCAGATTGGAGACAAGAGAATGGACACGAAGCAAACAGCTCCCTAATCATGCCTGCGAGCAATCTTGCGGTGTTGCATGACGAGGAGCATGTTGGTCAGATTTCCTTTGTGCGTGAGGCAGATCAGTCTAGCTCTTTTGGGGCGATGAAGGAGGAGATCAGTGTATCGAGATATATTCCAGAACCCCTGTGTGAACCGTTTCCGGTTCTGGGCAATGGCACATCAAACAGTTCTAGCGGAATCCGTGCTCACATGCGTTGTACTAGCACTCTGACAACATCAGAGGGGTCGTCGTCCTCGTTCTTGCTGGAGACTGGAGATGATGTTCAGGAACTAAACACCCGTGCGAAGCAGGAAGATCCAGGGGCAACTGGGGTAGCTGACCTGTATTTTGACGCAGGTGAATGGATGTACGACGTCTTCCTGGATGCCGACTGTGCACAGCCAGTTTCGGTGTTTATCCCAGGACCATCTCAGCCGAGCTCTTCGGGAGTAGCGAATGAGACAACTAATGCCCCCTCTACACTTACGACGTCATCTTCAAGCGCTCAAGCAACTAGTGGCAACACTACCGATGCTAATGGTACGAATGGGACAGACGGCAATGGAACGAATGCGAGTTCTGGCGTGACGTCCTCCACTACTAGCACTGGTGCGGGTGGAAGCAATGCCACCAGTAATGCCACTAGCACCTCTCCATCGGCGGTTGGAGCTACTAGTGGAACCTACATGAGATTCAATAGCTCAGGGGAGATTGGTTCATGCAGCAACAGCACTGATGCTTGTGTATGGTCCTCGCTGCATCGCCATCCGACAGGACAACCGTGCCGCAAATATCTCCCCTATTGCGGTGTCCCTGGAGCGAAAGTTCGGTGGCATTCGGTCTGGTCGCAGTTACCTTCACATGCGTTGTCTAGGCAGGAGCATTACACCAGCATCTTCGCTGACAGTGGGAATTCCAATTCATGGTGCAAGAACTACCAGTCAAATAGTATCCAGCCAGTCTTTCAACTCGCAACGGTAGGGCGTTGCGAGAGACTAGGAAACACAGGCTACTATCAAAGACTAGATTGCACTGGGCGACCTGGACCAGGACCCACGAACGCGACAGCGGATGACGACTCTACGAATCTGACTTCACTTTTGACAGGTGACAACACTACGAATGGAACTGCGAATGGGACGAACGACACCACAACGACAGACTCAGGGCCTCTCGCAACTAGTACGACCACAACAACGACAACCTTGCCAACAAGTCGTACTGTTTTCAACTACTACGACTACGACGATCGTTTCCTCTACCACGATGGCTACTGCATCTCCCCGTTCTCGGTGTTTATTCACCGAGGCAGATTGTTTGTTCGCAATTTTCTGAATGTGCCTTCCTGGCACGACACTTACAACAACGCGTCGCGCTTCGTGGAGCAGGTGAACTCATCCAGACTCGGATCAGTCGTCCGCCGCAACGTTGTAGTTCCATCATCTGAAAAACTAGCCTTATACCAGTCTCAAATAGCCGCACGTGATGCAGCTGCTGGTGCCTCTGGTCAAAATAGTTCTAATACATCCAACGACACTAGTGTGTCGACAGACGCCGAGCAAACATCTCTGGTGATGAATCCATTCTACTTGCATGACCCACAACTAGAGAAGAACGACCCAACGTTGAGCTACGACGAATTTGAAGCTCAAATTCTAGATTCTACATCCTTGGGGATTGACAACGAGGAGTATCAGCACACACTGTTTTTCGATGCCATCCAGGAGGACCGGATGCACCAACAGTTGGTGGATAGGTTGGGCCGTTTGAACGTGCGTGGCTTTCAGCAGTTCTCGCATCTAGACTACAAGAGTGCTCTGCATTTCAATGACAGTCTGTTGCCTCCTCCGGATGTAGGGCAAACTAGTTCCGCAGCTAGTCCGGGTAGCATGGGAGTCAACTACGCGACGAATAACTCGAATGGTACTTCTACATCATCTTCAACAAGTAGCACAACTGGCGCGCAATCCAGCAGTGGCGGTCTGGTGACCAGACCTGCACCCGGTTCTGTCGAGGCGTTGTTTGAAAGGCCGTTCCGTCCTGGCGATAGCGGGTTTTACTTCTACACTCCAGCAACGTTGGAGTTTGACCACATGGGGCTACCGCAAGGTCAAGAGCTCGAGATCATCAGTCGAGACCACATGAGCCCTGCGCGAGAAGGGATTACTACTTTCGTTGATGCCTTAACGCTCTTGGATGAGGCGGATTTTCTCCGGTCTTCGACACCTGAAGTTCTACCTCACAACGTCGATTTCAACTTGGATCCGTGGATGTCAGCTAGGAACTTGTCGGACGTGACACAACTCCACATCGCCTACACGTGGGACGTGCAACGTCGCGCAGCTGCGTTCTACATCAACGCGGAACAGGTGTTTGAAGTTGCGGTAGAGGATCCTTTGTTTGAGAACAGCTTGCGAGTTGGCAGTAGCAGTACTGGAGAGCAGAGCACTTCTGATTTAATGCAAGACACAGGTTTGTTCTTGGGTGACTACCATGGATCGACCTCGGATCCTAGCTTGCGGCCGCCTGTGTTGATGCTAGGGAGAGAAGACCTGCCTTGGTACGACCCGCGACCGTTCCATTACCCGACTTCGACTACGGAGCCTGAATTTTCGCGCGTGCGCTACTTTGACCAGCCGTTGCTAGAATTTAATGATACTCTGACAGTCAACGCCGCTGAACAGAACAGTCGAGCCGCCACGCCGGTGGGGGTCTTCAATCCTGAGTTAGCGCAGCTTTACCGCGACGAGTCGCCGCAGGGATGCGAGACTCTAGCTGAAGCCTGCAAAATGAACCTTCCGGGATTTGCACCTGAAGGCCCATTTGACGTCCAGAAACTACTTGAATCGCACAACGTTTTCGTCGAACAGGGTCATGAAATGGGGAGTAGAAGCAACAGTACAACACCTAGCACAACTGCTACTTCGGTTATGATCGACTACAATGCAGATAGCGATGCAGATTCATCGAGCGCAGGAATCCGTCCATTGACTGCGCCAGATGCGCAAATGGCGATGCGCTGCTCTGCAGGGTATTTGCCGAGTAGAAACACTGGCCACGTCTTTGGCCAGCAGAGAGCAGAGATATTACAGATGCATCGTTGGTATAGCTCATTGTCCGAGGCGGATCAGGGGACATTTATAGAGAATCGAACCTTCTCTTCGCCAGAAGCACTAGACACGTTCCCGATCAACGGCAGTTTCTTCCCCAGAACCGACTTCCAATGCGCGAAAAATCCTGAATTCGAGTACAGCAGCCAGCGGTTAGGTCCAAACTTCGTCTCTCTCTTGCACAACGAGATGTCGATCGATGCGAACAGTGAGAATTTCACGACCAACATGGGGAGCGACATCTGGATATCTGAACCTCAATTCTTAAGGCTCAAGTAGTAATTCACATGTTATCACCAAAGGAACAAAGCTTGTTGTTTTCTCAATTTCCAAGGAGGATCTTGAGAAAATGAACGCAGGAGCTGGATCCTTGTGAGCTCTAAAATAGCGTTTTCTCAACCTCGACGAAAGGTTCCAGAATTTCAGCTACAACTACATGCAGCAGAGCACAGTGGCAGAATTACGCAATGTCACAGTGCGGTACAACGTTTCCTCGACGAGCGGCGTTGTCGAGCAAGTCGAGCAATTAGAAGAGCGCATGGTCGACGTTCCACTGGAGATGGAAGTGACTTCTACGAGGTTACTCGAAGACAACTTCTTGAGCGAGGTGTCTCCGAACACCAACGGGCTATTGTTAACTTGCTGCGACACTATTCCGGATTACTGTCCGCCGATTGGGCAGATTGAGGATGCCAGTCCTACACCGAATCGTATTCTGCTGACAAGTTCGGTGTATCCCGAATACAGCTACACACCAGCGAAGCGGGTTCTGGTCCGGAATCCAGGCAAAAAAGTCGAAAAGTACGTCGAACAGAGCATCATTCCGGAGTTGAACTTTGACCCGGTGACCGGAGAACCTCACGGAACAGCGTCGAACGGAGCCGCGGTCCAGTCTGGGACCACTTTGTCCTCCACACTTTTCGACTCAAACTCCACACTTTTGCATGTCCAGGACGGTTCGCAGGATCGATTTGAGCTAGCGCAGTTGGGGAGTTGTGCTATGAGCCTGAAGAGCTCTCCTAACGGTGCCTACGCGAGATCGGTTGGCTCACGGGTCGGCGTTACTTGTCCACCTGGTGCCACAATCCGGAACGACGAGTATCTGTGTACCGCTTCAGCGGTCGGGCTGCCACAGTGGGTGCTGAAGTCCAGTGGCCTCAGTTCTCCTTTGCGCTGTATCGAGAGCGAGCAATGGTGCCCATTGCCAACCTTGATCGGAGCAAGGATCGTTTCTATCACTGATGGAGAGAAGTTCGGCTCGAAATTGACTGTGACGTGCTTCCAGAACTACGCTCCGGTCAGTGGCGTACCAGAAACTGTGTGTGGCGCGAATCGATACTTTAAGGGCGGTTCTTACATTCAACCATTTACTTTCTAGTTGATTTGATGTGTTTCTGTGTGGATTGTGTGATGCCAAGTTCCAAGTTTTTCTTTTAGTTTCCAGGGGATATTGTGATTTGATAATTTGTTTTTTTCTCAAAAAGTATTCATCTCATCAATTTCCTTTGTTCCAATAGGAAGGATAAAAGGGTCTATAAGAACAATTTTCCTGAGAGAGAGAAAGAGACTGCCATAAGGATGACATAAAAAAGAACAACAAGATGAAGTTAACAGAATCCCCAAAATCTCTTCTAACTAACGGGTTGAGCAGAGTCAGCAATTGAACAGCAGTGTCGTATCCAATATGGATGTGATGCAGTGTGTGCAGGTTGTGCAGACAGTCCAACGCAGCTATGATCCTGCCGACCTACCGGAACGACTTAATGGCACATTGAGCATCAGGTGTCAGCCAGGCTACGTCTTCCGAAGTGGGCATCCGGAGGCATTCTGCGATGCGACAGGGGAATGGTACTCGGGAGTGGGGAATTTATGATTTCGACGGAGAACGTGTCGTGATCTCGTAAAACTGGTAATTCGACAATCGATTAGTTCGTAGTAGAGCTCGAACGTGTGATCTCGTAACTGGTAATTCGACAATCGATTAGTTCGTAGTAGAGCTCTTTTCTCCTCTTGTTTCTTTTAGAGGACTGGACTACGACGATATTCACGAACGAACTACTACATCACCATGCTTGATGCATTTCTCCTTTGTCTCCGCTTTCATATGAAAAAAAGACGAAGTTGGTGCAACCGCAGTGCGAATTGGACGCGGATTTCTGTCCAGAACCTAGAGGCGTCCATGCTTACATCAAACGATACTACGACTCTCCGAACAACGCTAGGGGGTTGGATACGAAGGTGGAATTGGGATGTGACGCTGGTTACGTCAACAAATACGGTGACGCGGATATCATCTGCAACATGAACCTCGTTGGAACCGAAGGTCTTTGGTACAGTATCGCTTATCAGCAGGTGGCGGCGAAGTTGATTTGCGAGATTGACCTTAGGGAAGAGAGGTGAATTAACACTACAACTAGAGTATAAATCTCAATTAGTGAGGAGTCGAAATAGAATATTTAGATCCTTATTTTGATGATGTTCTGACTCAAGTCGAACCAGAAGGTGCGTTTGTTACCAACTATGAAGCGTAGAACTTCATATCCTTACCAACCTATGCGTATCAAATACACGAAAGCATTTTTTAGTACTTTTTTGCACAATTCCACGGCCGTCCTCTGGACACACTGTTGGAACTGTTTCATCCAGCCGGTAGGCTTGAAGGACTACTTGGGATCTGCGGCATTTCGCTTACGCCAGCTGCCAATGACAGACACTGCTTCTATTTTTAGTACGTTTTTGCTAGGCTTAAAGGACTACTCGGGATGTGAATGAATGAATGAATGAATGTGTTTCTTCCTCCTTCATTCCCTTCGAGTTCTGTCCCGCGATTCCTGTCGATTCGAGTTATGTTATTGAACGCGACGATGGACGCTTCTTAGGTGCTTTGTACCGTAGAAGTTGCGCTGAGGGTTTCGTGAAGTATGCTGGGGACGACGAAGTAGTCTGTGGTAACGAAGGCATCTGGAAAACCAGAACGGGAACGGGCACCAACTTGCGAAATGCGCAGATTCTGACTTGTGTCGCAATAGAGCAGTACTGTCCGTTGCCGATCTTGTCGCATGGAAGCACTGCTAATAGAGTGCAGAAGCTGGGCGATAAGGCGCTGGTGCAATGTCTTCCTGCCTTTGACAGACTACCAACTCCACAGCGGATGCTGCGGTGCGTCCATTACGCTGGCAACGCGACTTTCACGACGAGGACTGGGACTGGAGACTATCAGGTAGAAACTTGAGATCGTTGAGTAGATGCTCTAAGGGTACGTAGAGATCGTTCTTGAGTAAATGCTTCTAATATTGTTGCCTGCAGTTATTTTTAGGCACTTTCTGAATTTGAAAATTATATCGTCCAATGACAAATCCAATCTCACAGATCTCAGCCTTGGGGCAGGCATTTGCCTATGACGGGTATTGGGTTGTCGATACGACGAATGGGTCGCTGCCTATCTACGGTCCGCATTTCGCATGCACCGCCATAGGCGACTTCTGTGTAGCACCGGCTGCGTCAACTCTGGTCTACAGTCTCATGACCGGGAATTCTCTCAACCCTATGGGAGCCGGCATTCAGTTTCGCTGTTTGACGGGGTATTGACTAGACTTCTAGTATCAGGAATAGTCTGTTCTACTGCTAGACTGCACTATTGCTTAAGAGATTCTTGGCCTACGTCGACTTCACGTTAACTACCAGCATTTCTGGATCTGCGCTACCACTTGCAGAGGGTTATCCCTATCATCATCTGTCATCAATGATCGACGCTCGCACTCTCAGGTACCTACCATCGTTCGGTTCTTCCGAGTTGTTCTGCGGTATTTCGCTTACGCCAGCTGGTCAATATGGAGGCATTTGGATTCAGGCAGACGGCATTCCAGGCATCCCTCTGGCTTGCAGCGGGTCTAAAGAAGTCTGCCCAGACGTGGGGACGATTACGGCGAATAGTCAAGGGTATACTTGTAGAATTTGATTATAAAATTTGTGATGTTCTTTGTGAATGAAGGCCTTGGTCGTTGGTTGTAGACGGATGTAGGCGTATGACTGATTTTTTAGTCATCTTCAACCACAATGCGCAGGAGTTGAGGATCATCAAACATGACACTCTCCCAAAACGCACCGAAAAGCTCTACCCTTATCTTCCTCTCTCCCACACACAACAGTTACTATTTGAAGCCCTTGGATCGATCTCTGAATTCTCGTGCGTATCTCCGCTGCAAGATGGGTTACGATTTATCGAGGGCTTACACTCCAACTCGTGCTTTCGCAAAGCATAGGATGGTGTACCAGTGCTGTGTGTTACTCGATAACAGCGGCAATGAGTTCGGTTTTTGGTCCAACGTAGTGGGCCTACTGAATAGTTGCCCGACTACTTTGGCTGGTAATGTTTACATTTTTTTGTGCTGTAAATTATACGAAAATTATCCAATCATCTTCCTACCCTATCTACCCTATAAAGCATCCTCCAGGTGTCCCCAACCGCGACAGTTGCGAGCTAATCGAGGACTTCTGTCCTGCGCCAGACATCGATCCGAACATGGAAGACCTCAGCAGCCGCAACTTGTTGACCTACTTCGATGCCAGTTTGAGGTTCACCTATGGAAGCACCTTGAGCCTCTCTTGCCCTGAAAAAAAAGAACTGGTTCACGGCGACGCACAACTAGTCTGCACTGCCCAAGACGACAACAGTTTGCCAGGGAAGTGGAGGCGGTGGGTCAATACGGATTACACTCCACCTGCAAGCAGCTTCGATTAAGGCTTCGTCTAATCCGTAACTTGTGCAATAGACATCTTCTGCAGAAGTTTATATGATGGATGCCTGCAGATGAGGCACTTTACAGTTAGATTGTGCAATAGTACATGATGGATGCCTGCAGATCAGGCACTTTACAGTAGTTAGAAGATCAATAGTACATGATGGATGCCTGCAGATCAGGCACTTTACAGTTAGAAGATCAATAGTACATGATGGATGCCTGCAGATGAGGGACTTTACAGTTAGAAGATCAATAGTACATGATGGATGCCTGCAGATCAGGCACTTTACAGTTAGAAGATCTTGACATCTTCCAGCACTGTTCTCTTTGCTTCGAGGCTTATTTTTGGAGCTGTCTTACCATTGAGAGGAGAAGAACAGCTCCAAGAGGAGGAGCTCCAAGAAGATGGAGTCGTATTGAGAACATCTAAGGAGGTCAGAATTTTACCGCGACCGAAGACGGCATGGGCGTGCGATCTGTGCGATCAAATTTCGTGCCAGTGGCTTGCGCTTTCGAACGGCAGTACGGCATCAAACTGAGGGCGACGTACAAAAGCGAACTCACTGCACGTAGAGACGCGCCAGGGACAGAGGCGGTGGACAGTGTGCGATACCAAATTTCTCAGGAGAGCTCTGACTACGACGAGGAAGCCTTTTCAGGCCACATCTTGGCGCCAGAGACTGTTATGGCTTGCAATTTTCCATCTTCGAACGGGTGCGCCCTTTGCCCTTTGCCCTTCAGGGAGAGCAAAAGGCCACAAAGGTTACTAAGTAGACAGAAAGATGGGATGAATGAGAATGTGCTGCAGCTTCTAATACTGGTATCTACACTTTCAAACTGGAACTGTTTGGGAGAGCCAGAGTGTTTTTGGAGAGGGCACTTTTGATGAGTGTGGCATCAAGTTCTCGTGCGACGGATACGAGTACGACGAAACTGTTCGAGAGTTTCGTCTCGCGACCAGTCTATTTGGAAAAGGGCGAGCTCTATTCGTTGAGCGTACAATACGAATACTACGTGACGGCAATAGACGGGGCCCCACGACAGCCGTACTCTTAAGGCTACTGCAGTTGCATCCTCAATATTATCATGCCTGAACAATCCTTTTTCAAGCAGGAAACAAGAGCACACGGATCGATCCGTTCAACAAGGATGCGACCGTGGAGGTGGCTCTAAGTCTCAAATAGATTCGCTGTATTGCGGTTGAAGTGGAAAACGCCAGTCGACACCGCGGACACACCGTGGAAGATAGTGCCGCCAGCCAGCTTATACCACTCCGCAAGTCCATTACCAGACTACCCCTTGCGCGTGACCGTGTTGAACGATCCAGTGCCGTGTTTGTTAAGACTGAGAATTGGTACTCCAGAGAATCTTTTTTTTGGAGTTCTAATGTTGAATTTTTTTTTTTTGTGTTCAATTCTTATGTCGAATGGCGATCTAGATCTAATGGCTAGGGGTCATTTTAGGCCCAACCATTGCGAGCGAACCGTTCATCTAGAAGCTACATGATTGTCTCCACGACCCCACCTCTTTTCTAATCCGCCCTGCACCATTGATCACCCGACATCGACACCTTCAACCGCTCCGCTTTGATGCGACCACGAACACGACGATCGGCTACGAGACCTTTAGTTAAGGCGCATATTGATTCATCTTCACATGGTCGCTTTCTCAGCAGTTTCCTTCTCGGATTCTGAGAGTACTATGTCCTTATAAGCTAAGAGATGATGAGTCATACTGAGCGCTAATTTATTGGCATTCTGTCCCACACGCAAGGGACTGATCCATACCAGAGGTACAACCCCAACGCCGCTTGCTACATTGAATTGACGACGTTGGAGACGCGGCAATACAAGTTCAAATTCCAGCTAGACTGGATGGACATCGAATACTCGGATGGATGCGTCTTTGATTATGAGGGGATCTTTTACAAGAAGGCTCCGTAAATTTTTCACGACGCTGCCTGCTTTGGAACATGTGATGGTATCACTCACTTTATCCTACTACTCAAGTTCAAAAATCAGGGACTTGTTCTACGGACAACTTTCTAAAGACATACTCTACTTCTACGTGTTTTTTCCCTTCTTCTTGATTGAGGTTCACCTATGCAAGCACCTTGAGCCTCTCTTGGACCGTTAGAAAGAAAAATTCCTCTAACGATCCATGGTGAAGATTTGGCGTGGCGTGTGGCGAGGCACGGGGTCGCCGAGACAGCTTCTGTGTGGCGAGAACAGGCGTGACGAGTTACTGTTCGAGGAGGATGGCAATGCTTACTTCATCGAATTCTACACGAATGATGCCTACGAATCGCAGGGTTTCCAGATCAACTACACCGTGATGGAGAGGGATGTAACGAACATATTCCGATAGGGTGCTCGTGGAGGAGAGGTGCCATAATATTCAACCGAAGAGACCATGATGTCGTAGGTAGATATAGTATCGCCTAGCCTCCGTAGACAGGACTGTCGTGGAAATCAAGTATATTACAACTTTCACTTTGCATATTGCCTTGGAGATCATTGTAAAAACCAATCACAGCTGTTGAAGTTCTTGTATATTCCTCTTTTGGATAATGGATATTCACCTGTGCAAAAGCTCCAAATCGAAGTCAATGCGTACTAGTATGTTCATGAAGGAAGAGCGGCTACCTAGAAAGATCGATCTGGGGCCGCCCTCTAATATAGTACTATAAATAATAGTATGTTGATTAATTTTTGGTGGAGAGTCTATCACCGGCGGCAGTAATATGTGGCACATCATGGTGTCATCGGAAGAACAGACATGCTGTCAGAAATTCTGTATTCCTAACTCGATACTCAGCACTAGATGCTCAGTATATTTAAGTAGTATGTCATAGATTTTAGTCATCAGCGGTGCTTCCTAGAAGTGTTGAACAGGATATTATTGTGGCACCAAGCTGGCTCCTTTTTGCATAGGTAAATTGATTACTTCACTGTATCTTGTAAAAACTGTTGTAGATACCTTCAGATACGAGTATGTCAGCGAGAAGCTGTACTGAAAAAATATACAACAAGTAATTTTGTCAGGCCGGCGACTGAATAAATTTCATTAATATCTAGGCGAACAAGCAGGACGCACAAAATGAGATGAATCAATGCTCGAACAAGCAGGACGCGCAAAATGAGATGAATCAATACAGGAAAATGTCAGCACACCAAATAATTTCACTGATGTGTTGTACGAGTACGTGAGTGTGTCCGGGAGACCGTCACTGATACATATCTACCTTAGTGTGTGTCCGTGACTGACCGTGTCAGAAAGAGTTCTTCTTGGACCAAAGATCAATCATTCTATTTCTTCTATTCGCATTTTTTGATGAACTGACATCAGAGAAATTAAATCTACCACTATCTAACACTATAATTACTTAGAGGAAGTGATACTGTAGTAAGTTTTAGTGTGATTGATACAGACAAAAATTAGAGTGTAGGACACGCCGTTCGGCAAAATTAGCTGACAGTCACGATAGGGTTCCTATCCTAGCCTGCCATAGGTGCATTTTGGCGTTGAAAAACAAACCAGCAAAAACATTTACCTACCAACTCATCTGTTATACTGACTGTACTTATCCTGATGAAAAAAAGGTGGTTGTCTCGGTATTAACCCCATCTGGGAGCGCCTCTTGCCTATACGCTCACCCCTTCACAGGTGAGCCAACTCCTATCCTATGGAGACGGAGATAGTGAGTCATCCCAGGATGAAGCGGATTCATTCTTCGTGCTTTAGAAGAATTTATTGTCCTCGTGTAGTGAGGACGTAATCTGTTGACTTGCTATAATTGCTGTTGAGTCACCAGGTGAACTGTGGACGGTGAATCAAATCCTATCCTATCCTAACGTCTGTCTAGAAGAGGAGCGTGTCGAAAAGCCGAAGGATTCAACTTCTGTACTAGGAGAGCATATTGGATTCAACTACTGTTCTGATCTCTATTTGAGAGCATATTGGATTGGTGTGGAGGATCCCTGTATAGCGTGGAGAGTCACCTGTAGCTGCTTTTATAAAGATTTAACCATTGCCATTCCCCCCAATCCACCTCCAGTCTGCGGATTTCATACTCCAAGGCTTAGATCTTGAAAAAAAAGATAAAGACAAAGAAAGACATTTAAGGTTAAGGATAAAGAAAGACATTTAAGGTTAAGGATAAAGACAACGAAGAAACACATAACGATAACATTCTTTCTGTTGATCACATAGCGTTCCTCCTGCTCAACATTTTTCCGAGGCCGTGGCCGAAATTTCCTAGGAAATCTGGTGGCAATAGAATAAGCTAGCTGTTACCAGAACCGAAAACAATGTCGGAAGTCACTCCTCTCGTTGCTCCGGATGCGGAGGCTCCCTTCACTGAAGGCGGACGAGGTGAAGCTCGTGGTCGTTGTTCGTGCATGCCCAAATGGGCGTTAATTTTGGTGATCGTCCTCGCCTCCATGGCGGTGATTGCCGCTATTGTCGTCTGCATTTTCTGCTTCTTAAGGCTCCTCAATGCATAGTTCACATTTCTACAAGCCCTTTCTCTCGATTTCCTTCTTAGGGGACTGAGAATATGGTGGGAGAGTCCTAAATGAAGGGAACAAGAAGTGAATTGTTTTGAGCTCTAATCAAAAGCGCGTCGAAGCCTGGTGCTGCTTCTATGCCCCCTACCGCAGCCGAAACGATGCCCCCTACCGCAGCCGAAACGAGTGTGGACGCAGCCTCGACTGGGAGCGATGGATTACTCCATCTCTGGCGTATACCGACACCAGGAGGTCGTTTCGCGCCCGTGGGCAACGCGGAAATCTACGAGAAACGAGGTACATCAACTGAAGATTACTTATAATATAGTACTTCCAACTTCTTTCTAACTATCTATGCGCTAATCCACTGCTCTAATCTACTGCAATCTACTCCAATCTACTGCAATTTCCCTGCAATCTACTGCACAGGTGGCAATGATGCAGGATCTACTTTTGTGTGGAACTTCCAAGTCCATGCTGCCGCACCAGAGAAGTACGGTGATCAGGGTATCTGGTTTTTACGTTGTGCGAAAGTCGCGAAGAACGAAGGTGGTTGGAATCTTGGTGAAGCGGATGAGGGACGCCGCGCCAGATGTCGAGTGTTTAGCCATGACGCCAAACAAACTTTATGGTCAACATTTACTGTCCATCCCTCTCAGGAGCATCATCTTGGTACCCTGTTCTTGCCCTGTTGTCTTAATATTCCTATGAACAATTTTAGCAATCGTTTTCCACCCGCTTTCCCTGAGCTGGGTATCTCATCAAGGGTAACAAAGGAGTCCAGAATAGCAAAGGGTACCAGGAAGAAAGGTAGAAATAGAAGGGCTGACAGCTCCTGCTCTAAGAAGTGGCCGTTTCAAAGTAGGTCTGACCTTTGTCACGTGGTCGCAATATGCAGCGGCAATGGCGTCGGACTTCAACGGTCGCCGCAAGATGTGGCTGAGCACCATGGCAAAACTTGTAGAAGAACTTGAGAATACGCAATCGACTATTTTCACTGGTCCCAAATCGAATGGCGGTGTGCGTATTGAGACTAACGAATTCAAAACCGCGGATACGGTTTTTGAGTTCGTGCTCTACATGTCCAATGTTCCGCCGAAGGTTTCGGCTGCGCCCGAGGATACTGCATATTTTCACCCGAATTCTGATGAGATGCCGTCGAAGAAATTCACGCAGGTTTCCATGACCGGACGATCGCCAACCGAACTGGGAGAGATTATCTTAAGGCCTGCTACAGTAGTGGTGCATCTTAAGCAGCCATGATGGGAGGGAAAACATGTGAAAGATGTGATGCTTATCTATCATGCTTTTCAAGGTGAATATAATTAAATGTAAGTAAAAATAGCTCTAATTATCCAGGTGATTCCGGAAACACGCTGGGCTCAGAAGGGCATTTCCAAGGATGCAGCACGTTGCGGCGACGGAACGCCCCACGGCTGCTACGGAAACTTGGGTGCGTTTATTCGGTTCGCCCCGGTCGCTTTCGTCGAGGATGTGTTTGCGACCTTGGGAGAGATTCTGTCGAAGGACGCCAATTTGAGCTTGTTAAGGCCTGTTTTTTGACTTTTGATAACGTGGATCTTCATGACTTGATGGCTCGTTCCTCACGTACTGGAGTGATCTCCTCCTTACACATACTACTACTAAGTAATCATACTTCGAGTGGTCTGGTGAGGTATAATGAAGACCGCCAGGAACGACTTACCTCATGCGTAGAATAGGAGCCAGAGTGGTAATATCCTCCTGCCTCTTCTTTTTAGAAAGAGTAGAGCCCACTTACGTAATATAGTTGAAAATCGATTTGAAGATTTACATCAAGATGAAAGCCACTGGCAACTTGAGTGTAATAAAGTACTTGCGAACTAGAAATACTACCTTCTCTCATCTAGTACTTAGGAATATGTGACATTGGGAGTTGTACTGGAACTGACAAGAGCCTCTCTAACAGTAGCAACTGCAGCAGGAGAGAAGGTCCACAGAGGCGCGAACGTTTTCGGAACGCACGGTGGCGGAATCAAATGGCTGCATATCCGCATCGGCGCAACTTCTGTGGGTAGTGCTAGAAAGTACTGGGTGTCGCCGTATAGCCGGTAGATATATTCGCGTTCGGTTGAGGAGATTTCGATGAGGGGAATTTGGACAAAGAGGGGTAGAAGGGAAATTTGGAGGGGAATTTGGAGGAGGAGGAGGTCTCTCTTTCCTCCTCGTAGAACATTTCGTCACGTGAAAGGCAACGGTAGCAGCAAGAAAGAGAAAATAAAGTGCAGTCCTTTTAACTGAAAAGTCCTCGAGATGGTTGTTTTCAACTCGATGAGGGGAATTTGGAGGAGGAGGAGGTTAAGAAGGTTCACGTCCACATGGAAGGAGGCCGTCAAGATGAAATGAACAATCTCTTATGATCTCATGATAAACAGAGCGTGCCGGCGTTACTCATGCCATAGCGCTATCGGTTCTCTGCCGCGTCTCTACTCGGGTCGCAACGGAATCAGGCAGCGAGAGCTGTTACGTGGTTCGCAAATGAATGAATGAATGAATATGGTTAAGAAGATTAGCTCTAGCACCAGGTCGGGATCCAGGAAGTAGGTGCATCAGAAAATACATCTTCTGGAAGTAGAAGCCATAATAAGATTGATTCTTTGTAGAAGCCAAATGAAGAAAGTGCAAGTGCAAAGTTTCAATTTTCCCTCTGTTGTTCAGTTAGAGTTAGGAGGTCGAGGAGAAAGAATTTCGTCTTCGTATATCTATGTGTAAATATATTTCTATGTTGACAAGGGGAAGGAGGTTGACGTCCACATGGAAGGATGTTAGTGACGGAGTGGGAGACTGGGGGGCGTGTTGGTAGGGGCACCGGGACAGTTATCTAAGAGGTTGATGATGAAAATGGAGAAGGAGGTTAGTGACAGTGGCACTGTCACTGACCTCCCTTTCCACAGTAAGGGGAATGGTGGGGAGAAGAACATTGGGGAGAGGTTAATGAGGAGAATCTATGACGGCTATAGGTTTTTGACGGTTATCTGCACTAGTACAGGATAGTTGGTCACAGAGAAGAACGTCAAGATTGAAATGCTAGAGATGAGGAAATAAACATTCTAGCACATGGAAATTGCCTTTGGATTAGCCATCGCCTAGTAGGAGGATCCCATATAGTCGTGCTGTAGTTGCGTTACTTTTTAAATTGATAACTTTTGTCATTGGACATAGCAGGCGTAGTTTCGGTTCATCCGAAGTATTTGCACAGGTCGCGCAACGCTTAGCTACACACTTGAACCGCCCAACGGCGCATTTGAATCTGGAATTTTATCAAAACTGAAGGTATCAGAATCGCGCACATGACAAAAGGAGTAGCATTGAGTCTACTGATGATGACGTATTAGCATAATGATGACGTAGTAGCATATAATGAGCGAACGAGCAATCTGATGATGACGCATTTTTAGCTTTACTATGTTCGAAGGACGATGGAGGTCTGAGGAAGACGTCTTTGATTCTTCTACGTGATTGTTATCCAGATAATACGTGGATAGATATGAATGAAAGCGGAAGAGCTAGAAGGCTTCTCTACTCTGCAGATATGAGTTGTACAAGTGGTAGGTACCACGCAACGAGTTGCTTCTCCTAGGCAGGTACCCCACAACGAGGTGCTTCTCCTAGGTAGGTACTAGTACACAAGTTATCAGTATAAAATTGGTAGAATATTTCTTATTTGAGAAGACTGTTGTAATTGCCGACCACAAATGAGCACCGATGTCTGGCATCTCTGGTGTCGGTTTGCTGTCATTACATTGAAGGTCAGTTTATGAGAACCCTTCGGTTTATGAGAAGATCGGTTTATGACAGTGCATCGGTTTGCGAAAGTAGTCCACCGTGCATCGGTTTGCGAAAGTAGTCCACCGTGCATCGGTTTACGACAGTCCACAGTGGAATCATCGGTTTCCAAGCCCACTGTGGTAACTTTTTCTTATCGGTTTCCAAGAAGAATATTCATCCCCTACCTCGCGTCATTCGCTGACCTTCAAAACGTTCCCCCTATCATGCGTCTTAAAAGTACTGTCAGGGAAATCGTAGACAAATTGCGGAATAGATTCACGTCTGAGAGCGCAGAACGTGTGCGGCGATAGGGTCGCGTGCGACCTAAGAATAATAATAATAGTACTGTCGTGATCTATACCTATCGTGATCTAGTACATGTAAAAAGGGCAAGGAACTAGATGAAGCAATCGAATTCCACAAGAATGAATTACAATATTTTCCTTACTACTGATGTTGCCGTAGGTCGAAGCCGAATCGAGTAACATCGTCATCACGACTACTGTTTTTAGAGTGGCGGACTAGTAGGAAATATGACTTAAGTAGAAAGTAGAGCAACTTCCTTATTATACGCTAAAGAACTAAAGAGAAGACTTTTTTCTGACATACTTAGAAAGAACAACGTTCTAAAGAAGTGAGCACAACTTGCACGACTTGTAGAATCTAGCACGAGGATCAAGAAGGATGTCAGAAGTCAGTCCTCTCATTTACTCTGATGAGGATGATGTTGAGGCTGGTAGAGGCGGTCGTGGTCGTCGTCGTGGTGGTGGCAACAAGAAGAAGGAGCCTTGTTCTTGTATGCCATTCTGGGCAAAGATCTTCGTTGTCGGTTCTGTCTTATGGCTATTGCTAAAGCACTGACCACAACTTCCTTCTGACATTCTTAGAAAGAACAACTAGTACGTAGGAATTATGACATTTGAGTTTATGTAGAAAGTTGACGAAAGAAGAAGACCGACTAATAATCTGGAAAGGTATTACTCCCCCCTGCTAATATTAGAGCATGACACTAGAAGTTGGGGCTCTTTTTTATCTTGAAATAGAAAAGGACATTACAGGGAGCACTCCGTTCTAAGGTAGTACTTCGTTCTAAAATACGTACACATGATTTATTCTTGATTTAAAATCAACTAGGCTCCAAAGTATGTAGCTGTTTTCTTGAAAATTAAAGAAGCGCTTCCAAAGAAAAAGTTTAATTTCTTGAAAAGTCGAAAGTAGAGACCACAACCTACCGCTGACATAGCCTTAACATGGAAGACAACAAGATAACATGTAGAGTCTAACTGTGGCGATCATTTCGACTACTGCCTTGGTCTTTATCCTCCTGAGGAAAGGAGCCGGAAACGAAGCCCCGAAGGAAGTCGAAAGCAAAAAGGCCTCCTTACGGTCAGCGTTTGAGTTTATCCATCTTTCTGCTGCTCAGCATAAGTACCCCAAGCAGTTCTTTCTGCTCAGCATAAGTGCCATAGACGGCATTTCAGCATCTCGAGAAAGACTCATGATCCAAAATTTGATAAAGTGACTATTCTCATATAGACGGTTTTGAAACATTCTTATTGATCTGACTCTTATGTAACTAACCTCCTCCCATAGCAGGTCTTTGATTCCCCATCATATTTTCTTTTAGAGGTGTGCTGCAGATCTTGACTGGCTTTCACCTTTTGGTGAAGGTTTAGGCCCTGCGGCGCTCAAAGCACTAAGTAAGACAACCGGTTAGTTTTCACCTCGACAATATTAGGGTTATCCCGTGCAACACCATAGACGGAATTCCAGCCTAGACGGTTGTATTAGTTCTCAAGTTAGTTCTGCTACTTCATAGTTTTCGGATCTTTGTTGACTTTTTCTCCAGCCACCTATGAGTAGAGTGAGGTTTTGGTAGCCGATTACTCATCCAGAGTTTAGATCACGTCGACGCCCGAATTTCACATCTACTCTAGAAAGTCGCCATGCTCGTTTACTACACATCAGCCAACATGGAATCGACTGGGATGAATAGAAGTAGGTGACTCTAAAAACCTCCACGGCGAAGACCTCAACGAAAGACGCTGCTGCCAAACCTGACGCTGCTGCCGAATCTGAAGAATCCGAAGAAGATCACGATCCGAACGTGTACTTAATAATCAATGAAGATGTTCCTTGTTCGGTAGATGATTGAAGTATACTAGTATGTATTGTATATAACTAGTAGGAACTATGGATCTAGTTGGAGTCATTTTGTCCTCCGTAGAGAAGGTAGATCGCAGTTGTTGTTGGTGTTGTTGTTGTTGTGGAGTCGTTGTGAAATGAAGAACGGAAACTATGTACGAAGTGGGAGGCCGTGCTATCTTCAAAATCAACAAAAACCAATGCTAGCTTTAGAAAATAGGTAGATACCATAATGTTGAGACATGATACTAGCCGTTGTTGATATTATTTATATTGAGACATTGCCGTTGTTAAGATATCATAATGAGAAATAGCCGTTGTTAAGATACCATAATGAGAAATAGCCGTTGTGAAGATACCATAATGAGACATAGCCGTTGTTAAGATACCATATTTTGCATAATGAGACATAGCCGTTGTTAAGATACCATAATGAGACATAGCCGTTGTTGATATTATTGATAATAGGATCTTACACTTCCTACTTCTAAATTAGGATATTGGATCAATTATCAGCACCTTAAAAACTCGACAAATGACAGGAAGAAACTGCAGGCCTACCTGGATCGTCCTGCCGAGTCTAAAGTAAGAGATTCGGTGGCTCCCACAGGTTCTTATTCCTTTCTTAAGGTCGGTGTAAAAGTAAATAAATATGTTGTCAGTAGCCACTGAAGTCTGCTGGTTTATCTAGTGGACCCACACCTAACCTAACCTAACAGACAATGAAAGAAGATGAATTTGATCTCTACTGCGAAAATTATTTGACCACGAGTAGTACTAGGGTTGTGATCTACTTCTTTGATAATCAAAAAAAAAAAAATTGCATGAAGAAAAGTAATCGTCGTCGTCGTCGTCCTCTAATGGTAACGCGGGCCCTGTTATAAGAAGTAGCAACGAGATACGGGAATCGAATCGGCGAACTGAGAAGAAGGAAAATCTGAAGAAACAGGTGAAGACAGGTGGGCGCTTTGCTCCTATCGCTGATGGCAAAATTCGCCAGTACAATAAGGAGGAAGATAAATTCATTTACACTGGTATAATTACATGGGCAGTATGATTTGTGGTTGTCATGGGCAGTTTCGCGACATTTTCACATGACAGAGAAAAGAAATATTTAGAGACAGAAACCCTAGAAGGTAGGCTCATCAGCAGCCAACCGCGCTAGTAGACCCACATTTAACGTAGTTGGCTCTACCCCAAGAATCAATAGTTCCATTTGTATGCTCTTGTCACTTTATCAGGGTTCTTCTCCATTTTATCAGGTTTTAGCGATGATACGGACTTCGAGGTGTTTGCTTCCCCGCCGCAGGAGTACAACCTGCCAGAGCATGAGAAGTTAAGGTCACTATATTATAGATAAGTACGTGTGTTCTACAGGTCACCAAATACAATTATTTGTTGATGAAGAGGCGTCTAGTCTGAGGTCGTTGCACTACAGATTGAGTAGCCTCCTGCTGCAATTGCTCAGTTATTGTGGCTGGGAGTATTCTGGAGGCCTTATAACAGAGTAACTAAGGAGCTGCCCCTTTTCCCCTTGAAAGTCTATAGGTAAGAGGGGGGCCTCGATGGTCTGCAGCTAGAGGGGAGAAAAACCGCCACTCATACAATTCGTCTCAAGTTGATGCTGATAGGTTTGCAATTACCTTTTTTGAACATCGTGGGAGGCACGCTGTGAGGACCGCATGCTCAGTCCCACCGGGGGCGGCTTGGTAGACCACATAGCCGAGACATGACATGGCGTGAGGTCTCAGGGACGTTTCTTTCTAATAAACGCAGGCCTCAATCTCAGTGGTTTTTAAGGATCTAATTCTAACTCAATCACTCTCTCACTGGTCGTTTAGTAAATTCTAACTCAATCTTCACTCTCTCACCAAGTAGAAGTAGAAACAGCCTCGTGCTTACTCACAATAAGTCAAACACGAGGTCAGAGCCTCCAAGGATCATGAGTTCTGCTACTGATACTATGGGAATACTGTTCCCATACTATACTCCTAAGTTCGTGAGGGTCCATAACCTAACCTAACCTAGCCTAGCCTTCTTGTGCTAGGAATAGCGTACGTGTAGGGGAGACTGTAAATGTAGTGTAGTCCATACTAGAGCCAATGCACCGCTTTCTTCCCATCACCTCTGCGGGTTGGATATCCCTCCCTGCAGCTCTAAGGTATCATGCCGTTTTTGCGTTGTAAAGCAGCGAAAATCGATGAACGAGACTGGGACTACATTGGAGAAGCAGGGAAGGAGCACGATTCTGGTCGCCGCGCCACGTGCACGGTGGTGGTTTCCAAATGGGATCCAGAAACTGTGGAGCCCGTCGGCGAGTCTCATTATGAGGAAGGACAACAATAGATCAACTACAGTAGATGTTGAAGACGCATCAGTAGTCCTGTAGGACATGACTGTAGGTGGAAAGCTATGCTGTCAACGCCATGTGGAGTCTAAACTTATAGAGCAAAGCGCTACTACTCCACATGATGGGGACAGCAGTCCCAAGACTACTACTTACATCATCGAAGTAGCCCGTGACACACAAAGATCTACGTAGATCTGGGCGTCACAAGTAGATGATGTCCATTGATGATGCCGATTACTCTATGTCTATATCCTAGGATAAGTCCTGACTTGCTTGCACCCATGTGATCGGCCTTACACGACTAATTTACCTTCTCTAAGGTAAAAAACAAAAAGCAAACCATCGAGTGAGTGTTAGTGTTTAAAACTCTGCTTCTATTATGTCCTTACACTATTGAAATAAATTATGTCTTTACACTATTTACTTATGAATTATTATTATTTGTCTTTCCAAGTACAACACTATTTACATAAATGTCTTTAATACACTCACTATTTATTTGAATGTCTTTACATCTACTTAGACTTGGTAAGTGGTTTCTTGGACTATCTAAGGTTAATAAGAAGGCTATTCCTATTCAATATTTGTATCTACTTGATACTACATCTACTCACATACAGAAGATTGGATCATCTCACCATCATGTGATCATACGAAGAACACCAAGTGGTCCCTCGCTTCTGCCTCTAAGTTGTCTTATGGAGGTGGCCAGCTTACGCGAACATGTTGGCGTTTGACTTCAGAGATGAACGCAAAATGTGGCTGAGTACGATGGCACGACTCGTGGAAGAGCTAGAATTAAGGCGGACACTCCTGTTACTCGTCGAAAAAAAAGTATCTGTATCAATCTAGCTGTCTAGCTATCTACCCATCAGGAGGATCATTAGAAGGCAACAGATCTTCATAGCAGCAAAACCTGTGATTAAAGACACAACAAAGACTTTCACTCCTTGTACTACCTCCTGGGATTAAAAAAGTCATGAGTTGCAGTATGCAGGTTACCCCTGTAGAAGCCGAGTCAATTTGTAGCCTATCCAAGCATCGATCCTATCCTGTCCTGTCCTATCCAAGTATCTCTCCTATCCTATGACTGGAGAGGAATTTGGAGTAGCGTTTGGATTAACGTGAATGTAGTATCCTGTGGTCCTGTCCTATCGTATTTCTTCGCTAACAGCTAGCACAGAGTCGACATTGTTCAGGGGTAAAAAATCAATGCCGGGTGGTGTCCGCATCGAGACGAACCAATACCGTGGACGGGATACGGTTTTTAAGTTCGCGTTGTACCATTCGAAAGCTGCGCCGCCGGTGGCGAGTGCGCCCGAAAAGACCTTTACGACGACATTCCAAAATATATATCAACATGAGCACTCACCGGAGGCATTGCGCAGGGCTTCGGCCTGTCTTCGACGGTGAGAGCTCTGGGGCTGACAGGACGACGATAGCGCAGGCGCTTAGTTAGTTTTACCAGATAAGAACGCACTTGATAGAAGCTAGCCTATTCTTTTTTCTACCTTCCTCTGGTTTTTCTTTTTCTAGTTAGGTCTGCTCCGCCACGAATATAGGGTATTAGTAGCATACTAGGATACTATTTCCTCGATAATCATACTAGAGTACAACAAAATAAGTACTGCAGCTCTAAGAGTAGTTTTTGCTTCAACAATAGTATGCATCCTTTCTTCTAATATTTGGTACGTCACACCGCTTACCGACGAGATGCCTGAGAGGAAATACACGCAGGTGACCTTGAACAAGGGACACGACATCCTAGAAGTCGTTCCGGAAACACGCTGGTTATGTTGTTGGCCATGATGTTGAGATTATTTTTATATTGATTGTCGTCTCAAAATTTATAGAAAAAATGAATCTGGGTACTGTACTAGGTGGATCCCTTCGTATCCTATCCTATCCCATCCTAATATCGTTAATGTGTTTATAGTAGTAGTACTTGTTAACTCATTTGTTCTGATTCTACTAACATTATTGCTAGGTAAATGAATGAATGAATTGTTATGTAGACAAGGTGTGCATGGCGTTGCATTATGCACGCAAGGTGAACAAAAGGAGCATTCTTGTTCTGCATAGTTTATCATTAGAATCTCGTCTGCGCACCATAGTTTTCATCATCCTCATGACCTAATGAGCCTTTTGCATCCCATGAGCCTTCATCATTCTGGTGACCTCATGAGTCTTCATCATTCTGGTGACCTCAGCCCTCATCAGTCTACTCAAAGAAGTTGTAAGAAAGTCAAGGTCTTCTTCTAATTAATGATAAGAAGGAACTCCCTTATCAGTCTACTCAAAGAAGTTGTAAGAAACGATAAGAATGCAGTACTTATCAGTAGAGAGAGAGAGAAGAATGCACAACTTGCACCACCTCCCGCTAGGCACATTCATTCATTCACTCACTCACTCAGTTAGAGAAGAACAACTCCTGGCACTAATGCACTACTGATTATCAGAGAAGATTACCACTACTTATCAGAGAAGCAAGTCTTTGTCTAATAAATGATAAGAAGAGCATTTCCAAGGAGGAAGCACGTTGCAGCGATGGCACCCACGGTTGCTACGGAAATTTGGGCAGTTTTATTCGCTTTGCTCCCCTTGCCTTCGTGGAGGATGTTTTCGAGACCTTGGGAGACATTTTGCATAATACGGCTCCTGAAGGATTCTACTTGTTAGAGAATATATTGATAACTACGTACGATTTATATTCTCGTACATCAGGAGAGTACATTGATTACTCAAGGCTTAACCTGTGGACGGTACGGGTTTAACCTGGAGACGTTCGTCTCGCTGACAGGTCAGAGCGTCCCTGGGAGGGTGCTCCTCTGGATCGACCTAGAGTAGCTGCTCCTCTGGATAAAGTCAGAATTTTTTCAAAGCCCAGAGGAGCTCCTACTCTAAGTTTATAATTGAAATACACTGGTTCCAGAGGAGCTGCTAACTGAAATAGACTGGTTTCAATTCGTTCAAAGTCCAATGCCCTAATCTGCTGCGCTCGGACGGCACTTTGCTGGGGACCTTCAAGGAGTTGAAGATGGCGTCACTCAAAAAAGATCCTTCTACGGGGAAGGCTGCGCAGGAGCTATACGAAAAAGCGGACGTTTTTTTAAGGAAACTAGAAGTACTTGGCTTAATTGATTAATGTGAAATCTATTTGGTTGCTTTGATTATCATTATCTAGGTATACCTATGCGAAAAGCACCACACATTGTCTCAAGATCATTGTGTAGGTTCCATACAAAAATAAGAGCTGGCGTAGGTTTTTCAGGGACTATTGTATGTTTGATTATCTAGCGATACGAAATAGCTGGCGTAGTTTTTTTAGGGGGGGCGTTCGTTCATAACTTCCATCTAGTAGCGTCTCTTAGACGATTAAACTGAATCGTGACAGAGACGCATGGGGGACATTATATTTAGTAGTAAACGACCTTCCCTCGCCTCTCTACACGACCGCTCCCCTCTCCTCTCTACGCGGCCGCTCTCCTCTCCTCTCTGCACGACCGCTCTCCTCTCCTCTCTACACGACCGCTCCCCTCTCCATTTTACACGACCGCTCCCCCCTCCTCTCTACACGACCGCCCCCCTCTCCTCTCTACACGACCGCTTCCCGCTCCTCTCTTCACGACCTCTACTCCTTTGTCTGCTCTAATCTGTGGGACTAACGGCGGTGGAGTAAATTGGCTCCATATCCGTGTCGGTGCGACCAAGCAAAGCTCCGAGGAGAGAGCAAAACGATATTTTGTATCGCCATTTCGGTTCAATTAAGGCTAGTAAATCACTATTATTTTCGCATTCCCACTATTTATCGTTTGACTGACTCCCTGGTTGTATCGTTTACCTCACAAGTCGTCACGGGGAATTCAATTGACATACTCAAACAGGGATAATCCGTTGAAAGAACATCAGGGATAGTGATTGCCTTTGACTGGCGTTAATTTAGGCCGGATGCGGATCATGGATAGAGCTAGAAACAAGTTGGCAAACTTAATTCTAGAGGGGTTACAAGTGGTGGAGGGGACAGGAGGAGCAGCCGGGAGGGACTTGGAAATAGTCGAGGAAGACACTGTAGAGTAGGTTGTTTGCATGTTATTCGAATTCAAAATTGTTGCGATTCACATGATAGTCGTATTGGTATTAGATTCATGAAGATGAAATTGAAGTGAACTCCAGCGGTTGAAGCATACACAATACTGTTACTGATACATAGAGAGTTCGTTTATTGAGACTGCGTTGGTTTACGTACATGTAATGCAATTGATTTTTTTGTGAATTGAAAGTGAATGTTGGAGTGAAGAATCCCACCTAACGTTGAATCCAGGATGCAAGATACAAAGTATAAGTTACTGCATCGTCGCAAGTCACAACAGGAACACTAAAAAGGACTGATGAAGAATCGAAATCGAAATCCTCGAAGAATTACCGTCAGGGGTTGGCTGATGCCCGGGCTGCTCTGCGTAAGAGGATGATAATACCTAGAAGTAGAGCATCACGATACATAGTTACACCTAGAATTGTCATACTTGGGTCCACATGCTGTCTGAATCTTGGTTTAATATCCACACCAATTTATATTTTGATTCAAGCAGTAGTAGACGTAGCAAAAAAGGCTTACAGATTTTCAATCTCCCCCAACAAGAAATCCAAGAAATACCATAATACTACAGCAGATAACCGCACATAGACGAAAATGTACATATTCAACATACGGACATGATACCCGTGACTACAGTGTAGCTTTTCTACACTCGACAACACTTTCATCGACAAATGAATTGACTGATACCCATGAAAGACCCGACGAGACATCTGAGACTCGTGTGTTATAAATATCCAAGCTGATCGATGAAGATGACAACGAACAGAATTACTATGTGTTGAGAACAAGCTACTAAGGGTATGATCACTTGAGGCGCAATGAATGAATGAAAGGGTATTAACATCAGGGTGTTCTCTGATGAATTTCTGCATGTGTCTCAAAAGATTCTTTTTCGGCGTTTTCATAGTCGTGAACGCTCACCTCTCCGAGGCGAGCCAAATCTGATCCTGTCCTACAGGTTCAGGCGTTGCGTCGCAAAAGACAGCAGGCCTTCTCTGATCCATCTGCAATGAAATGACGTGTAAGTCAGTGATGATCGCGATTTTGAAAAAAATTCGGCATCGGTTCTTTGGCATTCTCTTTAGTCGGTCTACGGCTGTTCGCGGTGCTGCATAGATTTCAAAAATTGTAGGTCAAGAGAAAGAGGAAGCCAGTGAAGTGAGGGCGTGTAGTACCTCCATCCTAGTCATTCGTAGAGTATTTTTAACATCAGAGAAGTATCCACTTCTATAATCAGTCGCCTAAAAATATCAAGAAGTTGTATACAACTAGGGCATCACAAAAGACTCGTCTGATAAATATCCAGAAATACTATATAAATAATATCTATAATACAATAGTAGACTCGTCTAAGAAATATCTATAATACTAGAGCATTAGTTCTTACCTGACCTTTCTTTTTTCGGTTTTTGTTTTTTCTAGTTGGGTATGCTCCACCAACAATATAATACTACTAGAGTATTAGCACCATATTAACTTAACTACATCAAGATGCCGACAGCAGTACAAAAGAAGGCTTCTCCTAAAAGCGGCAAGAAGGCTGCTACCAAAGGTAAGAGCGGAATGAAGGTTGCAGGCAGTGAGAAGAACAAGAGCATGAAGAGCACGACTACTGCTAATGCTAGTGCTGCTAAAGCGAGTGCTAATGCAGCTATGAAGAAGAGCACTGCTGCTAATGCTATGAAGACGAGCAACAAGAAAGTGGTCGAGAGCAAGATGAAAACGGCAACTCGTTCTATGAAAGCCGCGGCCGCCGTGAAGAAAACCACGATGAAAGTGTCACCAATGAAGAAATCAAAGCAGACTTCACCTCCATCAATCAAGGTGGCTCCATCAATGAAGGTGGCATCGACGATGAAGAAATCGCCGATGAAAAAGCCCAAACTTCTTCTGGATCATGCGTCGCCCTCAGCGGCAGCAACGACAGCCTCGCCTCCTCCTTCAAGTCCAGCACCTTCGGCCGCTGCGTCGGGCGCCGCCGCGACGCCACTTCTTCCAAGAGCGGACGCGCCAGTGACGGGTACTAAGGGCTAGCAGCCCAGCTTTTGAGATTTTAATTCTTGCATGTGGGATCGATCCTTTTGCCGAAGTTGAAGCTTGAGGTCGTGGCAACAAAGCAAAGTAGAACCAGGTTTTTATCTCTGTCTAGAACACAATTCTTTCACTTCCACCTCTTCACTCGATGATACATCTTGAAAGTTCTTTGAGACGAGTTGGCAGTCTTCAACGGGTGCCTGTGGGCCTCGTTGTGAAGGATCCATAACCTAACCTAACCTAACCTAGCCTAACCTAACCTAACCTAACCTAACCTTGATCCATAACCTAACCTAGCCTAACCTTCATCCATAACCTAACCTTTCCAGAAAAAAAATCTCTACTTTGAGGTACCGTGATCGCAGCAGCTCTTGGTCAATTGGGTGTCGATGTTGCTGTCGTTGGCGATTTCGACAAGGATTTGACGATCTGCGATCCGGCTAAGAATATGAACAAGTTTATCCGCTTCCAAGTGGTCAGGAACGCTGCTGGGGAGTACTTTTTCGTGAACCAGTGGGGCCGTGTTGGGACTAGCGGACAGCATCAAGTGAAAGGTCCTTTCGCAGCTCAAGGGGAAGCAGTGGTCCTCTTGGAAAAAAAGTTCAAGGAGAAGACTGGCGTCACTTGGGAAAAGAGGAACACACTCTTAAGGGTGGGCTTGAAGATCATGTGATTCAAATTTCTACTAGAAGTCATTTTCTTGTTTTATTCCGTTTTTTAATAAATTCCTTCTTGACGAAGTTCTTCATTCTGAAAAATGACAAAATGATGAACTTCGCTAGAAACGAAGTGCTTGGTCCTCATCTAACTCTCGGGGCCAATGATCAGGATTCAACAGCGAGGAAAGGCAAGGGGCACTATGCTTCAACTTTGAACGACAGACTGGACGAAGCGAAGGCTGGAAGGTCGATGGAAGCTGATTCTGTTGCTGTCTCTCTGATGTGGGATCACAGTGACCCTTGTGTCAGGAACGACTTGGATTTGCAGGTTCAGGCGCCGAGTGGCGAGTGGATCACCTTTCGTCAAAAAACATCAATTAAGGCTTCTTTCCGTAAAATTGAAACTTCATGTTGAGAATAAGCGTCTTTGCCGTGCTTTCCCTCATCTTGAGAAGCATCTTGGAGCAGTCTTTCGGTAAAAGAAAGGAGAGGGCACGGCAAAGAGCAAAGATGCTCGCTTCCATGGCCTCGAACGCTCACCCTCTCTTCATAGGTGAGGTAACACTCCTAAGTCCTATCCTATGCAAAGATGCTCTCCAAGATGAATCAGAGCTAACTCTACCTATCCTATCCTAAATGCAAAGATGCTCTCCCAGATGAATGAGTCAACACAACGGCAAGAACGCTCTAAGTGAAGGTGTGGAGGAAAGCTAGACGTGGATCGGATGCTAGATTCTCCTCGACCGGTGGAGAATGTAGTGTGGGCCCGAAATGCACCCAAAGGCACGTACAGGGTCCGCGTCCACAATTACCGTGCCAATCACCAGAATGCTATCCCGTTTCAGGTGGGTCTGGTCATCGGCAAGGAAGATATGAAAATTTTCGAGTGCACGATGGGAAAAGCAGGCCCGCGGAGAGCCGATGTACTAGATGACCCGGAGAATACGGTCGAGGTTACCACTTTTGAAATATGCTAGCCGGGATGAAGGTTGATTCGTGTGCCTATTCACGAGGTAAGTGGGACTGCAGCTTTTCCTAGAGTCACTTCCTTGGACTAGATATTCAATTGGTCCCTTGTGTATCCTCATGTAGTATTTGAACCCGCATGTAGTTGGCCATGATTTATATGTAATTTTATACTGGTTCAGGTTATTTAGTGATAGTCATGTTCGTAGTTCTCATTCGTTTTCGTATGGCCTCCCCGATGTATATCTAATGAAGAATTGATGTGTAACTCAGAGATCATTGACGTCCATATGCCGCCATTGCCATCCATGACAGTTTTATCTTGAATAGATATCAGTGTTGTTCGCTTTCTGTACTCATTGTGAAAATACTACTATTCATTAAATAGATGGTCACATTACAAAGATGATTGAGTTTTTCTGGTAGAACTTTTCCTCTGCCTCGTGTGGAAAATTCGTCCGTTTCAAATCAAGTCACAGTTTGAGATAAGTCAAAAATGTTTCAGGAGAAGAAAATGGCCAAAGAAACAGTTGCTTAGAGGTAGTTTCTGAGCAACGGAAGCATCCATAGGACAGCCAAGCACGGTGGCAGGAAATTAGACATAGAAAAACAAAGCTGAGAAGTTTCCTCCTCGTAGATAAAAAGCGAAAAAAAGTGATTTGAGTGAGCGAGCACTAGCTGTGCGGGTGTCCTAGTTCTGCGAGTGTCCTTGTAACCCCCACTCTCGGTACTGTGTAAGATTTTGAGACTCAAAATGAGGGGCATATAAATATGAGCTGCAGCTGTACGGGCGGAGTCTCAGCCTCACACAAGATGGGGTTTGGTAAAAAGTCCTCAACGGAAGTGACCTAATGTCCTAGTAATGTAAGTCCTGCAGAATAATATGGCGAGTACAACGGCCGCGTCACCACCACCCGCCGGTGGCAGTGGCACATCAGGAGACATCAGGGGAACAATGTCCTCTCCATCCTCCGTGGCGAATAAAAATGGTGGTAGTAGTACCGCTTCTAGCGCCACCACCTCTCGACCACGCCGTAAGGCAGTCGACGAAGACAAACAGGTCGGCTTGAGTTCCGACGAGACGCGGCGACGGCCGGCGAGACTGAACCCCTTTTTGCCATCGGTGCCAGAAGAGCAGGAGGAAGAAGTACTGGATCATCTGGGCAATGACTTCCCGTATTTAAGGCTACCGCTGAAGCATCCTCGACATTATCCTTGGCTCTTTTTCTACTTGAAAAGGAAGCCAAGGATGCTCTCAGGGATGCGACCGCGGTAGCTCTAACGTATCCGGCAAGCAGAGATGCGGGGAAAGCGAGTACACTCTTGGGCCAGACATGGAAGCAACGGCTCTCGTCGTTACCAGCAGGTTCTTGAAAGAGAGTCTTATATCTACTGTTTTTGTTCACGTACTTGACTACTTCTGGAAAGTGCTAATACAAGAAACAAGTGAGTAGCGCTATCGGGTTCGTCCACTGGCCATTATACAACATAGACTCTTTTTCACTAATCTCTACCAGCCACTGAAACAACAAAAACTGCAGGTGAATGGGGAGGAGCATTGGGTCTGGGCTACTCCTTTCGTGATCTTTCTTTGTTACGGCTATTTTGATAAAAAAAGCATATGCATTTCTATACACATGTAACTAGCGGCGGTGCTTGTCTCCTCTGTGCCTGTGGTCTTCCTCTCTCTCTACGATTCATCTGAGAAAGTCCTAGCTTTCTTTTGTTCCGTATCTAGTATGTGTCTACGACGTTGTAGGGCGTGAATCTCTAATTTCCTCTTCTTTGTCCAACTTGGACTCATTGCCCAAACGGAAGCGCCGCCCCAAGGAGAACACGGAGAGGGAAGCCTATCTCGATCTAGTTTTCGCTGAAGTCGACACCGATTTCGAGGACTTGTTGAAGCTCTTTTCTTCGAGGACCAATAGCAAGGATGGAAGCGGAACGTCAAAGGTTAAGGCGTCAAAGATTAGTTTTTCGATATTGTACGTTCCGTTGATGATCTCAACCGCCTTGTTGACTTCAACGACGAGGGAAAATTTCTAAGGGAGGGAAGAAAGCGACCACTCTGGAGGGAAGATTTGTGAGGGAGGGATGGAAGCAAGTCGCTCAAATATAGATCGATGATCAGTTCCGCCTAGCTTTTTTTTTTCTGCTTGAGGGGCAACCAAGATAGTGGGTAGTTATTTTTAATCTTCGCTGCTGCCAGGCCTCTGTATAGGTATGAGCAATGTCCCGACATCCTCGATGACCGACCACAGCCAACTTGCATCCAATGTTGTTTGTCCGATGATTATCTGTTGCGAGCAATGTTGAAGAAAAACTGTAGCTCTAAGAAGTGGACAAATGCCGCTGCCTTTCTGGCTCTACGTTCCGCAGCCATGGGACAGACTAAAGGCGGCGGACGCAGTTCTTTTCTAGGCAGCTTTGGTGCGGAGCCTAATGAGGAGCAGGGGACTCGCGCATTGAAGCGTGTTTCCATTAAGAAATTCTTTAGGACAGCGATGCCATCTTATGATTAGCAGCACAGTGCTGTCGATACTCCTAAAACCTGCTATCCGAAATCTCTAATCCATCAACGAATCTACATGCGGCCAGCCGAGGCAGTGTGCTTGGGAGCCTACAGCCACTGATTAAGGGCATCAACTCACTCTTTTGAATCAACGGATTGAGTCTACGTACGTTATATAGTGAGTGAAAAACACGTGAAAAACACGTGGAAAGTTATCTAAAGTGCCAAATGTTGGATCAGCAGGAAACTGGGGAAGCGAACGTCGCAAAAGTCGGGCGCCGCACAAGAGTCTGGCTGTCGTGGCGGAGCACGATGAGGGAGAGGACAGTCGTGGAGATCTAGAACTCGACAGCGAGGATGAAGAAATGAACTCAGAGGAAAATATAACTGACGACGAAGAATTACTCGTGGATGCTGAGGGTGCGCTACTGTTATGACTGAGACTGTTGCCAGTTTGTTGATGTCTAAGTACTTACTTGAGGGCAGACTTTTAGACGTGAACATACTACGAACTACAACTTCGGCCATTCTACTGCACACTTTCAGTACTTTCATCGATTTTTGGACCCTCAAGGCGAGGAAACAGTAGTTCTTTACGATCATGCTTCTAAACTTGGACGGAATCAAAGACGAACAGGATCTAGAAGAGGGGGCAGACGACGCACAGGCAAGGATGGCTGCGATGCAGAGCATCGTGGAACTCTTCGGAAGCAAAGCCGTTCATCGGGATCGATTGTTGATTTTATGGTTCGTGTGATGCGATGCGGGCATGGGTGTATTTTCCTATTGTAGTTCTTGTCATATCTTCAAAATGCAGCTAAAGGATTCTCGTGAAATAAGTGACCACTATTAACATGCACTGAAGAATATTTTTATTTCAAAAGTGAGAAAGTGTGTTGCTAATACGCGCCCGCTATTTCTGTCTGTTGATGCGGACCGACGCACAAGCTCGGTACTTCGCGCTCGTCAAAGGTGTGGACCCGTTGATCCGATTTTTGAAATCACTTCCAGAAAGCAGCGCGAAAGATCCAAGCTCATTGAATGCTCTGTTTCCTCAAGTATTGTCGACCTTATCTCTCGATCCCCTGGCTCGTAGTATGGCAGTATCGCGTGGTGCGATCCCGATGCTGTTTCGGTTAGTGCGGAAGGCCGTGACTGAGCTCTCGCTCATTGAAGACGACAAGCGGTCCAGAGAAATTATGAAACAGGAGTTCCATCAAGTAGGAGGTGTAGAAGGGAATAATGCCGGCCTTCCAGGACCCGGTGCAGCACAACCAGGAGGTAGCGTGCAAAACTCTGACGCTGCAGGACTTACGCAAGCGTCTTTAGCAGTACCTCGCACGCCGTGGGATGGACACCTCGTGGCCTTGGCATTGTGTCTTGCACGACTTTCTTTTATGACTTTGAGGATTGCTATTGATAGCGTGCTTAGTTTGTAAACAATAAGAAACACTTTCACGACGTGTAGTAGTTTCAGTTTGCCATCAGTGGATGACAACTACACATAAGAATAGTGGTCGTAAAGAGTCTTTTACCGTATCCTTGGTTCTTCTAACCTTCGTTACCCAGAGACAGCAGAGCGACTTCGGATGGATCATTTTCCCCTACTAACGGAATTGGTCGGCTACAGTAGTTCCCACCCATTGGCACAGTGCTTCTTGGCTGCGGGTCTTTGTAGTCTCTCCTCATCTCCTGGTGGCGGTGGAGGCGTATCACCGACAACGACGAGTGCTGTGCAGAGTACTTTGATTCCCTTCCCCTGAACGTGATGTAATTACCCCGCGAATGGGTATATGATTATTAACTACCTATTGCTGGAGAAAGCAGGTCTGATATCATCATCATCATCATCAATGATCATCATCATCATTATCATCATGTAACTACATGGTTCCTGCCAACTTTGAACTTCCTACGGAAGTGGAAAGTTCTCTCCATGAATGCGTACCCTAGTGATGTTCGTGATTACAGCTCCTAAGCTCAATATCAGCACTGCCATTTTTTTTTCCAGAGAAAGAAGAGCAACATTAAGAGTCCCAAATCCAGGTTCCACCGCAGCAGCCTCATACTCTGGAACTGGTACAACTACTGCGCCAACTACGTCCTTATTGGATCTAGTAGCAAACGGCGTTGTGGATGGATCAGGAAGAGCCATCGACAAGGAACAGCTGGGGACACTCGTTTGGTTCACAGCGGCTTTGGCGAATTTAGCCAAATGTCGAAACTTAGCCAATTTCTCATCGACAAGTGCAAGTTAAGGGTCAACATCGGTTTTTGAAGCTCACATGATAAGCTGCTACGAAAAGTGATAAGCTGCTTCTAGTACATAATATATTTTAATTCCTTTCCTAGTCTTTAGGTTGGCTCCACCACTAATATAAGTCACATGAAGATAACTGCTAGCAATACATACTCAACATCGGTTAATACAAGTCACATGATAAGCTGCTAGTACGAAAAGGCTGATAAATCAATCGAAGTCCTCTGATAAATGAATCGAAGTCCTCCCTCCCTCGCTCTAAGCAAGAGTCTACCACGGTCTTCACGGCGCCGCGACGCTTTTCGCTAAACTGAAGGGAGAGGAAGAAATGGCGAACAAAAGAGGCGACCAGAAGACTCGAACTGGAGAAGAACAAGGAGAGACTCTCGGAGAGGCCTCTACTGTAGGCACAGTGGATGCAGTTGTAGTTGTGGCGCCACAAAGCAGCACCGCTGTGAACAAACACGTGGAAGACGTATCAAGCGGTGGGCAGTCACCTCCGTCATCAACTAAGTCTCCACGAGCCGCTCATAAGGCTCATAAGGCTAGTACAAAGTCGGGAAAGTCACCAGGTGGCAAGAAGGAGTCTTCGAGTAAGAAAGATGCGTCCAGTACCACCCTAGAGCAAGTTGTAGCTAATCATGGAAGCAGTCCAGCTTCTCCTTCCAATTAGTAATGCGGTACCTAATACATCTTTGGACGCATCCCTGCTGAAATGTATGGACGAGGAGTATGCACCTAAGGGAAAAGGCCTCCCCCATACTTTTCAAGGATGCACTTGAAAGATGAATTGCGGACAGCTCTAATCCAACGGAGCTGTCGTTCCAACTGGTACAGCAGGGACGGAACAACAGGGAGCACCACAGACACAGACAGAAGGCACTTCTCTGACATCAATAGACCCAGAAGTCGTTCCGAAGAAAGCCTTAACCCGCAAACATCTGATACTCCTACACCGACTGCATGTAAACTGTGGCTGGGCGCTGCTAAACGGCTCTAGGAACTTGTTTTTTGAGACTGAGCGAGGCCTGCTTCCCTGTGCACGCGCTGCGCTGTTATTGCTGAATTCTTCGCGTCGGTTGCATCACGAGAACGCTGCTGTGATTCAGTCAGAAAGCACTAAAGCAAACGTTGCGAAAGATTCTGCAAATAAACCAGGCTCGCCTTTGAACGGGGGCATGAATCAAGTGCAAGTGCATACTCCGGCAGCTTCTTCTTAAGGAAAGAAGGTTGTAGTCGTACCATGATCATGAATGTCTAAGAACTCAATCTATCTGTGTGTCTATCCGTACCATCGCTCGATGTTTTAGCTGAGAGAAGACGAAAGACCATCAAAGCTAGCAGGATGGATTTCGGCACAACTACAGTAGCGGTGGATGGCATACCTCATGTTGGTACTACACCATCTTAGCACAGCTCTAATCCCTCCGTGCCAGTGCATCTGCGATGACAGCGGCTCAACTTGTTGCCGGACATAGGAGAAAGAAGGGCCTTTCTTTTCGTGCGGGATGGCAGACAGGGGAAACAGAATTCTTCTATTTCGATAATACGGCTAGCAAAAGAAGGAGTGCGGCTAGGGCGTCGGCAAGTATGTCAGCGTTCGCACAACAGGGCAGGGTAAGTGGTGGCGTAGCTGCTGTGCCGGGACCAGCAGGAGGCCTCGGAGGGATGCCGCATAGCAACAGGACAAGTTCTGGAATGCTTCTTCAGACCGCGTTACTTGACAGAGACTTGACCAGGTTTCGTCCTGGGGATGACGTGAGTTACATAGTCAGTCTCACATTCGCACGCCTCGCTGGGGTAGCTAACGCATCTTCCGCAGGAGGGGTACTGTCTTCGGGCACGGGTGCGGCAGGAGGAGCACAGGCACTATCTTCATCACCTTCAAATATGCTTGGACAACTTGGAGGAGGATCGGGAGTAGGGGGTGCGTCTCTATATCCTTCAGCAAGTAATACTAACAACATCAATACGATTACGAAAATGCAGCCTGGCGGTGCTTCCGGTGCAGGCATCGTGGACTCTTTTTTAGATCAGTTCATCCTACGAAACGAAATCCGAGAAGCCGCTCTGCATGCAGTGTTACATCGTGTGCAGCTCAGCTGCGGTCCTTGGGGCCGCCAGCGCATCTACGGAGCTTTGCTCTCCGCTTGTGCGCGGTCTCTGCTACGAGGAAATAATGCGGACATGATCTTGTCTACGGGCGACGAGGGAGGAGACGGTACGGAGGCACGAGACGACATGGGAACTTCTAGTACTGGCTCTGTTCATGGCTCTGTTCATGCGGAAGCAGGAAAACAAAGTTCTACTTCTCATAGTATAAAAGAAGAAGCTACAACGTCTGCTGCTTCGGGTGACGTACTATCCGCAGCTGCATCTTCTCCCGTCTTGTCCCCACGTGCTCATCAGACTGACCCGAAGCAGAGTGACGCGTTGTTTTTACTATTCGTTTTCTTCCTGGTCGACACGGGGGAGGCGATTGCGCGAGGCGGCGTTGAGGCGTTACTACTCTTTGCTGTATTGCCCACAGAAACGCAAGAGCTGTGCGCTCAGTGTCTCCATCGGCTTGCGATTCTGATTGCAGCGCGCACTCCTGTGGTGTCAGGAGTGTCCTCAAACCCAAACGCTCGCTCGAGGTCTCCTGGTATCAAGCTAAAGAGAGGGACAAAGACAAACAAGATGTTGCCAAAAAATGGCGATACGACAGGGGCACATCATCTACCTGTAGAAAAAGGGGATGTATCATTAGCAGGTGCACGAAAAAATACGACATCGACATCGAGTACCAATGGCGTTGCTGATATGAACGGTGTGCAGTCAACAACGCCGACGAACTCCACAGCCGAAAACCAACATGAGGGTCCAGAGCGATACAGAGACTTGGTCATTCTAGTTGCATTGTTACTCACTAGTAATAGCAGTCCGCAAAATGTGCAGAGAAGTGCAGTTTTAGCCTTATGGTGTCTAGCTGCTACTGGGGATCGCTCCCCACTGACCGGCATCGACTGGGAGAAATCATTACTAGCGGACGTGTCTCCAGATCAAATTGAAGCTGTTTTGCGTGGTCGACTTCAACCAAGGCTGAGGGCATTTGCGAGACGTCATATTATGGTCAGCTTTTTTCCATCACATTCTCGGCATCTTGGTCCCCTTTTCCCTTGTATTCTCGTGAAATACAAGGTAAGTAAAAGGAGCCGAGGCGCAATCTAGCAGACTCTAATCATGTTACTGATCTTGGTTGTTCCCTTGCAGAGGTGGAAACAGCAAGTCGAACACCTACCTCTACTACTGCCAAGAATAGAAGTGCAGAAAGAGAATTGGAGTTATCAGGCTTCGGTCGTGGTAGTGGGGCCGGGAAAAGAAGTCAACAGAAAACACTCGAAGAACCGGGCCTTGAATGTCTTGCTACGCTTGTGCGGGATTCTACACCACTGACACAAGGAAAGATGGCTTTGAAGCTTCGTCGTTTCTGGTTGAGCACAAACCCAAATTCGACGAGCTCTCCTTGGCTAGATTCAACAATTGAAAGATCAGCAACGACATCTGCTACCAACCAATTTGCAACACTGGCTCGTGATGATACTGAAGACAACTCTACTGCAACTATGAATTCTCCTATGAGTGGTCAACATCTAGCTGGAGAAGGTCTACTCAGAAACCGTTGCCCGTTTGAAGAGTTGCCTTTCCTGAGCCGTGTGTGTGTCCTGGAAGCGCTGTTGGTTTTGCTGGGGCACACAGAACTCCCGCATATTCATGCGTCATTGGTACAAACTTGGGCACTTGTCTTTGACTATTTCGAGCAGCATTATGGAGACGAAAATGCGACTGTTGATAGAGCGGGTGCTGTTGATGGAGCGGCGAGTAGTGACTCGGCACGTTCGACGGGCAAGGCAGCTGCGGAAGCAAAGGCGTCAACCAGAGACGAGGGGCGGGAAAATGCAGCAAGTGCAACTACAGGAAATAGAGAGCCTGAGCAACAACTACAGAGCGACGAAAATCAAGTCGTTGATGAAGATGAATTTGGAGTCGCAGCAGCGCGTGTCTTCTTAGGTCTCATCACCCTTGCGCATCCAGTTCTACTAAAGTTGATCGACAAGAAAAGTGCTACTGGTGTCGATCACGGCACGACTCAACAGAGCGGTCCGGTCGAACGCGATTATGACAAGGTAGACCTGGCAATCCAAGCAGTTCATGCTTTGGGCGCTTTAGCAGTCGAGCGCAAAGTGCAGATCTGGCTACGACAAGCGGAAATTACGGAGAAACTGACGCGCTTCTGTTCTCTAGTACGGGACTTCCTGCGGATGGAACAGGACGTTGGAGGAGCCGCTGATACTTCTTGCAGAACAAGTGGCGGGGTTGGGGAAACGAGCAAGAAAGCTGGCGCAGAAAACGCTCAGCAAGTCACATCGAATATTACAGGATCGACTACAGGTAAAACCTCGTCTGCAACAACGGCTGAGGACGCCAGGGGCAGTAGTTTACAGAAAAATGAAAATAGTGATACCTCGTCTAGTACTACTAGAGTTTCGCCCGTAGCAGCGGGCACTTCGAAAAATGACGTCACTTTGCAAGGTCAAGGGATGAGTAAAGATCCTCATCCACCATCTATTGTGACGGCAACATCAACGACGTCTTCCAGAGCCAATCCTCCTGCTTCACGGCGTAGCATTATGCGTCGGCGCACATTCCGACCTACACTAGCTGGCGGCGCTCGGTTGGGTCCTCCCCAAAATAGTACTTCTAGTGGTATCCCAGCAGGTAGTGGAGGGAGTCGGAAGTCGAGAAAGAGCATAGCTGCACAAGCGGTGACTCAAAAAGAATTACTCCCTTCTGCGCACGATGCATTATCGTTGAGTCGAAACTCGTCAGGTGAAGAGTCCGAACAAATGCAGGAAATGGCTACTCCATCGTCTAGCACAGGAGTGGCACTCCCGTCTACTACAGGAGCAGGCGTTGCGGAGGTGGTTACTAGCGTCAGTAGTTCTTCAGGCAGAAACCAGGAGCGAACACAAACAGCGAGAAGGCCTAGTGCTTACCAAGTCCATAGCCTTTGTCCAGAAGACAGTGCAGTCGCAGACGATGACTACTCAGACGACACTAGTTGCTCTTCCGGAGAGCAAGTATCTGGCTTAAGATTGCAGGAAAAGCTATGGAGCATATTACTCATTTTGGGTGGCACAGCAGGGTCTCAGATGGCGTCGCATCGTAAAACGTTTCGGGACCTGTTAGAGTACCTCTGTCAATCGGACATACTTTGTGAGTCACCATTGCGGCAGCCATTGTTATTTCTCTGGCAGCGGTTGGCAGTTTGTGGGGACGTTGGCTCACAAGGTGCACGTGGGCTACTACTTAATGCTGCGAGTTGTACAACTTCTGGTACTAGGGTAGATCACAAGGATCTTCAGGACTACAACTCAAAAAGTGCCAGTCTTCAAACTACAACTGGTAAATTTAAGGCTCAACTTTCAATGATCACCATTTAGATTGGAGTCACTGAGATCGAAGACGCGGCCCCTTCTTGAGAGAACCAACAAGGGAAATAAACGAAGGGAAGAGGGGAGAGCTTTGAAGGGGGTCGCTGCCGTTCAGAGTCAGTGACCACTGACTGCTGGGCTTTAATAAATGTAAAGCCATAGCAATCGAGCAAGAGAGCGCCCTTTTGAAAGACGGGGAGTCTTTGTTTGCGGAGCTGCTTGCCTACGGGGTCGGCATGAGCAGTCCAGAGCTAACTCGCGGAGAAGCGAATGGAGAAGCGTATCGATGTGCTATTCTGAAGAAAAGTGAAAGCAACAAGAAGTCTGAGACTGAAGCTGCCTCTGTTTTCTCAACATCTTCCACATCCTGGTCGTCTAAAAATGAAATCCTGGCCAAGCCGCCTTCTGCAGCTTCTTTTGTGCTCTGTCTAAGTACAGAGGTCTTAGAACGTGTTGCTGCTCAGATTTCTACAGCAGCTGCTCAACTTCTGATGCGTCCGTTGATGCGAGGTCTGGTGAAATTTTTGTCCTGGCTTTCGAGCGATGCGAACCAGAAACACGAAAAGCAAGTGGCAGCGGACGTTGTAGAGTCTCTGATGCGTGTGTTGGCGATTCTACTAGACTTAAGGCTGCAAGAAATCCATATCCATCTTAACCACCATGATATTGGGCCCGTTTCTTCACGGAAATAAACGGGCACCAGGAAGATGCTGCACAAGATGATTAGATTAGATTAGATTAGATTAGATTAGAGTGGCTTCCGCCTCAGCCCTGCGCTTCAAGCACCGGATCTGCAGAAATTTCCCTTTGACTCGCTAGGATATTTCTTAGAATGAATGATGGATCATATCTCTTAGCTCTAACAGACAGACAAGGTGGCGTCGTGCGGCAACTGCTTCCAGAAGTGCAATTGCATCGATGGATTGGGGAAATGTTTGCGCTCATAGCGAATGTAAAACTACTACGCCTTCAAGTAGTGGACGATGAAGAGGGACCCTTGCAGCATGTCTGTTCCCGTCTCACCGAAGACAACACAAGAACAGTGGATAACGACGGAAACGAGGGACGGCGTGCATTATCCGACTCGTCCGATGAGTACCACCAGAAGAACCTGAACCCGTGTGAGTTTCTCAAGGACGATGGTGAACGTTTCTTAGCAGTCTTTTTACGCCTCTTGCGCGCTTTGGAGGGTCATTGTGTTGCCTCGGACAGGAGTGCTTTGGATCGTGTTGATGAGTCGATCCATAGCGGAGTCAAAAAGGGACGTAGTACAACCGAAGAAACATCTTCAAATAGAAATATCAAAGTGTTGTTCCACAAGAGAAACGTTCTGGAGATCCTATGCGAACACTCTCAGAGAGTGTGCGATGATGTGGAATGTCTAGATCCAAGTGGTTGGCGCCGTGTGGAATGCTTGGGTTCTCTCGCTGCTTTGATAGAATTGCGACTTGGTAGAGGGACGTCCGGAATGGATAGTACAACAGGTGCGCTCGAAGGAGATAAAAAAACAGAAGACTTTTCTACTAAAAGTACACCGACAGCTGAAGCAGATAACACAGCAGCAGCATTGGTGCGGTCTCTTGTACTTTTGAGACGATCTTTTGCGGCTGATGATGGAGACAAAGGCTACTACTCGTCTAGAGTGCAAGAAGCATCAAGGTCGTGCATTTACTCCGCTCTCCGCGAACTAATGTTTCATCGTGGATTGACGGAGGTGTCTGCAGCAATGCTACAACGCGTTTGCGTCACTGTGTTGGAGGAGAAGAAACTACGCGATGGTCGATTATCCGAGAAGATGAAGAACAATGCTGGGAACACAACTATTGTTAAGGGTAGGTTAAAGGTGCTTTTCTTACCGCTTTTTATGCCTCTCCTAAGGGAGAAAGGCATAACAAGCGGGGTAAGCGAGCACCAAAAACCTACCTCTAATATCGATAATGCAGATTGTTCAACATCTTCGAGTTCGAGTAGGCTATCACTACCGCTGGCTTTGCTTCTCGGGAGACTTCTGCTTGCGGTTTCTGCGCGGATATCGACCTCGACGAGGAGTCGATCTGTACTAGATCGTGGAAAAGAACCTGCAGACGAGCTACAAGAGATGCTCACTTTTCTGAAAGATTATCACAGAAAATTAACCCGCGTGCTTGTTGAAGAGGCGGATGTCGGGATCAACTCGGTGGAGGTCGTGCGTGCGATTATGCAATCGTTGAATTTCGCCGCTAGCCGCAGTACAACGGTGTTCAAGCATGATCTTCATGCGGAACAAACTTGTGGACGAGTACTATATGATCATCCTTCCTCTACACGAACTTCTCAGCCAATTACTAGTACAGAAGTGGAGTCTATTTCTAATTCTAGTGGGGATGATTTTTCCCCGACATTGCGAGAGTTGCTGATGATGCAGAGGGACGTTGCTCCGCGACTCTTCCGGCTTATCGATCAGAAACCAACACCGGAAGCAGAAAACTCGGAACAGTCCCTAGAACTATGTGCCGACGCTTACTCCTTGATAGCTATGCTTGCCGGACGCGGGTCAGCCTTCTTCGTTTTTCAGGAAGAACAGAAGGCAGAAGCAAAAGGAAATAACTTATCTCAAGCTTCTTCCCTTACACCCAGAAAGCGGAACCCTGCAGTCGTGAATGAGCCACCCTTTGAGCACAGTAAAAAGGAGTTGACTGAACTGCTGTGTATGAAGCTTGTTCAGCATGCTAGAGAACTATCACTTTGTTCATCGGGAACCACAACAGGACTACCCCCGTCATTAGAGGGTCGTTGTGCGGCGAATGCCTGCTTTGCTTTGGGTTATTTGCTGTCGCTGAAGATTGAGATAGACGCTACTGCAAATGCACCAGCTAGTCCAGGACAAGAACCGCGTGACGCAAAAACGCCATCTCCAGCGTCTCGTCCGCCTGCTACCTTGCTGCAAACACAGGATGATACTTCTTACACCATTTCGTCTACGTCGGATGGTGGTGGTAAAGCACGAGGAGCCGACGCCAAGAAAGAGAAAGACTCCAACATTTTCAAAGTCCTCTTTGTCGCATGTTCGCCTGTGCTTAAAGCGCTCGTGTCACTACTATCGAAGATGCCAACTGCGGCTCTCTTTGCCTTGGCGAGTTTCTTCGAGAATTGCCCTCGCCTTCTTCAGCCTGAATTAGCAACGGCTTTTGTAGAAGTTGGCGGACTCAGAGAGTTAGAAACACTGGAGACAGGAATTACGTCTAAAATGATGATGTTGTGGCAGAACTGCGGGCAGAAGTCGTTTTTGGCAGTGGAAAAATCGCCTCCGTCGAGGAAGACGGACCGCTCAAAAACAACTTCTCTTTTTACTACAGAATCCGACCCTTCAAGAGCTTCATCGCAGTTGCCAGTATCAACGTTTTTCTCCGTGAATGATCACCGATTAGCAAAGTCGAAATCAGATCACAAGAATCAGCACAGTGCTGAAGAACAAGATGGCAAAATAAAGTTGAACAGAGTAGTAGAATTTCAGATAGCTGAGTGTGTAGAGGAGGGCGAAGCATCAGGAATGTTGGCGCGGGAAGTATGTGGAGATCCTGAAGCAGACGTAAATAACAAGAAGGCTGCACTTAGTACAGCCAATGCGGGAGATGAAGTCCTATCTGGCGAACACGATGAGGACGACCGAGAAGTAGAACTACAGGAACTAAGTAGGAATATGGCCTTCAAAAGTTTTGACAACTTAGCAGAAGGCGATATTGGTCTGCGTTGGGACCGTTTTGCTGCGTTTGAGTTTTCTCTTCTACGTCTCCTACAGGAGCTCGCACAAGGAGGAGCGGCAGTGCGACGGGAACTGTGCGCCAAAAATATACCTTTCCTTATGGCTCCTGAGACTGCGTTTCATACTGATTGTGGGCCATTCTACGGTCATCAGGAAAAGAGTTCTTTCTTAATCAAAGAGAGTAGATCTCTAGCTTTTGGATCCAAGGGCTCTCTTTGCGTAGGCCTTTCTAATTCTGTGCGACGCGTCTTCCTTCTCGCAGAAGATGACTCAGACAAAGATCTGCTGAAGCAAGCGCTTCTCGCGTGTGGCTTGCTCGCCGCGTCTGAGCCTGAGGCACAGGCCACATTGTTGTCTCAAGCTTTGGCGCAACGAATAGTGGCACTAGCAAATAGTAGGGAACAGCCACATTCTGTAGTGCGGACTGCTGAGTGGGTCGCTCATAGTGGTTTTGCCACGCATGTTGTCGACAATCTGAGGAGTAATTTGCGCAATGAGGAGGAGAGCGGAGACCATGATACCCTTTTGGGACCAGGAAGTAGTGCAATAGCGAAAAGTTCTGGACTTTTGCTGGGAGGGAAGAAGAGCACAACAACAATTTATGGATTGGTTGTCCTTTTAGAGTTCTAGGATTCAAACCAGAAGAGGCCCCATTCAATGACAATCTTAATTCCTATCTGCTGTGCGTCAAATAAGAGGCTTTTATTTTGAATGACACTGCAAATTCCTATGTGCTGCGTCACGTCTAATATTGCACGGAGAAAGACGCTGTTATTTTTTCGCCTTCGGGCGAAGGCACCGACCATAACAAGCAGCAAACTCGTGGATCGCCTTCGCGACGTCTGAGGACCACAACAGCGTCAGAGGGCGCAAAAGGAAGCAACTATAGTCATCCGAGCAGCCCACAGCCTGGTCAAGGTGACAACTTCTCAGCGAGGAGGACAAACACAAAGCGAGAAGACCACTCTTCACCTCTACCGACGAAGAAAGAGCAGCGCCATAGTTCTTATAGAGGAGCTACTACTTTCTCGACATCATCGCCACGTGGTAAAGCTTCGCCACGTGGAACTGAACTTGGGCGTCGCAGCTCAATGGCCGAACACAGAGCACACAAAAGCCGAGCGCAGAGCAGAAAAACTCAGAAAAAGTTATGAATTTACGTTCTAGTAGATGGACACCCTGTGACGTTGATGCACATTCATAAATACTACTTCATTGCACCGAATAGCTATTATTTTAGTACAACGAGAATGCAACTTGCATTCCGCCACAATAAAGTGGTGGCACGATGCAAGAAGAAGTAGAGAAGGAGTAATGCTTAACCCCTAGAGTGGGTAAGTACATTCATTCACTCATTCATTCATTCACTCACTCATTTACTCACTCATACTTTTCTAAGCAAGACGACGCAACTTAAGCGGAATCTAGCAGGTGAGGTGCGAGAGCTCTTTGCCTCACTGTCGCAAAGTCTTCCCGCGGGAACGGAAACGCGAGATGAGTAAGGCGTGCTGAACGGTTCCAAGCAATAATCTCTGAATGTGATTTCTGATAAGTGAACAGGCCAACGCCTAAACCACTAAGCCAAAAACCTGAGTTCTTTTTGTATTTAGACGTAGTTGGGTCCATCCAGTACAGGATACTTGAAAGGCCTCAACAGCAAAACACATAAAAGAGGGTCCATGACATGACATGACATGACATGACATGACATGACATGACATGACAGTAGCAGTTGAAATAGCATACGAACCGTGTTAAGTATATCAATGTCTATGAATTATTTCTCTTTGTACTTACAGGACTGAGTATGAGTTTCAATAGGCCCCCTAGGAAGTTGCATTTGCAGTTGCACAGACCGATGAGAGTTGTTGGAAAAGATTAGTACTCTCGCATAGGATCATTTTTAGCAGTGAATATTGAATGCTAGTAGCACGATTGTACTCAGTAATGCCAAGTTGTAAGTACTTATATGCAGAATATAATTATCCTGTCAGAAGACGCGATAGTGGCTTTAGAGTAAGCATGCAATTTCGATATGGACTCGATGCAATTATACTCAACCAAGTGATCATACAAGCAGCAGCGAACGCGAACGTGAACAAGAAAATACTCGATGGAAATTTAGGGCAATCTTGAACAAATCGAAGTGGGATAGAGACACTAGTAAAGCGCGACAGTTCGCAGTGCTGTCATTCGTAGCAAGTTCCTCGGTCACGTACCGACACACGAGTACGAGGGAATCTCTGTGCGCATGATATATTAAGAACACGGTTCTGTTCATATTGAGCGACGAGGGTTTTGTTTGATTACACGAAGATCTAGATTCTGGAAGAGATGTCATGCTTCTGTCTGATTTGATAATCTGTGCTAGAGAGACGAGTTGTCAGCTCAGTATTTATCGATACACCTGTCGAGTCCTTGGTCTTCCTCGGTTTATCAACATTATCGACACAACTATTCATTCTCTGTTCTTGAGAGCTAATATAGTCTATCTACTTCAATCCTATTCTGTCCGCATCAGGTGAATCTCAGGGAAGTCTACTTCTCTGAGGTTCGTTTTGCCCCTTCTAGTTCATTGTGTAGTTTGTACTAATTCTACTTGCTAGCCCGTTGCCACTGCAAGAATCGCATCGCTCGATTTTAGCAGGAGCTCTAGTAAGTACTATTTCAGTTGTGAACTAGAACGGTTTTTTTTTAGATGTAAGTAGTGGGTTTGATTGATGTGTGTATAAGAACTGCGTGGACAATAACATCGCGTTTCATCTTCTTCGAGGGCTTCAACACGTTTAACTCAAATTGAAACCCCCACTATTCTATGGAAGTAGGATTTTCTTTATCGACTTAGAGGAAAAGTTGTGACAACATCACTATTTTTTCGTTCCGAGTTCGTGTAAGAAAGAACACCACTATTTTTGATCATTTTGTTTAATGGAAAAGTGGTGACAACATCACTATTTTTTCGGTCCTAGTTCGTGTAAGAAAGAACACCAGTATTTTTGATCATTTTGTTTCAACGGACTAAGAAGACGTTTCGTGTAAATACAAAATTTTCAACATCCAAGAGTTGTAGTTGACGATAGTTACTCTTACTGTTTGGTAGTCCCTCTGAGGCTACGGACGGTCGCCCGAGGATACAGGTCACACTGTGGACGGCGAGCCAATTCCTATCCTAAGCGCACTTGGAATTTTCCGCAAGGCCTAGTTCCATTCTTAGTTGTAGAAGTTCTACTCCTAGTTTTTATAGCAACATACCACTAGGATGTCACCTCCCGCCCCTACTGTCCTCTCTGTGGCGGGTCTTCATGACTGGCGCCATGCCTTAGAGCATGATGGGGAAGAAGCCACAAAAAATGCTAACCAAGAAAATGCTAACAATGCTACTGACGCAAGCCAGTTCCCAGCCAGAAAGCACAGTAAGTCTAAGCGCAATTCGTTTGGCGATACCTTCCGCAACTATGAGGAGTCCAAGCGACAAGAAATTGTGGCAAGGACGTACCGACTCCAACATACCAACCAGACTGTGGCATTCGTGAGGAAAATGCAGGAAAAGTGGCTTGCGTTCGACAAAGGAGAATACACGATCATGGAGATGATTGATTTGCTGGATTTATGAAGACGTCGAGTTCTACTAGTAGTAGTTGATGAATCTAAATGTAAAGGTATACTATAGGTATTCCTACATCAGTATAGAGGTATACCTATAGCAGGTATTTCTACAGTATGGGTATACGTAGATCTTCTTGTACTGTCGGCGAGTGTGTGTGTGAATTATGGCAACAACAGCCTGCACAGCTCCTCTCTAGAAAAAATATCGAGAGTCGAATTCGAGATTTTTTGTCTAATCTCCACACTGATCGACGACAGTGATCCGGACAACGATTTGCCCAACAGTATCCACGACTTCCAAACCGCAGAGAGGATCCGAGCGAAATACCCTGAGGCCGAATACGACTGGTTCCATCTGATCGGCTTGCTGCACGACATTGGCAAGGTGTTGGCTCTTCCTCAAGTAGCCGGTGCTGACAACGTCCTTCCGCAATGGGCAGTCGTCGGCGACACCTTTCCAGTAGGGTGCCAACCCGCACCAGAAATCGTTTTTGGGGTGGAAAGTTTTGCGGAGAATCCGGATTTTTTTGTTCAAGGTGCTGCAGAGGAGGTAAAAATTAGCAGAGAAAATACTATATCAACTGCAGCGGCTACTTCCGAAAATGAGGACGTCAGCAAGGACACATCAACCATGATCACAACTGACGGTCCCTACAACACCTCTTTGGGCATGTACACGAAGAATTGCGGTCTGGATGCACTACTGTTATGGTGAATGATTTCAATCTGTACATTTACTGTTCGTGAATCTCTTGCGCAGTAAAGAATCTCCTCGGAATCTAATTCAATGTGAAGATTCTTGTTTCTTCCCGTGGTTTTTATTCGCCATTTCATTGCCTCCTCACTCTAATCTGCATGTCCTGGGGTCACGACGAGTACATGTACCAGGTCCTAAAAGCCAACAATTGCACCCTGCCGAAAAAGGGCCTAGACATGATCCGCTACCACAGCTTTTATCCATGGCACGAGAAGCGAGCTTACACGCACTTGGAGTCGGTCGAAGATAGGGAGGAGACGTTGCCATGGGTCCGGGAATTCAACACGTTCGATCTCTACAGTAAAGCCGATTCCTTGCCGGATGTGGAAAAGCTGAAGCCCTACTACCAACGGTTGTTGAAAAAGTACAACATTGGGGGCAAGATAAAATGGTGAGAAAATGACATTGTGGAAGCGCGGTCGGAGGGGCATCAACTATATAGTAAATACTTGAGTACTTTCAACTGTTATGGATTTTTTCTTGCTTCTTGTCCTCAATCAATATGATTGGGATACTGTAGTTTGTAGCCAAAATACAGCGTCAATAGATTTAGATTTACTCCAAATTTTTTTGATACAAAATGACCACTGAATCTATCATCCTCATCTTCCACAATACTTTTCGACAGTGCTGGTCGCATATTCTCAACTTCGAATGCAATGTTCATCATGTGTAAAAAATAGGCGACATATTTATTGTAAACAGATATGAGCATCCATATCTTTCTTAAGCATCATGTGAAGTTAGCGTAGTTGTGCTTCACTTTAGTAGTATGCGATATATGTGTTTGGTGTTGTGGTCAATTCGTGAGTCCTCCAATATCGACGTGCGTACTTCGTGTAGAACTTCATCCGGTTCTTGTGACATTTTGTTTGAAATAGTAGATCTAGACATATTGTTTCTGCAATTTATTCCTCGTTGGCTTACAAGTTCTACTCTTTTGTGGGATCTTGTCACATCGATTCATCCTGCCGGTAGGTGCAGCAAACCTATTTAGGATGCACAGAATAGAATAACCTTGTTGAGTCTCTAGCAATTCGCGTCCTCTGAGATAGCACGACGTACTAGTGGTCATACACTTCGAAATAGGCCAGCGAAGTCGCTTAGCGGCCAAGAAGGAAGTGTAAGAACAGTAAATATTCTGCTAAGAGATAGCTCAGGGTTGTTACAGGGAATTGTTTAGGAGCCTTAAGGTACCACGGCAGAGAAGTTGCTACTTCATACTTGAACAGTTTGTCACCTGTGTTCAAGGCATAGAAATTGGAATTTGTTCACTCGTCCACGTTCTTCCGGACGGAGACTCCTCTCCATGGCGAACGAGGATGTCTTGCCTGTATTCGCTGCCATTATCTACAAGCCAAGTAGGTCGTTTCCGTTTGTATGTAGTACGGGTACCCCGCTGGGACCAGAATGAATTTCCAATGAAGTAGCGATCAACAACCTATTGGCGCCAGAAAAATGTTCCTCGGAGGTCATGATCCTCGAGAAGTCAGTGATCGTTCTGAATCTGGAATGTGAAATTTTGTGACCTCAGCATCTTGATCATCAGCAGCTTCCTTGAGGTTCTTTCAAGAAATACAAATATTTCCACGATGAACTACGTCGATCCGAACCTCTGTTCCGCTACAGAAGAAGGAAGTTGATCGTTCAATGCGGCAGAAGAAGTCTTTAATGAAGGTCATGGGGACCCTTGACTTCAAGCTCATGGGGACCATTCGCTACAGAGTGAACTTCAAGGTAGAAGAATAAGTTGAAGATTGCGGATCACGCCCTAGCAAAGCTGTTTCTGGTGATTTGATTTTCTGAAGAATTTATTACAACAAGTACTAGTACTACGATTGAATTACAATTAGCCTGTCGAGAACCACCTTGGCGTCAAAAAATCGCAGGAATTTTTTCCTACAAGCTACCTAACTACCTGAAATAAACTTGCATAAAGAGTAAGTAACTTCTAACTTTACTTTGAGAATTATTACTTTTTTACGTCAAGAAGCCCAACAACTAAAAACAAGAAAAATGGTGAAGCGTGGTGGAGACGATAAGAACAGTGTCGTCAAGATTGACGCACTGGTATTCTTGCGAATCGCCAAGCATGGCAAGCAGATGTACCCAAACTCAGCTAGTGGATCTTTGCTCGGCTTGGACGCGGATGATGCTTTGCGAGTCACCAACTGCTTCGCATACAAGAGCAGAGAGGGCGACGTCGTAGGTACCAAGGCCGGCGAGGAATTCTTGGAATACCAGTATGGTATGCTAAAGGCGATCGAGGAAGCACGAGGAGATGCCAATGCGGTGGGATGGTAAACAACTGGCTTTTAAGTATATTCTGCTGTTCTATTCGTGGAAGTACATTTTGTTCTAGTGTGGATGGTTCTCTTGTTCTAGTGGAAGTGACAGTAAGTACATTTTGTGTCGATGTAGTTCTTGTAGTAGATTTTGATCAATATCGGTTCGTGTTCATACAGAGACCAGAGGATTATATTCCTTGACTTCTCATCATTCTGTCACTTCTCATCATTCTTTCAAGTGCATCTGATAATTTGAGTAACTCGCTCTCCACCTGAAGGTACGAGACGACTCACCACGGAAATTTTTTGTCCGAAGCTTTGATTGAATACCAGTACCAATTCCAGAAGGAAGTCCCGAGTGCAGTTGTTGTAGTCTACGAGCAGTCTAAGCAGAAGCAAGGCAAGTGCGGCTTCGCCGCCTACCGACTCACGGAAAAGGCCATGAAGCAGCGCTCCATGACCGGAAGTAACCTCGCAGGTGCGGTTGAGGGAGAAGAGGTAGTGGATCTAGATTTTTTATATGACGTTGCGTTACGCATACGCGGGCTTAGTCATACTAGGTTTTAGATTTGTTTGTAGAAAAATCGTTTCTTAAATTCTGAGGCCTGTGAGATCGTTTCAAGAATGCTGTTACTAGAGCTCATGTTGCTCGACTTGATGTCAAAGACGATGCAGATGAAAAGGCTACCAAGGTGGACTTCTTTTTACAGTACTAAGATCTTCTCATCCAAGGACCCCTACCCGTACATAAAAACAGGAGGACCTCTTCCAAGATTTTCCATCTTCGGAATTGTTAGAGGAAGTTCCGATTATGGTGCACTGCAGTCCTCTCGCGGAAACACTGTTGCTCCAGTACACTGGTGTCGCAACCTCTGCTTTTGACTCTGGTTTCTCAGCTGCATTTGATACTTCTCTTAAGGCTCCTTCAAGAAATCCATCTCGATCTCAGCTATAGCATCAATCTTGTTCTACTTGGGTCCGTTTTCTAAGGAAGAAAAACAAGATCTTTCCGTTTTTTCTCAAGGGAAAAGAAACGGGCTTCTTCCCTAAGGAAGGAATACAACGGGAAACAGCACGATCCTGATGCTCTACTTCTACCAGATGATGGGTTTCTTCTTCTAGCTCTAATTCTCAAACGTTTTCGTCCATGGAACGTAACTTGAGTCTTCTCCTAGAGTCTCTCGAGGAATTGTCGCTGCAACAGAGGGAAATGAACCAGTTTGAGAGGATGACCAGGGTGCAGAAGGAAAAGCATTTGAAGAATCAGCAGCATCGCATGCCGAAGACATTGGATACTTATGGATCATTTTTGCAACTAATTCTAATTGTAGTTTTCCTTTAAATTTTACCTTCGATACTTATGGATTGCAACTATACCACTGTAATTATTTTTGTTTAAATTTTACCTTCGATACTTATGGATTGCAACTATAGTACTATTTTGAGAAGCAATGAGGATGAACTACTTGTAATCATTCGCTTGCTGATGTGATCCAGCTCGTCCTCTACTTCTTGATTAAAAACTTGAACATCTTTTTCCAGAGGTATTCTTCCACAGAGCAAAATAGAATTCCAAAGAACATCCAAAGTTAATGTAATACTAGTCGATCCTGCCTCTTCTAATCTCCGCTGAACCTGACGCAGCAGATCCGCACTCACTGTTCTTCCGTCGACACGCAAGCGCAGGATACCTTTTCCAAGCTGTTTTTGTTGAGCGCGGATAAGGAGGAGGACACACCGAATGACTTTGGGCCAGCTTTGAGCGTCCGCAATGTGATGGAGAAACTACGAACGGTGAAAAACTGAGATGTTGGTTCCCTATATGTAATGAAAGGAAGAAATTTATGGGGAGATAGGGGAGCAGAACAGAATGAGTGAACAAATAAGCACAACTAGTAAAAACGACCTCGTCTTACCTGCTAGGTTATTCTAATATCATGCACCCCATCGATATCTTCACAAATCTATTTTAGTTATGGAGTTTCACTATTATATTTATATATTCAATTTTCGAAGATTCACTATTATATATCCATTGTCTCATTCGAAGATTCACATGTGCTTGTGCATCCTGAAATATTGAATACTTGCAAGAAATCCAAAAGCATCAGCATGAGCTTCTTCTATTTCATAGCATGGTTACTTCGCCTAGAAGTTGCTTGTTATAAGTACAAGCTGCATCAGTTGTCATGATCATGTATGAACCTGTAGCTTTCACATCTCTACGGTGGTCGCGAATGATCATACCAGGGGCACACACATGACACACGTAAATGCTAGAAGGTGGCACATACGTGATTTACCCCAGCAATATCGCTCGCAATCATAAGAAGAACTTGCTATTTCTTACACTGACGAAATTGGCAAGGAAGCATAGTGCAAATATCGGCCTCCTACAAAATGATGACAAGCAAAGCGATACTTGTAATCGCAACAACAACGCCCGAGAAAATAGTGCCGCCCGAGTTAATGCAACTGCAAGAGACTTGCAAGAAGTTCCCCTCAAGAATTGCAAGAAGATTCCCTTTGAAAGGAAAATGGTGATCATCTTGCTCAACTAGTACATGTTGTGCATGTAGTAATCGAAAGAATCTTATCGGAATAGACGAAAATAAAATCAGTACCATTCGGTCTACTCTCGGATCTCTGACGAAAACACATGAGAAACAGCAGAATAGAATGCAGAAGTGACCACATCAAAATGCCAATAGGCAGGTCAAATTCGACAACGAACGATCATGAGCACTACACGGCATTCTTTCCTGAAAATGGGATCAATGAAGCGCTTGTGCTTGTTTGTTGTATCACAAAAAATCTGGAGGATCCTCTGTAATGTGCTCGGCCCGACAGTGTGTCACGTATCGGTGCATGCACTTGTGCATAGGTACTGTTACATTTTCTGTAATTGCAGTATAACAACTCCCCCACCAGAAAAGTCTGCAGTTGTGCTACCCATCTAGGCCACTTCGGTGAAGTTTAGTTGGGAGGTGCCACGAGCGTACGCTTGGCCAAAAGTTACTTATAAGCAGGCAACTCTGGAACTTCTATGTTAGGTGATCCACAGGGCTCTAGGGCTTCTTAGGTGCTCCATAGGGCTCTCGTCCAACTTCAGCTACTAGTGTGTACGTTTATGCCCTCACTTGTACTTGAGTTTGAAGATTTTTTCAGATAACTAGAAGCGACTACGCCACGACGACTAGAAAATGTCGACTTCCGCAGAGGCACCAGAGAACAAAGACAAAGTCATGGAAGAACGACTCTTACCTGCACCAGAACGGCTCCTACCTGCACCAGAGGAACAGCAACAACAACAACAACAACAAGGTGGCATAATGAACGTTCTCGCGACAGGTGGTGAACATCAAGCAGTTCCACCTTCAGGTCATGGAAACCAAGCGCCTCTCCTTAAGGGTTGCAAGTATTGGCCTATAGTCTATCATCTCTTATAAGCATGGATGCACTAGTCTAAGTCTATCACCTTTTCTTTATCAAGGGGGGTAAAACTAAAAGGCATAGATGTGTTAGATAAATTATCTACGCTTGTTATGTAAGTTTCTAGATCATCGGTCAAGAATTTGCAAGCGCTAATCTCTCACCCGGTAGCGGTCAACCACCAGCAACACAGGTGGACTTTGGGATGAGCCAGAATGAACCAGAAGATGGCGAAAATGCGGCTCCTCCACAAGAAGAAGTGCGAACCTCAATGAAAGTTATGGCTAGAAAGATGAACAGCAACAGGAACAGCACCTAGATCATGGATAGGATGGATATCGATATAAATCATTCGTCCTCCGTAACTCTAGTGCTCTGTAACAGTTGTAGTGGGTTGAATTTGTATCAAGATCAACCTTAGTACTAACGTTTTCTCTGTTGTGGGTTGTACCGACCCCGCTTCATATTTTGATTTTCGTAATTGGGAAGCGGGGGTCAATGCCTCATCCTAGCGTATTGTGGATGGCACATTAGACTTAGTCGTAGTTTTCTTCATCAACGTAGCTCACTGCTCGGCTAAGCGAATAACTACTTATCAAAAAAGCCCCTCGTGCACATTATATATTTGCATAAGCAACTTGGACGAAAAAACCCTAAGCCCTAGCCCATCCCCTCGCATCAGTCTGTAAGTCAGCTAAACCCTCAACATCATCTAACACCTTATCGAATTCCTCGGAGTTGGAACCTATACGGAGTGCCAAGTTGAGCGAGGAGGTGAGGAAATGCCGAAGGATAGCTCCAGAACGGTACCAGAGCGTCTTCAAACAGGCTCAGGCATACTTCTCAGTCGAAGACTTCGAGCCCTGGCTTCAAGATGCACAAAACCAGCTGAGGCTTAGGGAGTACTTACAATTTACTTGTTGATGTTGTAGTCCCTCCAATCGATGCTGTTAATGTTGTGCTTGTGGTCGTGGTCGAGTTCTTGTGTTGTTGTGGATTCATTTGCTGGTCGTTGATGTGATTTTGGATTTGGTGGAGCATTTTTTTTTCGTTTTGTTCTCACTCGTCTAGATACAACTTGTTGCACCTACAGTGCTTGAAATTAAATATATTATCTTTCTTCTGGTTTTCAGTTTAATGATCATGATTATCTTCAAGCCTATGAGTAAAAATTATCGCGCTAAAAAACAACTCTCTACTCAAAAACAGCCCTCCCTTGTTCTACTCTCTTGAATATAAAACTCTTTACCAGGTGGCTCCTGCAATTCAACAGTAGTGACGCGCATACTTCCTCTAAGGGAACGAAAGCTTTGTATGATTTCGTGAAAGTTCGGGTGATGGCTAGGCGTCGCCAATTAGACAGCCAGGGCATGTCCAGCTCCAAAGTGGTGGAATACTTAAGGCGTGGTGGTGGTCTCGTTTTCAAGTCCCCCCTGGTAGTAGTAGTAGTGTACCCAGTCTGGAGTTATAATTCAAATTTCTCCGGGTTGTTGTGGGAGCGTGGTCCCTTATTATTCGAAAACTGAACATAAGCGAGTTGTAGCTAACTGAAGAAATGAAATTCATCTTGGAGGTTGTTGAGAAGCATATTGGGCGAGCCTTTGGCTATCCCTAAGGAAGGATCTTGAGAAGCATCTCCCTTCTTCTTTGACCTCCCCTATTCCCTATAAGGAAAGGGAGCATCTTCTTGGGCCTTTCCCTAAGGGGAAAGCACACCACGAGGACATCTTCATCTTTGACCATGGACGCCCCTTAATTTCTCTATAATGTAGGAAAGGGAAGCAGTTCAAGATGCCATCCATCCAATCCATATCTACCTCACAAGTAGTTCATACCATTTACTGTTGTTAGAACGCCGCTACAAGTCTGGGTCATTGGTAGTTTCTTTGGTGTAGTGAAAGTAAAACTTGTAGAGTTAGACTGTCATCAGTGTAAGGCATCAACAGGCTCCAGCTCTAAAGTACGTCTTTCACCGAACAAAGAAGGCATACGGATCACAGTCGATGGGGTTATGGGCAGCCTACCTGGAGTCCAAATCAAAAAAAGTCGCCGTCTACGTGGACAACCAAATACAGTAATATTTAGTAGACTTTGGTTTACTATGTACAGCAAGAATGGCGACGATGTGTCTTGTTTTCGTTTCATTTTTCCGTCAGTAGAGTTGTCTCATCATTTACGCACATGCAACTACTTATTTCTACTGATTTTTTTACACTAATGAAATAGCATTTGAATTTGAGTGATTTGATGATATCCAAGAATTTTTGACGTTATTCCATTTAGTGCGAATTCATTTCCTGGCGAAGAGATTGCACCAGCATCAGATTTGAATCAGAAACTGCCACACTCTGTCCTGAAAAGTATACTAATAGTATTCATGTCACCTATAAAAGCGTGAACAGTTCTCAAATTCCTCTAGAAACGCTTAAAAAAGTTGAAATATATTCAATATTTACTAACATGATGCAAATCCACAAAAAAATCTCAAATGTAATCTATACTAGAACAGTTTATAGGGGTGTCGGATTCAGGATGGCATGGAACGGATGGACCTCCCAGGTCCGCTAAGAATTTCAAGTAGGGCCCGAAGGCTTAGGTGTGCCCATCCCATTCACCCACGGCCGTCCTGCGTCCGTTCTTTGAATTATTCTAATGTAGTCTTTTGCTTTCTGACTGTTTCTCGTGTTTGTTGAGTTTGCAACTTTGGCCACCGATATTACGTAATCTATCGAAAACACCTAACCCTATCCACAAAGAAACTACAACAGGGAAGCAGAGCGCGCGCATAAGGCAAAATCGTTCACAAGTAGTGGAGGCGCTTCTGTTAGCAGTGGCGCAATAGGCAGTTCGGGATCTACAGCTGCTCTGCATGAGAGGATCCGCGCGATCAAGGCGAGAGCTAACGCTACAGATAGCGCACCGAGGACACTGGCGAATGGAGGTACAATTACCTATGTTGTACTATTTTGTTCATACAGTAACCTAACCACAGGAAGCAAAGGCGCCACCCTATATGTATCCTATCCTAAGGATTAGTTTTGGTTTTCTTGAAAAAGGTATGAAAATTACTACAAAAAACTACTGCATTAATTTCATATATTCGGTGCGGACGTGTATAAGTATAATGTTGTTGTTTTTTTGTTTTCTTTAAATGAACTATACCCTGGAATTGTTGATCATGTTCGAGCAAATAGAACCTCGTAGGTACGAGCAGCCTATAGTGTTGCACTCGTCACTTTAATAGAAGCCGAGCTAGGTAGAGAATAGCTACTCTAAACAACTCAGGCCCAGTTAGCACTTTGACGCTGACCCAGGATGCCTTAGAGAAGCTGGGCAAGAGACCCGCGCCTGCACCGCCGAAAGACGTGCAAAGGAAAAGAAGAAAAGATTAAGGCCCCACCACTTAATACATCTTTTAGCTCATCTGGTGTAAGCTGTTTTCAAGTAGAAAAGGGGAGACAGATGAGGCAAAAGATGGATTGTGGTGAGTTCTAAAAAGGAGAGGAGGATAGAGACCGAAGGCGCAAGCCAGATCAGGACGTTGATAGGGATAATCTGAAGCGTACTAGTACTGGAGCTGGTGGAGTCAACGCAGCATCTTCTTCAAAGGTGGGAGTAGAACCCAGAAAAAGAAAATTCAGTAGCCTTACCGCACAGGAACTGTTAGGAGGAGATTCCTTGCCAGATAGGAAAGCAACGACTACAGCTGGTGGGGCTTCATCTAGTGCGGCTTTTGGTCATCATGCAGTTGCTTCAAGCACGACGACCACTACGACCAAGAAGCCATCAATTTTCACTAGCACACCACACTTACGGCTTACAGTTACACTATTTAACTCATCTTATATTAAGAAGCATCTGTGACCCCCCTTTAAGGGGAAAGCACGCTTACACCAGATAACGGATCTTCTATTTTTAAGAATATTTAGATTTTTTTCTTTTTCTTTGGTCGTCCCCTTTTCTTTAAGGGACGAAGCAAAGAAAGCACCACGGTAAAGAAGATGCTTTTCGTCAAGATGAAGAATATAAGTTACAAGGTCTAACAAATGGCTTACCACTGCCACCGCCTGCAGCACAGTATTATGGGGAGTTGGAAATGCAACCTACACTACGCTATCTGAGGAATATGCCAGCAGGTTCGATCTCTTCTAGCCCAAAACCCACTCCTTCTACCACGACAACGACGATGCAACAACATACTAGTACTACGGCAGGTCCTCCTACAAATGGAGTAGTTGTACCTGGAGGAGCTAATGGTGCACCAAATAGTTCCTCTTCAGCAGCAGCAGCCTTACTAGCAGACGATGACGACGACCTCTTAGCGGATGACATGATTATTACGGCTTGAGGAAATCCATCCTCGTGTCCCCGTCTATCACCTTCCCCCTGTTTTTAGAAAAAGGGAAAGAACGGGAGGTAAAGGATGGGTTTCTGTATAAGAAGTTCTAAGATTCGCACTAAAAAGAAGAAAACCGCGACAGGCTTTGAAGATGTGGACATTGACTACGATGACTTGTGAACGGAGGAGATGAAAGATATGAACAAGGAGAGGACAAGTACCAATCAGCATCACCTCAAAGTAGGATTAAAAAAACACGGTGGAGCACTAAAAAGACAGCAGTAGGGTCAAAAACAATAGCAAGCCTAACAAGGGAGTACTATAAGGAAAAACAATAGCCGCGCCAAAAGAGAATAGGCAAACAAGATGGGCCCCTGACTAAGTATCTTCGTACGAGCAACAGCACTTGTTCGAAGGTGTGAATTTGTTGATATGCTCTTCTTATCAAAGACCGACGTTGTGTAAGGGAGAACACCGCCATACCGATGATGTTGATGTGATGTTTCTCTGCTCTTAGTACTATTTCTAGACCACGACGCGGTGAGAAAAATTGTGCTGAAGTCGATGATGAATGTGTATGTGTTTACAGTCGATGAAGTGGAATTTCTTTGATTTCGAAAAAATTGCTGAAGGGAAGTCCATATCGAAAAAGCTTTCGTGTTCTAGACAAGCGCGAAGTGGTTCTTCTAGAGAGATGGAAAAACGGTTTTGTTTCATCAATTTATTAGATGGAATTGGAAAATAGAGGTGTTTGGTCTTCTACGTCAATGCGTATCCGCATTATCTCTCTTCCGGTGACAGGGATGATCCTAGCACGATCCCCACCCCTCAGTTTTCCGCTCTGAATGAATGACCTCGAGGAAATCCACCATGAGGGCATGAGGCAGTCTCTTATCAGCTTGTGTCATAAGCTGCCAACGCTTTGTCGTGTCTGTTTTACAGTCATGACTGTGCTCCACTTTACAATGAAAATGATTGTGGTCTCTACGTTTTGTCCTTAAAACTGCCGAAGAACATTTGACTCTACTTCGTTATTCCACTTATACTTTATGAAATCCCGACAACCTCTCAGCTTGTGTTCCAGTGCAACACGGGTTCTCCCTCATATGTTGCAAGTATTGAGTTGCATGATGTCGCACTAATAGATAGTAGTAGTCAGAAAAAGACTGTCTACTGGAACTACATTTGATTTCAGTTTCGAGCGCTGAAAGTTGTATTTGTCTTCCATGTCCTTGTGTTGAAAGTTGTATTTGTCTTGCATGTTGTAGTTACTACTAGGTACAAGAAGAACTTGTTTTTCTTCGATAATGCTCAGTTATTCGATGACTCGTCAGGACGAAAGGAATGTCAACCTCCTCCGAGGTGTCGTCGTCAGAGGGACACGGGTCTTTAGATGAACCCGTCGAAGAGGACGACTCGTCTCCTTTAGGAGGTGAGGACGCAAGCGGAGAAGAGGAGTCTTTGCCAGCTGATCGTGATGACCTGGAGGACGATGACCAGAACAAGCATCGTCACGACAGAACAGGGGAACTGGATCACAGTGTAATAGAAGAGGAAGAAGAGAACAACCAGCACCACTTAGAACAAGGACCAATCTTGGTGTTAAGGCTCAGCTTTCAATGGTCATTGGGGTTGGTCACTGAGATCCCTCTTGAGAGAACAGGGGAAAATGAAGGAAAAGCAAAGGGAGAGGCTTGGGGCCCATTTCTTTCAGAGTCAGTGACCATTGAATGCTGAGCTTTAATGGTGGAAAAGAACAATTCTCTCGGTGTAGAAGAAGTAGATCTTCACAAGGTGAGCGAGCCAGAAGATCCTATAAGTGAACAGGAAGATGAGGATGAAGCACGGACCACAGGTTTATCAACTTCGTTATTTCATGGGTATGAAAATGTTGATGTTGTAGGACACGAAAAGCAAGACGACGCTGACCAGGCTTGGAATTCTGAAGAACCAACTACATCTAGTGGTCTAAGTCCACGTGAACAGCAGCAAGAACGTGAGAACAACAATGAGCGCGACGGATCAGCACACGAACAGGAGCAAGACTTTCTGGTTTCTAACTTTGCAGCCCTATCGCTTAGATGCCTAGAGGAAAGTGACGAAATCGAAAACGAAGAAGACGCAGAAGAAGAAATTTTTGCTACAGCTATTCACGCTATCGAACACATTGAGCCAGAAAGTCCACTACGACGAAGACGTCTTAGCGGCCCGACAAGACAAGATAAAGAGACAACTCTTTTAATGGAACTTCCGGCTTGCGTTGGTGACGAGGGTCAATATTACCAGGAAGATTTTTTAGACTGTACTGTTAAGATAGAACTACAGCAAGAAAACCAAAAGCAGGTTGCGAATATGAATAATAACTATAGCACCACTTCAACAGGGACAACTACTGGTTCGTCATCTATACCTCATTGTAGACCTGAAGGAGGCGAAGCAAGAAGGGTGTCAGTTGATTCCACTGGTGCCATGATGTCGAGACGTCGTTTGTCGGAAGACCTTTTCCCCTTTGACTCACCGAGCAAACGCCAGAAGCAAACAGCTTCCTTGGCGCCTCCGCAAAGAAGTAGAGGAGCTGTAGGACAACTAGGGAAAGAAGAAGATGATCCTAAAAATTCTACAAATGTTGCGGAAAATACTGCAACATGCTCGTCTTCAGCGACAACTGGCAGCTGGTCAAGAAGCGTGGTGGATGTGCAGTCTCAACCAGGATTACAAGAAGATGCACTGGAGCGAGTGGCTGGAACCTATTTCCGCGAAGCAGAAGAGAGCGAATTAAAGGCTACGAAGCCGTCAGCAACCTCTGCTTCAACCTCAGGCACTAGGAAACACTCTCCTGAACTAAGACCAGAAGACGAACATGAAGGTCTAGCGGTGCCACTAGAAGGGCAGCATGAAGATATAGAAGCCGAGGAAAACGCTATTGTCGTGGGTGAGGACGAGGCTGGCAACACCATCGCTGCCCAGAAAGCTGATGGTGAAGGTATGCTCATTGGTGGGGCTGAGGAGTCTAGTAACGAGAACGAAAGGCAAAGGCAACATGTTGTAGCAGCTGAGAGGACACATGGAGTAGAAGATGGCGATGGCCAAGAAGATAGTGCCCCTGTTCTAGCTCCAGAGGGTCTTCCCAGGAAGAATCAGGGTTCCCTTTTCCCATTGGGTGCGGGAGAAGGAGAGGCCGAGTCACGCTCAAGGAACGAGCTTGACGAATCTGGCGAAGATATTGATACTGCAAATGAGCCAGAGCCCCAAGTTCAAGCTGCGTCCTCCTCTTCCTTTAGAGGAGACGACGATAGTGCTCCTCGGGTGGACGACGTTGGGGCCACAACTTCTTTTACCAGGCTCCATACTGAGGGAAACGATAGACCCCCTGGGGATTCTGAAGGAGCTGCGGATTTTGTTTCTGTAGAAGGTGATGGTTCATCTTCTGTGTCTGGAGAGGACGACGGAATGCGCGATGGTGCTGTTGAAGAGAACGACGTTGTAGACGAATCCATTGGTCAGAGTGCGATGGAGGATGAGCCTGTCTTGTTTCAAGACGTTTTGGATGAGCTTCAGGATGTCGCTTTAGATCTGGAGTATGACGCATTGGTCTTGGATGAAGATAACTTCGATGCGGAACAACAAGGTGAACTAATGGACGCCGTAGAAAGTGACGCGGAAGAATCAGTCATGGGAGAAGAGGTACAACAGTTACTAGGAGAAATGGAAGACGCTCGTGAAGACGAGTTTGAGGTAGAATTTCCTGGTAATGAGTTAGGCGACTTTGATTTTCAACAACAGATGAGAGACTTGGACTCAGAGTTTGACGACGAAGGTCCGCCGGGAAGACGAGTAGCAGATGAAGCATGGACAGACAAACGCTGTCACCTTTCTTGGCGCTATTGGTTTTCGTGGCAAAGACATTCACTTTCACATAGTAGCCATAACGTGGGTCAACATATAGTACAAACGGATCAGCATAATTCGGATTTGCCTCAAGATGAACCGCGGCTACGTTATACGGATCATTTGGTGGATGAGCCGCAGCCTAGTAGCATTGCTTCCTACTCAACAAAATGGCGGGAAAGGTCTTGTACGGAACATCCTGTGAAAAAGACCTACGGATACGGCAGAACTCGTGGACGAGCTACAGTTACCTCCTTCACGACTTCGTCTTCATCTAGCGGTCCTGTGGGAGGTCAAGTTCAGCTAGGGTCTAGAAGCAGTGGAGCCCAAGTGCCAGCTCGTCCTCCGAGTCAGGTGCTAGGATCTCTACCTGATATGCGGTATACAGTAGGCCCAAAGGGCCCTCCAGTCAATTCTTTCGCACTCGATTCCTGCTGTTTGTCGTACTGCGCTTTAGCTTCCGAAGTTTTGGTGTATTTCACACCTGGAATGAAAAATAGAAGAGCTTCTGCCAACGTATTCCCTCAGCGCGAAGAGGACAGCATCAGAACAGATCATACAACTACAAGGCACGTCAAAACAGAGCATAGAACAACAACTGCTCATCACGACGTCGAGAGCAAGGAAGTTTTCCTGCTCGCCCGCTTACGTGTTGCTAGCGAGGAAGTGGCGAGTAGGATAAATAACATTCTCGTTGCTGACGGTTTGCACGTAGATGCAGATGAACGCAGGGAAGTGATCGAAAGATCGCAATTTGAATTTCCTGAAAGGATGCAGAACCAGGAGGATCTTGGTGGGACTGGCGAACTAGGAGGTCGTGGATTAATACGTACTTCTAGAGGAGGAGAAGCTGCTGGCCAACAAGAGGAACAACAGCAACATCAACAACAGTTGATACAACCACCTAGGACGAGGAGAAAAAGTAGAGAGGTCTTGGTCGTGGCGCATGATCTCGGCGTAACCTTCTTTGATTGCAGTGAGGTGAGACAACGCATCGTTAAGGAAGTGGATAGCATTCTGAAGGAGTCAACGCAACTAGGAGCAGATCGATCCTTTGGCTGCTCAACTTCTCGTACAGGATCAACTTCTTCGTACAACACCAACAACTACTCGAGCGCAACTGGCAGAAGAGATTTCACTTCTCTGGAGACTCAACGCGAAATACTGTCTCTGTTCTGCTGCTTAGACGATGTTGAAAGTACAACAACTTCTACAGAAAATGAAAATTCTCGTCCTGCTCCTGACCATGTTGCGGCCGTAGCAAAGGTGCGCTCTCGTTACCGAGTCTTGACCCACGAGGATGTGGATGGCCTGTTACCGCTTGCCTGGCGCAGCCCTGATCTATCTTTTATTACGGCTTCCCGTAATCCTCCATCTTCAGAAGCATCTTGATGAAGCGGTTCCTTAAGGAGAAAGGAGCACCAAGATGCATCTCAGGATGGTTAAGGATGAGCTCTAATTCTACGTCGCACGCTGTTCTGCAGTCATGCAAGAGCACGTGGGGTTTGTCCTTTCGCAATGGTCTTCTCGCTGCTTCCGCGAATGACCACTACGCAAGGATTTGGTGTCCAGTGAAACAGAGATTTCAAAATTGCCACGTCCTTCCGGCGTATTTGAAGTTATGAGACAAGAAGTTGAGTCTGAGTTTTTTTTTTGATGGAGGTCAGGTGCCATGTGTGTGGTGCTATGTATATTATATATACTACATTAAAGATTGATAGACACCAGTAGAAATACACCTACAAAACTACTGGTTTCTAGATATTTGTTGACTGAGACCACGTCATAGATGACTACAGATGACATGACTACAGATGAGCGCAGTACCAACAGAAGCGATGCAATAATTAACAGCTACTACGTACCAACAGATGAAGCGATGCAATAATTAACAGCTACTACGGCTTAAAGTTAAACCCGTGAATGCTCCTGGGTGTATCTATTGTCATCATCATTCTAATCCTGAAACAAGTCTGCGGAGGTGCTCGAAAAGGCACGGAAGAAGCATGGGAACCAGAAGAAGAGCTGGACGGCGTGAGAGACTTCAAGATGCTGTTCCAAACTTCGCCGCATCATGGGAATATTCCATGCGTACGTGTCGGAACCGTGGTTGATCGGACACTTCAGAAGGACGAGACCATGCCGATGCCCCTTCTCGAACAGCAAGTGGACGAACCGCGCTACGTCTATTCTGCAGGCTTAGACGGACGTATTTGTCGTTTTTTAAGGGTAGGTTAAAGGTGCTTTTCTTACCGCTTTTTATGCCTCTCCTAAGGGAGAAAGGCATAACAAGCGGGGTAAGCGAGCACCAAAAACCTACCTCTAAGTTTTGAAAAAACGACAAGGGCAGCAGCTACTTCTAAGTTTGTAGTCGTGCCAACATCTTCAACATCTTCTGAAGGTGCTTCTAACGGAAAAGGTGGAATAGATGTTGAAAGGAAAGATTACACGAAGAACGAAGGAGAAAGCGCAACAACAACTGAATACTCAAACGTCCTCTGGTATCCCGGTAACGTGCGTATGAGAGAAGGAACTGGTAATCCGGAGCACGTGGCACTTCTCCCTTCCGATATCATGGACATGGGAAGAGCCTGTAGTTCTGCAACTACTCTCCCAACTGGTGCAGATACAACCATGGACACGGGCAGATCTTCTTCTACATCCAATGCTCCGATAAGCTCGATCTCGTCGTGCTCGACAGATAGGGCCGCAAGGAACTTGTTTTACGACACTTTGTCTTCCTACGAGGGTCTTGGGTATCGGCAATGGTGCGGGCCTACAACTACGAACTCTACTACGTCTTTCGACAAAAAGAATATGCGGCATGTCCAGATGGGCTTCTGGGGTTTTCAAGTGGTAAACATGGGCGATATACCTACCATCTGTATGGAAAAACAAGTTCCTGAAGACAAGAGGAATACTAGCGCTTCTGCGACTGTGAAGGAAACAAGTAAAAAAGTAGACTCGGAAGGACATCACTTGAAGACAGCGACTGGTGATTCTGCTGACGTTGCTGAGACTGGTGATGTCGTTGGTCGTGCCTCAGCTCATGATAATGCCAAATTTCCTGAGAAACAAGACCACGACAGAACAGAATTAAACGCGGAAGGCGATTCTTCTCCAGAGGAAGAAGAGCCTCCCTCAAAACGTACACGCACTGGTCGTGAACGACTACTACGTTTAAGGGTAGCGCTTCACTGTATCCTTTGTGGGCTATGCTGAGTGGCGTTTTTCTTATGATTTACAGGGAAAATAAGGGGGCCGCAGGAGGGTAACCCACTCGAGTCGGGATAGTGAAAGACTACCTTTAATACCTGGTAGTCCCCTACCAGTACTCGCCAATGGACAGCAGGCAAGCAGCGTCAACGGACAGCAAAGTAGTGATGAACAACTCTCAAATGAGAGTGAGGATGAAGATTTACAGTCAGCTCGCGATGACGAATCGGAGCATTATTTAGAAGATTTAGCACCTGGTGAAGAGGAAAATGGTCCAGAAGGCCAGCACCTCTGGCGGAACAAAGAGCCACCTCGCGCACACGCTAAAGCCATGCTCACGATCCAATTTTTTTTGAAGCGGCACAACTGTGGCGCAAGAATAATAGCTGACGATGGAGAATGGATCAGCTTCCAGCAGTGGGTCAAGGAGGTTTTAATGTTAAGAAGGGTCACCACATTTTTACATCCTCAACTAACTTACATTCTTAGCCTCTTTTCAAGCACTAACTAACATTTTTGGCCTCTAATTTTTTTGAAGGTTCCCGCGTCTTTCTCCGACGCCGCCGATGATATCTTCTTCAATCGAGTCAGCTTGAGGAGAGCTGTGGTATACTTCTAGGCTCTGACTTATGTTTTTGGAGGAAGCTTTAGCTGCCTTTGTAGTAACAGGTTCATTATCTTCTAAATAGGACGGAGGGAAGATTTTGTTTGAAGTGTGATTGCTTCCTTTATTTATACTTAGAAGTTCTTGATGGCATGGATTTTACGTTGCTTCCGCTTGTACTATTCTTAATACTTCTGCCTAATCCGGTTGCTGGGAGCATGCAGAACTAACATAAAAACTTGAATAAACATTTAACTTCTTGACTCAACAATTCTTTCAGCGTGTCCGTTGGGGTGAAGAGGCTATGCGAGAGTTCTCGAAGGTAATGGACAACAACCGCAAACAACTATTATGGTTAGGTTTTAGGTGTCCGCGTTACGAGCGTTTGTTTTGACTCAGGGGCTGCGTTAATCCGCTTGAGAATGCAGCTAAACCCTGCGGACGGCGGATCACATCCTAATCCTAATCCTAACAAACGGGGTAGGGCTTTCCCTATGATGCTGAAGTGTACTTACTAGAAGTGTCCGCTATGGTTCTTCAGTTTTGAGGCAAGCGAAGACCAAACCCCTACGACCTCTAAGACTAGGATTATGCGTATGTCCCGGCGGCAATTTCTGGATTGACCCTGCGATGATGCCTCTCGAACGATGCGGCCTTGACGAACATCTACGAGTGGAGGAAGAGAAGAAGATGAAGAAAGATAGTTACGGTAGTAATGGTCAGGAAAGGGCGCCTGCTTCTTCCAGTGCTGGAAATGGAGTAGATGCGAAAGGGAAGAAGGATAGTTACGGTAGTAATGGTCAGGAAAGGGCGCCTGCTTCTTCCAGTGCTGGAAATGGAGTAGATGCGAAAGGGAATGTAACAACTGAGCCTTCGCGTTTTCTGGTACCTGCACTTGCCCCAAGCGATCCAGAGGCGGATCTGCAATTGATCTCATGGCGGTCTCCGTCAGGTCCAAGCGATCCAGAGGCGGATCTGCAATTGATCTCATGGCGGTCTCCGTCAGGTGCGAGGAGAAGAAATTAAGGCTGTACCTAATACATCTTTGGACGCATCCTTGAAACGTATGGAAGAGTATCCTAAGGGAATGCTCCCCCATACTTTTCAAGGATGCACTTGAAAGATGAATTACGGACAGCTCTAAAGAAATGCTCCTACTTCGCAAGAACTAGAGTCGACGTCACCAGACACAATAGTAGTGTCTTCTAGCATCAATGTTGTACCCGCCGCTACTACAGCTACGACAGGGGGGGAAGCTGCATCCTCCAGTAGTACCACGACAGGAGAAGCATCCTCCAGTAGTACCACAACAGGAGAAGCATCCTCTTCCTGCAGTAATGGCACGTCAATGGGACCTACTTCGATTTCGACGACGTCACATCTCGCGCATGAAAATAATCCAAAGATCGATGTCGAACTGCCTATCCACCTCATGTGCGAGATCCTCTCGTATTTACCGCTGAAAGAGCTGATGAACAACGTCTCTTACGTTGCGAAACGCTACCGCAATTTGGCTGAACACGTTGCTGCGACCAAGAATCGTTCCGAAGAAGTCATTCTCGCTTGGACGGTTAATCACGAACTTGCGTTGTTCGGACCTGATTTGACATTGATGGAAACGTTGCCCTTCGAATACTTGACAGGGAACTTCGCCTTTGCCTCTGCCACTGTGGTCGGTAACCGGGTCTTTCTAGCACTGCCAGAACGACCAAGTCCAGTTGTAGTGTCTTTGCACCGCGTCTGGGGATCTGCGAAGATTCTGATGAAAATCGAGCAAAACTACAAGCAGGTAGAGGAGAACACAGAGACGGTATGTATTGGCACGAGCTCAACTGGTTCTTTCGGGGTATCGTATGTCGCAGAAGGAAACGCCGTGATTTCGCTAGAGCATGATGAAACAGGCAAAACATTCCTAAAGAAATATGATCTCGTCTCCTAAGTAGTATCATTTTGCATTTGCGCGTGCGTGGTTGTTTTAGTTGTAGTAGTTTGTTATTAAAAAACCCAATTCCTACTATGAACATCAAATCATTGAGTTATAGTAGTCACAAGATGAGATTGAGAAGAAGAACTAGTCGTAGTAAAGCTAGTTGTACTAGCGTTGATCTATTTATTAATACAAAACTACTATTTTCTATCTCCTTGTCCAATACAAAACTACTCTACTAGTAAACTTGTTCCTTATAGCAGTTACAGGATACTGTGGTGTGGATACGGTCGCGAAGTTAGGTTGTTGTAACTGTAACTATGCTCCTCTGAGACAACGATATGATGGTCGCATTGACAACACTACAGCTATGGCGTACCAGTCGTGGTAGGCGATAAGTATACCTCGCAATAAACGTTATATGGAAAGAAAAATTTGGTCCTCGGGAACAAACCAAGAAAAAAACACTCACACACCAACGCCTTATATCGTTTCCCTTTCCCGCCAAGTTAGGAATCCCAATATATAATCCTGGCCTCCCTCGCTCGTCCCAAAGATGCATACCTTCGTTACGTGCAGATTCGTCCCTTTCGGACGTGCGAAGACTCGCTTTGTTCCCCTCGGTGGAAACGGAGAGTCGTGTTTGCATCGAGAAAAGAAAAGGTTCTACATGAAAATCATATTTGAAAAATGGCCGGGTCGGCGCGTCGTCCGTGAAATGTAAGACTTCTCTGCGCCCACCCCAGCTGGTGCGCTGGCCATTTGGCCGAAGACTTTGGAATTGGAATTGTACTCGTGAAATGTGAAGAATGCAAGTGAAAGAACATCATAGGATAGAGTCGGAACGCGACTGGGAATACACCGAGAGAAATACCCCGAACAAGGTGCATTAACTAAGTACATGATTTAGAGAAAGTCTCACAATATTATCAGGAATGCAACTTCTGAGACACCCACAGACATCAACATGTCATTACTGAGCATCGGAAGCTGTCCGGACGAGCGGCTAGTGGCGGCACCTTCTGGCGCAGTTGCCGACTCCACTGCCTCGATCATTCCTACGACAGTAGATGAGAGCGACGAGGCTCATCATGACAACGCACCAGCAGAAGGGGATGAAATTATATCCACGACGAAAGAAGATCATGACGCACCACCGGGACCAGAGCCGTCTTCATCTTCATCTTCGGGAGGTGCTTTCAAAGTTCTACACGACATGGTGGATCTCGTCACGCACAATTTTACACTCGACGAAATCGGTGGTGGCTTGTTCTACTCCGATCACAACTACACATTGGATCAAGACCAGGTTTTTAGAGAGCATGAAGAAGACGAAGAGGCTGGACTCGAAGTAGAAGATGGTTTGGATGTTGAGAAAGGACATCAAAGTGGTACAAGTTCTAGTAGTAGCAGCAGTAGTACCATTAGGAGTAGAGCACGAGCAGTATCATCGTCGAAGACTCCGAAATCTTCTAGTAGGTCTAGAAATAAGTCTGGTACAAGTAGTGGATCTAGAAAACGAAGGAGAAAACAAGAAAAAACTACTACAGTATACGAATACATCGCTGGAATCGATGACGAAGAAGAGGAAGGACTTGCGAGTGTCGAAAAGAAGAGCAAGGTCGACGATTTCGCCGATGACGAGAGTATCGATGATGTGGCATCAGACGAGACGGAAATAGGTGTGCATGAATTTCACCGAGATGTAGATCGAGTTGACACCACCAGCAGTGCAGCAGCACAATCTCAAGTAGGAGCACCAGAAGACAACGCACAACAAGAGCAGGAGCCTTCGACATCTAGGTCGCCAGGGAACAACGGAACACACGAACACCGGGAAGAACGGAACGAACAAGATGGTGAAAGTGATGACGTAGACGTTCTTGCACTTTCTCTCTCTAGTTCGAGCCTTGTGGATGATGTGTTTGAGGATTCGGCAGAAGTAGCAGATAGAAGCAGCAACGAAGACCAAGACCGTCAGACTAGGGAACCACAGCTCGAACTGGAAGCAATCACATCAGCCGGTGATCGTTCCGAGAAGGTAGAAGCTCACAGCGGTGGTGGAGTATCGGAGCGAGGTGACGACAGTCCTCTAGTATCGCTAGAACCGGAGCAGGCATTGATGAAAACGGTATCGCTTTTAGAACCGGATGAAGACGATGCTGGCGCTCTTAGAGACGATCTTCAAAGAACAGAGGACGAAGAAGAACATCTAGATCTACTTTACGACGGAAAAGAAGAGCAGGACATGAGTTGTGCCAAGAAGAATGCACTAGACAAAAAGGACCTCTCATTGGTCTATACCTCTTCACCTTTGCTTCTGGATGATCATGATGTGTGCAATGAAGTACTCGGAGTCGTTGAAGGCGCTTCTACTGTGTCTAGGAGTTGCAGTGACGCAGTAGACCAAGGGCAGCTACTAGAAGACCAGCGGGAGCTACAGCAAGGGGGGGTAGCGAATGACGTACAACTGCACGATGCAGATAGTGCCCAGCTAGCAGCAGCGTCGTCGATGCCCTCAGCTGTAGCGGTACCCAGGCCACCAGACGACGTAGAGGCCGCAAACCTAGAGGTTCTACAGAGTGGCACGACACCAAGACAGGCGACAGCCTCAGAAGACATTTTTGAAAACAGAGCACCAGCTGTCCTTGAGCCGCTAGAAAATAGACCTTCTGCGTCTTCCTCCGCTGTCGACGACATCAAACATGGCGAGGGTAAGGCAGAGCTGCTAGTGGATGAAGAAGCGGACGTGGACGTTGAGTCTCCTCTTCTACAACTCGAAGATGATAATGACGATGAAAAACAGCAAGGTTTTTATCGTGATTCTCTGCTTCCCTGTTCTTCTGAAGTGGTTGTAGCCACAGATGATCCAACCAGAGTACTGGAAGACGACAGAGTACTTGAAGACGCTACATCTTCTTCGTGTCCTGAAAATCGCGACCTCCGACGAATCCAGTCTCCTGATGAAGTTGAAGAGACTTTATTTCCGCTTCCATCTCCCGAAGATGACGCAGCTCTTGTATCTTCGTCATTTCCGCTTCCATCTCCCGAAGATGACGCACCTCTTGTTTCTTCGTCGCCTTTAGAACCGTTACCATCACCAGTTGCGGAAGTCGTCCGCAGAAACTCAGATGTGGATGGGAAGATTTACCATGACCAAAGCGAGGTCGAGGTGGATGACGACCACTTTACGCCTGTAGGAAGCAAAGAAGTGCCCGGCTTTTCTCCTCTTGAGCAACTAGAGGAGTTTCCTCTAGAGGAGGAGGAGATTGACGGTTCGCGAGTAGTTGTAGAAGCGGATGACGGGGGTTTACAACTAGAAGACAATGACTACGGAGGTTGTAAAAATGAGGAGCGAGGACTAAATCTAGATGAAGACGAGAATGACTTACAACTAGGTGACGGTCATGGTGAGCAGCGGCGAGAAGAAATATGGGAAGAAGTTGGGGAGAAGAATTCTGGTGAAATATGGGACGAAGAGGACGAGGGCTTGGAAGATGATGACGCGGGTTTGAGGAGAAGTTGCCGCAGAGAAGAAGACGATGGTGGAGAAGATGTAGGTCTTCGTGGAGAAGATTTAGGCCTTCTCACGCTGATGGAGGAGAAGCTCGAGCATCAAAATGAAAATCAAAGTAGTAAGGAGCAACGTGGTGTTGAAGTTGCTGCGGTTCGACAAAAAGAGGACGAGGAAGAAAATGAAAATGTTGATCAAGAATCTTTACTACTTGAAGATCAAGATGGAGGAATACACACGACAGGCATCGACTACGTGACGAGTGCTCCATTACCTCCTGCTCCAACATCTCCATACAACGAAAATTACGCGTTCTTCCGCGGAACGCAGGACGCAGCAGGAGTAGTGTCAAGCTCGAGCAACAGCAAAGAAAGCCACTGCACGACCAGTGGAGACGACAAAAAGCAGGGGACAAACACAAACTCTTCAGTTATGGTCAGCTGCGTCATTTGACTGGATTTATATTTCTGCACGTCTTTGACTTTGATTTGAAATGACCACTCTACAACTAAGAACTCTACCAAATAACTTCCTTCTAACTCGTCATCTTCCGACATGGAGCACAATTTCCACCTGTCCTTATCCGCAGCTGAGGCGTCCTCGACCGAGGAAAAAGCAGGGAGTTGTGAGAAAGTCTTAGTACTAGAACTTGCACCAGTAGTTCTTGAGGAAAGTAACAATAGAAACAATCTCTCGATGGCCAGCAATGTGGAGCATCAATTGCATCTTCATCAACTACCCACCGAGCAGGGTGACCTCCAACATCACGCGCAGGATAAACAGCTCCTGAATTCTTCAACATGTGCTCTCCATCAAAGTTCAACCAAAGCCACTGACGTCGACACCAGTAGTACTCTGCCTCCTTGCGGCACAACCATACCTCCTGCGTGGCGCTCCTCACCTTCCTCTTTATCATCATCGATATCGCCTCTACTGAGACGCGGCGAGGATTGGGAATCTTCCTCTTCCTCGTCTGTTTCTCCTCTACTGGATGGTGATGACAATGTTGAGAAGCGAGACTGCGACGAGGACTACGGTGAGAATAATAGGAACTACAATGCAGCTGAACCGGCAGGCGCAGACCAGTCCATCACTGAACAACAACAAGAACAGACTATGATGTTACAAATAAAGGAAAACGAAACTGCGCCACCAGAGCTCCTTGCAGTTGCAGATGATCAGGTTTCTCTTCTCGTAGACGATGACTGTAGAGGACTCGACTGTGTTCTTGAAGGACCAGAAAAGAATCTTCCTGGTGGACAAAGCAGCAAAATGACCCAAATCACGAGCAGTTGCGAGGAGAGTCAGAGTCTACGATTACAGCGCAGAGAAGTGTGGGAGACCGAGGATGACTATCTAGTGGATCACTCGGAAGAGGAAGAGGAACACGAAGTAGTGGATGACGTCAACATGAAAAATTCATCATCTAGTTCTAAGGAGAGTGTTGTACAATGTCAAGATCCAAGAGACCGATCAACAAAACCTCCCGACGACCACTCCACCTTCATCGTTGATGATATTAGCGTTATCGACCCTAACGAACAGGACCCTTCAAACCCGACGCAGCAAGGCTTTTACTTCTATCCTGACCGAGATAGCGGAACAACTACGAGTAGCGGTAGCTCAAAGAATAGTGCTGAACCTTCAGGAGACCAACAGATCATCGATGAAGCGATGGCTCATCCGCCAGTCCCAGTGGCGTCTAGGACTCCTGCGATGTCTCCAGTGGCATCTACGCCAGTGTCATCGCCTGTATCGTCTCTCATCCCGCGTTCATCTGTGAAGATACATCAAGATGAAGCTGGAAATGACATGGAGGAGTTGGCGGAGGATCATGGAGGTGGTATACCAGAAACAACCCCGAACGACGATGACCCATCAAACGAGCACGACCGTCAACACCCAGAAAACGGAACAAGCAGAGTAAGCATTGCAGAAGGAGAAGGCCCGTCTTCGAATAGTTCCTACAGTTCTTCAACATCGAGTAGTGCCAAACGTAAGACGGGAAGTAGTACCAGTTCTTCAACATCGAGTAGTGCCAAACGTAAGACGGGAAGTAGTACCAACAAGGACACCAAGACCGGCATTCCTGTGAGAAATCTAGAATTGCAGCAGCAACTCGCGAATGCGCGGACTCCTACGTACCTCTACTATCCGCCGGACAGTACTAGGTCACCAGAACGCAGGTTTATGTTCTTTCGTGGAACAGCACGTGCCTATGCCCAGCCGACACCCAGCGACAGCAACAGCTTACCAAGGGATTCTCTTGTTCTAAATGTTCTTGACGCTCCGGCATCTGGGTTCGTGGATGATGGAGGAGATGGAGGAGGCGAATGTCTTGCAGTTGAAGAGGAGAAAGTAGATTTCCATAACGATAGTGAATTTGGCGAAAAAGAGGAGAATGCTCTACAACATCGCGACGTCGAAGATACTCGGGTCTTGTTGGAAAATGCGGCTAGTACTTGCATTCAGGATGCAGAAGCAGGTTCGTCATCATCTTCATCCTCCATGAGCTTAAGAAATGATAATGGTCACGCGCAGAAACAAGGACAGCATGACACCTGCAATCAAGTCCTGGCGACGCCGTTGGCTGGTCTAGCACCAAGTATAGGAAGTACTACTACTAGACGCAGTCGCGCTCCAACAGCGGAATTCTTTGTTATATCTACGCCACCCGGTGGCGGGAGGAAAGCCAGGGAAAGCACTTTGCTGTCCTCAAGCGGTGGAGAAGAAAAGTCGAGTCCAGAAGAGGAGGCTGAATTTTCTAGGCTAGAATCGCAACGCTTGGATGACTTGCGACCGTCGTCCGAACAAGAAGATACTAGGCGAACAAGATATCAGGATCAAGAACATGGTGGAAGTTGGTCTGAAGAAATAAGGATGGTCGATACGACAAGCACGACAGCTGTGATGTGTAAGAATATTAATGCCGAAGAACAAGAACAAGATAAGCAACACCATTCTTATCCTGTACAGCCGTTATTTTCACCGTCTAGTAGCTCTATATTCTCTGCGGCATCGCAAAGGCGCAAACCCACCTCATCTACCTCATCAACTCGACGAAACAATCGTAACAAGAACAACATTCGAGGTAGAAGTAGTGCTAGTAGTAGAAGGTACTACACAGGTAGGACGAGTGGCGGCGCAGACAGTGCTCCGGAAGAGTTGTCTTCCATTGGACACAAGGTGACGAGCGTTAGGCGGGTCCGTAGCAGTTCAGCTTCTGGCGCTATCGACGTGTCGGTGAGGAAACAACTCAATTTAGAAGAAGGAAGAAGCGGGTGTGGTGGAGAACGACAAGTTGTACAACTAGATGTTGAGCAGCCTGCTCGTGAGTTAGAAGAGCTTGACGATTCTTTCGCGGATCATCACGTAGAGGAACGTTGTCTGAGCACGTCGATGCACGTTTTAGGACGTTCTGAGACCACTGAGAGGAGACCTTCTTCGCCAGTTTTTTCATACGAAGAAGATACAAGTTGGGAAGAATTTTTCGGTCTGAAGAACGGCGTTGGCGGAGGAGGCTCGAGAAGTAAGATGTTGACATCTTCAAGTTATAGGAGCAGAAAAGCGATGTTCGACAAACAGCGAGCTGCTGAGCAGCTTCACTACGATCTTTCGTCAAGCTCTTCGGTAGTTACGTCGTCCAGACCTGGCTCTCGAACCAACAGCAAACTGACACAGCGGTCAGGGCCACTCTTCTTCGAGAATACAGCCGTCATGATGAGGCCGTATAGTAGTTACAACCTCTCAACCTCAACCAGAAATCCAGCCAGCAACACTGCTAGACCGTGGTCAAGGACTCGCATCGATCTTGGTGTTTCTGTGAAGTTGGACATTGACCCACGATTAACCCCAATTAGTCCCCTCATCCCAACATATCATGACTATAGTATGTCTTCTTATCTGTCTTCTTCCTGATCGAAATGATACCATTGGTGAGGTCGCTTTTCGACGTTGCTCTTTTGTCACATCATCACGATCCCATTCCTGAATGACCATGACGTACATACTGTTTGAGTTGATCTTCATCTGGTCTTACTTCCACATGTTTTCGTTTTGTCTTTTCTCTTTTCATCCCTGATGCACACGCACTACAACGCACGCGAGTTGACAAAGAAATGAAATGCCTTTTTTCGCATTCATTAAACGTTGCATCGATCACCGTCATGCATAGAAATCATGCATGGTTACAATACAACTGGCATCTTCACAAAACATGTTTAGTGCTCTCGCGAACATGTTCTCTCGGAATGAAATTCGGTTTTCGTCGTGTTCCAATCCGGAAGCGGTCCTTCCGAAAAAAAAGCTCCTGTAGAGGATTTAGAAGAGGCAGATCGTCTGGAGCCATGGCCTCTGAAATCAAGCCAGAAATCTTCCAATTCTAATTCAAGAATCTTGAAATCCTGAAGATACTCCGTCCAAAGAATATGAAGTCACAAATTATGGTTCCAAAGCTTCGTTGAAGCCTAATCAAGAAAATGAGACTGAAGTGCTTTAGCGCTGGGAGTTCAAGGTCTACTACAAAAACCGAAATCAAGAATCTATACCGGAACGCTTCTCCCTGTAGTGGGAGCAAATTCAAAGAATAATTTTCCTATCCGCGTAAATGCCCAGGTTGGAGATGAGTTGATGGAGCGTGTCGTTGATGTCAATCGTATGCTGTACATGCCGATACCCTTGTTGGTAAAAATCCAGAAGGTTTCATAATTTTTCCAATCTTTACTCGACGAAGGCTTAGGGAATCAGAAAAAAATGGACGACTTCGATGATTTGTTCAACGTCGATGCTCCTGAGGAAAACCTGCCTCTCCAAGGGGGAGATGGAGATGCTGACGACGCCGATGCGAATGCGAAGAGACGAAAACTTCTAGACGATGATCATGATTCTAGTGGTGGAGGTGATGCCCAAGAGCAGGATGTAGATGTTTTTGGAATTGGGAAATCTACTACTACATCATTGGTAAACCCTCTAGATTTAGAAGATGCCCTCGGTAATTTCGATGGAGATCGTCTCACGGCTCTGAGTGAAGAGGCATTGAAGAGCTTTGAAAAACGACCTCAAGCAGGAGCTTCCTCAAGTGCTTCTTCGAGTGATGCTGTATTATTTGGAGGAGCGACATCGAGTTCATCCACCTCCAAATTGTTCCCGACATCAACTACGTCTGTAGGTAAAAGAACGATGAACACTGGTGCAGCAGCTCCAGCAGCAACTGGCTCGTCTTCATCTTCTTCATCTCTTTTGAGACCCAATGCGCTTAGTAATATCAGCCATGGTCGTGCTCCTCCTGCTGGAGAAAGAGAAAGGCTTTTGCCAGCAGAAGATGAGGCAGAAGAAGTCGCAAGTCTTGAAGGTAGGAAGGCACCTTCGTCAACGCATTCGCTATTCAGCGGTTACGGTTCTCGAGCCGCAGTTGAGGCATTGAGAGCGAAACGTGAAGCGAATAATATTTCATCCTCCAAGAGCAAGAAACAACAGGCTTCATCTTCGTCACGCAGCATCCCCGAGCAAAAGATGACTGAAGGGCACCTGCGAGGCGTCATGGCAAGTGTGAGAGATCATGCACTTTTGAATGGTGCTTCTGGAGGTTCATCTTCTTCTTCGGCAAACCAGAAAGCTCTCGTTGCCACAGGAGGAGTCGAGTCTGCGATGCATCTTTCGGCGCGAGCTGGGCGCCCACCCAATGTTTTGCCGGTGATCCACAACTGTGTCGCTTCCTTTCATCTGAAGTGCAAAATAGACCTACAGGAAGCAACTTTCAAAGCTCGAAATATCGAGTACAATCCTAAGAAAGCGCCAAGTTTGATCGTACGTCAGCGAGATCCACGCGCAACCGCGCTAGTCTACGAAACTGGTCGTGTCATGATCACTGGAGCCGCGAATCCAGAGGACGCTAAGCTAGCTGGCAAAAAAACCGCGAAACTGTTTCAGGCCATCGGATACAAGGAAGCGAAATTTGTCAATTACCAGTTGGAAAATTTAGTCGCGATCGCTGATTTGGGGTTTCCAATCAGATTGGAAGGAGTGGCGTTCGACTACCGAGATCAAGCCTGCTACGAACCAGAACTTTTCGCAGGTCTAGTCTGGAAACAGTGGGATCCTCAAATTTCGTGTTTGATTTTCGTTTCGGGGAAAATGGTTATGACAGGCGGAAAATCCACCGATGACATGTACACAGTACTCGACGAATTGTACCCCAAACTATTCAATTATCAGAAGTAATCCTTAATAAATCCTATAATATCCTCGTTTGATATGATGAACATCATGCTGCAAAAGTTCCACTACTACCCGACAACCATTTTTACAGTACGCACAAGTACAAACTGAAATCTGCCACTTTGGAAGATCAAATCAATCTGCCACTGGGGAAGGTCTTCATATGAGTGACACGGAGTCCACGCAAGAACATCGGAAATTCATCACAGGTTCAAGATTTCTCAGCATCAGAATCATGATCTTCACCGAGAGAAATTATCAACATCAATAAGATCCTTATACTCAATCAATCAATCAATCAATAGGTACATCAATCAATCAATACCGGCGTTTCTCAGGATGGTGTCCTATAGGTGTTTCTCATGGTCGAGAAACCGCTGGATCAATGTAATCAAAGGATCAGAGTGCTCCAATTGTTCTACGAACGAAGAGGTTGTTCACCATGAGCATCATTTTCATTATGATAAGACTTTACCCCAGTCCTTTGCCCATTGACACACCTTGTTTTGTTTCTTAGTTTTGGTTTTGTTGATTTATTCAAGTAGAAGCATCCTCCCTTCTCTACTCGTACTCCTGTCCATCTTCGACGTTGACTATTCTCTCAGCATAATTGCATACCGTACTACTTTGTATAGCAAGAAATTCTTGAAAAATGGCCGCCGTTTCTTCGTCTGCTCCTGCGATGAAGAATTTTCTGGAGAAGAAAATCGATGCCGACTTGGCAGCTGGTGGTAGGACCCATGGGAAGACCGTCACTACCCGTTTTCCACCAGAACCCAACGGCTACCTCCACGTGGGCCATGCCAAGTCCATCCTCCTCAACTTCGGGCTGGCAAAAAAATACGATGGTCAGTGCAATATGCGCTTTGACGACACCAATCCAGTGACAGAAGAAACCGAATACGTGGACAGCATCTTGACTGACGTACTATTATTTCTACAAGTTTTCATACTACGTCTAGAGTCTACGTAGAGTCTAGCACTTGTATCTTCCAATTCTAAAAAGTGCAAGTCGTGTGAGCACCTAAAGACGTGCTAATAAAGTTCCACCAAGTCGATCGTTTTGGTGAAATTCAAAATCGCTTACTATAATTAGGATATCACCTCCCTCGCCCTCCCAACTTCAACTAGGTCGAGTGGGTCTGCTCCGCTCTCGAGCTCCCCTGGGTCAAAGACGGAGAGAAGCCTTGGAGAGATAACTTGTTTTACGCGAGTGACTACTTTGAGCTTCTTTTCCAGTATGCAGTTGAGCTGATCGCAGCCGGCAAAGCCTACGTGGACTCCCAGACGCCAGAAGAGGTCAAAACGAATAGGGAACAAGGGATTGATTCGCGATTCCGGAGTAGGACGGTGGAAGAAAACATGACACTTTTCCAGGAAATGCAGATGGGGAAGCATGCTGAAGGTACTGAAATAGCGATAGCAAGAAAGTGCACATATGTTTCATGAACATGATCCTGCTCACCCAACGACGGTGACACTTAATCCCATCACAACCACCACCACCACCACCACCACCGCCACCACCACCAGGGGAGGGGCGCGCAACTCGTAAGGTCATGCTGTTTCCTGTATTTTTAGTAAGGTGCCTGCTCCCTTCGCGCCCGAGAACCTGGAGGACGTTGAGGACGCTACCCCGTTCGGTTCGGGTTTGTTGTGTCTGTTTTGGTGTCTTCTGTTCCTCAGTGTCGTCAGCCTCCTCTGTGTCCTCTGTTTTGGTGTCTTCTGCTCCTCAGTGTCGTCAGCTTCCTCCGTGTCCTCTGTTGGGTGAGAAACTACGCGCGAGCTAGGTAGTGACCACCCAGGTGCTTGCGGTCGTTCTCACCTTGCCGTCCTTATGTGGAAAGTCCTGGACTTTTATGCGAAGCGGTTCGGGTTGGTTTGAAGCGGTTCGGGCTGGCCACCTGAGTGCCTGAATATCGTCGGAAGATGGTCTGGAGATTGCTCCACCCTCTCGCTGAGGCAGGGCCTCCGGGCCGGCCGGGCGCGGGCATTGGGGGGCGCGCGGTTTCGCTCTCCACCCTCTCGCGCTGGCAGGGCTAAACGATGACAAAGCGCAGGGGCCGCGCACTTGTTTGATGTTGGCTGGTCTTTGGGATGGAATGACGTCGAGCGCGGTGCAGAACACCGGCAACCTGACGCGCGCCCATCAGTTCGGTGAAACTCTGCGAACCAGCCGCGTGCCCCTTATGCAGGAGGTAAAAGGTGCGAAACGTGTCTACCTTAAGCGCGCTGAAGACAGCGGAACTCGCAAGCGCTGCCGCTGGAGATAGGACACGCGCCTGCCCTGGCGCTCGGTTATTGCACGGCGCTGCTCCTCGATGGGCTGGCGTTCGATTAGGCCATCGACAGCCTCCGGCGTCCCGACATTCCCCACACCGTTCTGGAGGTGGAGGCGCCGCCATCGTGCCACTGCCAGAAGCCCACGAAGCGGGTCTTCCTCTCTGATCGGAAGCATTTTTTTCGCGAAGTCGCTCGTGCCCAAGTCTTTGCAAGGGCGGGAGGCGTGCGTCTGCGAGAAATCATTAAAAGCCGGAGACTGCGGCAAGGTGGTCGGCGTCGACAGTGTGGAGACGGAGCGGCAACGGGCGCGGCGGGCTGATCTCCTGACCTCCGTCGGCCCCAGGTCCCTCCGTCGCTCCGATCTAACAAGGCGACGCGAGCTGACCTAATTCCAAACGAGGTGGGTGCGGGGGTCATGTGTGACGCCTTGGCGTTGTTCGCGGTGGGGGTCGCCGAGTTTCGGCTCCTTCTCAAGACTACGCAGGAAGAAGCGGCTGGTGCTCCGGATGTGCATGATTTTCGGGAAGAGCTCCTGCGGTTCAGCGAGCACCCCGAGAGGAGGCAGACAGCATATGCCAGCTGTTTCCCTTACTCCATCAAGCTCAACGGCAGCAGCGTGATTTTCACGGAGGGCGGAAAATTTGGAAAAAACAAGCACAAAGAAGCAAGCGCCAGAGCCCTCTGGGACGCCCGGGACATGTTGAAGAAAGCGCCTGCGTACCTGGCTGGATTGGTCGAGTTTGGGAGCGATGACACCACGCGGGTCGCGTATGTGTCGCGTTTGCAGGCAATGCTTCACCTCGCCGCGAGGCATGGGCTCACTCGGCCCCATACGTTTCCGGCGGGTGCTGCTGTGTTGCCGGATCTCTTCCGCGAGATGAAAGACGGGGCCTGTCCCTTCAGCTGGGAGGACCATCTTGGATACTTGAGGGGGAGCGCCGAAACGGGGCTGGTCTCCACGTACGGCGAGGGGCATCAGGCGGGTGGCTTGGGGGTCTATAATGGCACTGTGGCAGCCTCTGAAGCCATAGCCCGCGCCATCGCGAACCCGTCCGCTTCGGTCGATCTCATCAGGCCCGGGAATTTCGGGCGGTGTCATAGTGGGGGCCTTTTGCAGTGCCCACGTGATTCTTTGGCGTATGCGTACGCAGTGCGAGCGAAGGAAGACTGTCCACAGCACCGCGCAGCACAGCGGTGCTACGTCCTCCACCACCACCACCACCACCACCACCACCAAAGGTTCCCACTTCCTTCGTGCGAAGATCGATATGCAGAATCCGAACTTCAACCTAAGGGATCCTCCAATCTATCGTATCCGATTCGACCACCATCACCGTACTGGTGACAAATGGAAAGTATACCCAATCTACGACTTCGCGCACGGTCAGGAGGACGCTATTGAGCACATCACCCACAGTATCTGCACGTTGGAGTTCGAAAACCACAATATCTTGTACAGATGGTTCATCGACAATATACCGAGCATACCGAGTAAGCCGGAGCAGGTATTTTGTTTGAGATTGTGACTCTGACTTGGATCATTCACGGTTTTTTTTTTCCGCTTGTGTAGCTCAGTAATTTGTTTTGTTTGTGTACGTAGAAGCACGTCTTTTTTTTTCTCATGTGGCGGAGAGTACGTATCTATGCTTATGTACTCCGAAGCAATTTTCGCATCGATTTGCATCCTTTACTTCCCTCCAATCCACTTCCACCGATCCTCACCAGACCGAGTTCGCAAGACTCAACGTTGAGGGAGCAATGACGAGCAAGCGAAAGCTGTTGCGTCTAGTGAACGAAAAGCGTGTGATGGGCTGGGATGATCCCCGAATGTTGACTATCTGCGGTCTCCGAAGAAAAGGAGTCAGACCTCATGGTATTTTTGAAGATCAGTAATAACGCACTTGGACAATAGTAGAACGACATCACTCTCTCAAGAAGATTGATAGTGGAGAAACTTTCCTCTTGTTCCGAACGTAACAGGTTTACAAGTTTGCCACTCTCGAATCTCTTTCTCCACTATCCCCTAAAGGTATCAAGCGCTTCTGCGATATGGTTGGTGTGACAAATACCGATAGCATGCAGCGAAACGAGGTGCTTGAGGAGGCAATCCGACTCGACTTGGATCCGATCTGCGCAAGAAGAATGGTCGTCTTGGATCCGATTTCAGTCGAGATCAGCTCATATTCTCCCTCCAGCTCTTCAGAAGTGATTCAAAACTGCGCCAATCATCCTACGGATAAGGCACAGGGTGCACGAGAGGTGACCTTTTCAGGCAAAATCTTTATCGAAAGAGATGACTTCCAGGAAGACGCGCCAGCAGACTTTTACCGGTTCAGCAAAGTTGGGGGAGAGGTATTTTTATAGCCTATCAGAACGACAGAAATAGATGTAAAATCACTTCTATTGAGAAGAAATTCTTTCTATCGACTTACCCAGCAACATTCTAACTACGTCAATCATTATTTTTATCACCGCCTTCATCAATCCAAGCTAAAAACAGGTGAAGCTCCGCCACAGCTATGTCATCAAGCTCGAAGAGATCATCCGAGATCCCAAGACCAACGCTGTTGTCTCCCTCCGCTGCTCGCACGATCCTGCGACTAGAGACTGCATGCCAAGTGATCGTAAGGTGAAGGGCATCATCCACTGGGTCGACGCGTCGAATCACCAGCCGTGTGAGGTTCGGCTGATCAATCGTTTGTTCAACGAGTTCCCAGAGCAGGATGAAAACGGCCAACCTGAATACGACATGATGGAGTATCTCAATCCGAACAGCCTGATCACCTACGCCAATGCAGTAGCAGAGAAGAGCCTGGCAGAGGAAATTTTGCCGGCAGGGGGGGTTGCAGTGATGAACAGTGTTGGAGGAAGTGGAGACGCAGCTTCTGATCCGTCAGTTGGGACCAACGGCGTCTCTGCTGGTGGCCAGCCAGGCTTCACGGTTCGTCGTTACCAATTCGAAAGGAAAGGCTTTTTCTGCAGTGACAGGGACTCAACCAAAGAGAAACTAGTCTTCAACCGCGTCGTCCCTCTGAAGGAAAGCAGTACTGTGAAGAACATGACGGCATCCAACACGGGCAGTCGTAAAGCAGAGCAAGAGAAGCAACTAGCGGAGAAGGAGCGTCTGCGTAAGATCCCACCAACAGAGTTCTTCAAACAGGGAGAATACGAAGGTCTGTACTCGAAGTACGATGACAAGGGGATCCCGACGCATGATGCGAAGGGAGAGGAAGTGACGAAATCTGCCAAGAAAAAGATGGCCAAGGACTGGGAGAAACAGGATAAACTGCACAAGACGTGGCTGAAGGAACAGGCGGCTTAGGAGTTCACTCGCTCCTCAGTTGAGCAAGCAGCGTAGCAGTAGTTCACAACCGGTTGTCTTGGTAACAGCTGCAAATGCAGGAAGAACAAGCAACCCGTACAGTGGAACTAGTGAAGCTGTAAGTTTTTCTCTTCTCACTGGATGAAGCGGCCGCCTCTCCAATTATAGCGCATGAATACAATACAGCAATCCCAAGTTACTGTCGTACTATGAAAAATTTCATGGACCACCTCTGTCTCTGACAGCACACGCGCAAATGGTGATATTCTTCGCATAAGAATTATCGTCTGGTGACCTTTCCACCTTCCATTTAATGATTCTCATCGAATCGGGCTACCGTTGACCGGTTCCTCCCGCATGATCGTCATTATCCTTTTTTACACAAAAGTTGTAACTCTTGCATCTAGGAAGGTGTTGTAGCGAGTCTCAGACGAGAGTGGATCACTCGCTAGAAGATCAAGATCGCGACGCATTTTGACAACAAGAATCATTTTAGTTTTCCTAAGATCTCACGATCATGATGTCTGAGATCCATGTGGAGGCTCCGAGAAGGATCATCTGATTGTACTAGAGGATTCTTGGGATCAACAGAGATGATCCCGAGGAAAAATATCTAAGGGCGTAGAAAGACGCTCGTGACATTGAAAGTGATCTTACGTGAGGTCATGAAGATGATCCCGATCTTCAGGATGTATAATAGAGCGATGCGCACGATATTGCTATCTTATCAATGTTCTTATGTGGAAAAGCTATCCCTCTTCGACTCTTCTAGTACGCGATATTGTTTCGAAACGTTCTTTGTGACTTGTTATGGTTTTCAGGTGGTGTTAATCTTTATTGATAGTGTACGTGCGTTGTTTGAATCTGGAGCTTATGAATAAATAGCTGAGCCTAATTCCTGTGCATGCTTCTATCGTTTTCTTTTTCACCTTGCTCCTAGTCTAGTGGTCAGAAAATGAAAGTGATGAAGAAGCGGTTGCGCTCGAGGGAGGGACGTGAGCCCGACACTGAACCCATGAAAAAGCTTAAACGGCGAGTTGTCAAAAAGACAAAGCGGAGCGAACCAAAAGCGACCACGACAAATGAGGACCAGGATCAGGAGGCAGAAATCGTTGAAGAGAGTCCTGATGATCAGAGCAGCGAAAATGCGGATGAAAGTCCTGCAGCTACCACAGTAGAAGAAGAACTTGCACCAGCACTCGTGGTTGGAGACAACGCAGAACTCATAAAGGATCTCGAAAAGCAGTTTTGCGACAATGACAACCATCTAGTCACAGCCGACTTTCTCACTCGTGTCCAGCGTTTCACCGATTTACGCGAGCACAGCTCAACGCCAGTCCCACAGTGGATCCTCAATGGCCTTCAGCACTTGAACCTGTTTTATCCTACTCGCATCCAGAAGCTGTCCTTACCTTACTGCATGCAGGGAAGAAATGTCATCGGGAATGCCAAAACGGGTACCGGAAAGACCCTCTGTTACGTGCTTCCGACGTTGTTGCAACTGTCCATGGATCCCTTTGGCGTGTTCGGACTGATTTTATCCCCAGTGCGTGAGCTGTGTTTCCAGATCGCAGACGTCTTTGACGCTTTGGGAAAACCGATTCACTGCAGCACCCTGGTATTGGTGGGAGGACGAGATATGCTGACGCAGGTACATTGAAGAAATGTTGTCTATCCCCTCTGTTGGTTCATTCAGTGTAGAGAAATGTTGTCTATCCCCTCTGTTGGTTCATTCAGTGTAGAGAAATGTTGTCTATCCCCTCTGTTGGTTCATTCAGTGTAGAGAAATGTTGTCTATCCCCTCTGTTGGTTCATTCAGTGTAGAGAAATGTTGTCTATCCCTTCTGTTGGTTCATTCAGTGTAGCTCTACAATTTAGGCCCTTAAGGGAGTCTGCACTGAACTTTGTGCGAGATTAATTGTATGTATGTTGTTGTAATTTGAATATCCCGCTCAGGTCGACCGCCTAACCTCCGCATGCCCCCATATCGTGGTCGCAACGCCTGGTCGTTTGTCTGACTTTTTCGAGTCCCACGCGCTCGTGAAAGACGCTTTTACGCGTGTCCGCGTCTTCGTTGTGGATGAAGCGGATCGCGTTTTCAGTGCTGGATTCGAGAACGAATTGGGCACGATTTTGGAAAACATCCCGTCAAAGGACAAGCGACAAACCATGCTTTTCTCCGCAACCGTGACAGAAAATGTCAAGGCGCTTTGGAGACAAAGCACGAGCTCATCTTCATCTTCCACAGGGGGGTCAACATCAGCTTCATCATCAGGAAAAAACGTGCAAGAAGACCATCCCGGACGATACTTCTTTTTCGATGCTATCGCCCATGAACAATTGGAAATCCGGAAGAGTACTGCTGGAGGTGCGTCTTGTACTTCTCTGATCACACAAGCAGGAGAGCAGCATGGCTCTATGGCAACATCAACAAACAACCCAACCAGTACCTCTCTAGTCGCGACTCCGCATTTGCTGGAGCAAGCATATCTTTTCGTTCCCCCTCAAGCGAAACTGTGCTACCTCTACTACCTGCTCACCGAAGACCCAGACGTCGCGAACGAGAGCACCATCATTTTTTGCTCCAGCATTGAGATGTGCCAGAGACTCCAGACCACCTTAGAGTACGCCTTGCACATCAAAAACACCCAATGCCTGCACTCGTTGCAATCCCAGCGGTTACGTTTGGTGTCCATGCTGAAATTCAAGTCCGCTTGTAGCGCAAGAGAGGTGATGTCGAAACAAGATCATGGTTCTTCTCCGGGAGTTGCTAAGTCTTCTTCTTCGAGTAAAAATGCTAAAATAAAAGCAGGTGGAAAGAACAAGAAACTCAAGAAAAAAAGCGGAAACGGTGGAACACTAGATGCAACAACTTCAGAAGACCATGCTGGCGAAGACTTAGAAGACGAAGAAGTGCATAGAGAGCGACAGGTAGTCTTAGTTGCGACTGACGTTGCAGCTCGTGGTTTGGACATCCCGAGTGTTGGCGTAGTGATCAACTACGACCTACCGCTAGACCCAGCCGAATACGTGCATCGCGTAGGACGAACTGCTCGTGGCGCGAACGCGAGCAAGGGGTTGGCGATTTCGTTTGTTACGAACCAGAACGACGCAAGGAAACTCCAGGCAGTCGAAGACAGAGTAGGAATGAAAATGCCGGAGTATAGAGGTGAAAGGAAAACTGAAGAGACCACTGTCGTGAAACCTTCAACACCGTCAACTTCACAAGATATTGAGACTCTTCAGAATAAGGATCTTCAGAAGAAGAGCACTGCCCTAGCGAAAGAGTCCTCAGCTGGTCGCACATTAGACGCAGACCAGAACCTGCAGGAAGGCAGAATAAACGAAGTAGATGATCAACAAGCTGAGTCCCTTCTACGTGGCAAAGTGCGAGAGTCAGTGGTGATCAAGCAGTTGTGCGATGCAGAAACCGGAGTCAACCTACAACTAGGCACTTCTGCGAAACGACGTACGCCATTAGACGAAGACGTTGTGCTGAAAAAGCTGAATAAGGTAACGAGAGCGTGGCAAAAGTCCAGCTTGTTACTCTACGAAGTGGGTTTCAACGAGAAAATCGCAGAGCACAAGGACCGAAAACAAAAGGGTAGAGGAACGTAGACGTGGTAAAGTGCTTAGATTATGACATGGACTTGCTGGTGGATCCTGTCCTCATCTGAAGATGGCTCTTTACAAATTCTGTTTTCCTTATTGTGTGTGACAATGCTGCAAAGAAGAAGAACTATCGACAGTCGAAGAAGCTACCAACAACATGGTAGGTGTACTGCTTACCCGATGGATGTTCATGCCTTTTTGCCACGCGGCTAGCTGTGTAGACAAATGAATCGTGTGAGAGATTGTAAAATGGTTATGAGTAGTAGGTACTAACTGAGGAGTTGGTATCAAAATCGGACACTACCGCGCTCTAGCGGACTTTGAGAGTACTAAAACTGCCGTTGGAAAGATGGAACCAAAGAAATGGAAGAAGGAACTCAGCTCCAGTAGTTAGCAGCGCTATCAAACAAAAATCAAATAGGAGAGTTTTTCTTGAACCTGACTCATTGCTGCGTAGTACATGCTTAGTTAGACCACTGTTTTTGTACTTAAGTATCACCTAAACAAAGCCAGAGACATCGGACAATTTTTGGTACATTAAACTTAAATTCCTCACGATTAAAGCATTACATACGGGGGACGAGCATAGGAATCTTGGACTCAAATAAGTGGTTGCTACGTCGACCTCCATATTGATCCATACCATTGTATCCACTGTTTATGTTTTGTCACATTGATGTCGTGTCATAGTAATTCTAGTTCTTAAACACATTCATTGGTTAATTAATTAGTGGAACAAAATGGAGGATTTCATCGACTCGATCGGGCAGACCCGTTCTAAGCAGAAGACGCTCAAAGCCCTGAGCCGTCTCCTCAGTGGCTGCTTGAATAACGACGATAAGATCAGGAAAGGGACGTGGGTCAACGAAATCCCCATCGCTGGCCATGCTTTGTTGTTGCATCTAGGCTTTACGAAGGGCGATGGCGTCTGGGAATGCCCGTCTCAGACTGGTAGTAGTAGAGACCAAATCTCGGAAGCGAATGAGCTCATAGAATGCGTCCTGATGTCCATGGACGACGATGAAGAGGACGGAGAAGATTTATGACTAGAAAAAGTTATATTTATTACGCCCTTAAGGCAGTCTGCACTGAACTTTGTGCGGAAAATACGCAGAAAGTACGCAGGTAGGTTTCGACTTATCGGAACTCGCTCGCACTACAAAAAAAAAAAAAGTGCGAGATTAATTGTATTGTATTGTGTCGGTCATCCTCATCCCACTCTGATTCTGCAATACAAGAGACCAGGCTCCTCTACGGCAAAAAGCCATGCTGGTCCATTTTATTGATACGACCCACACCTCACCAAATCTGATCATTTTTCTAACCTCAGCAGCAAAGAACGGTGCCTCTTCACCGAACAATGCTTCTGCTGCGGCTGGGGCAGCGAGTGGCGCAGGAGGCCCTGATCAGATGGATGTCGATAGTAAAGAGGAGGACGATGAAGAACTCAATGCCGCATTAGCCATGTCCCTTGGTGATGAGGGAGCGAGGGTGCACAAGATTATGGATAGAAGTGGTTCTGGTTTGACTGTGAGGTCAAATAAGTTAAAGTTGTTGTATTTGATTTCGATGCTTTTAGAACTAGTGGTACAACACAGGGATCCTTTTTGTAGTTCACTGTCGTGAAAAGCAAGTGAGCAAGACTGCAAGGAGTTTTAGTCTCTAACAGCAAGCAAAAAACAGACGATGACGACGATATGCCTGCTGCGAATGAAGTGCGAGTGGATGTGGAGTTCCAACGTATACCTCCTAACTTTCCATGATAATGAAGATGATCTTGATCTTGATTGCTGACGATAGTATAACAGTACAACAGTATTTAGCAGTAACAGCATCATGTCCTCAAGAAAGAACCTTAGAGTAAAGTAAGTACCGACGTTCGTCACGACCACAACGAGGATCATCCACATCAGGTTTCGACGCTTCAACGGTTACGGTAGATCCGAAGCAGGTTGACGAGGTGAACGCCATCCAGGAAGCGATCGGTGAGCCGTATGTAGATCCACAGTTTCCGGCTTCAGACAAAGCCCTTTACATTAATCCAGAGGACGCCAAAACGTGGGACTGCATGACATGCGGAAGGCGAAATCCACTGCCACCCTTGTTTCCTTTTCCACCTGACAATAAGGCACAGGCTATTTCATCTCCAGCTCCACAGGTTTTTTTCTCTGTCAAAGATACAGTTTGCTTCTATCTCAAGATCATTCGGAAAAAATGAACTCAAGAGAAAGAGATGAAGCATTTTCTTCTCTAATAACAGTAGGGAGGAAGCAATGAACTTGCAGCAGAAGCTTGACAGTATCCTATGCTTCCATTGTCGAGCGAAGCCAACAAACGTTGCGCAAGTTCGCTTTGTCCATAGACCCTCGAATTGGCTGAGACCTGGGGGTAGGACGGACTCTATTTTATGGCTGGCGGGTAGTTCGTTGACACTTGAGATCATGCAGTCCTCTATCAGATGTGCCCTTTTCTTCCAATTACAGCTGCTAAAAGACCGAGAAAAATGGGTTACGTAAAGCCCCAAGAATCTCTACCCGATTATATCTCTCTTCTAAGAAAAACAGACATGCTTTACCCAACCGTTACGGATATGAGCATCAAGTCGCGGTTATGCACCGGATTTATCCGGGATGACATGGGTAACACCATTGGCCAGGAATGGGCTGTCGTGAGAGAAGAAGCGAGACCAGAAGACGTAGTGCAAGGAGCCATTGGAAATTGCTGGTATGAGAAGACGTTATGTGAGTTTGAGTGCGTGTAGGTATCTGGTTGTGATAAATAGCTTTGACTTCCTTATTTGAAGACGAAAAGATTTTGGTTTGTATTAGTACTGCCGTCTTGTCACTTTTTATGGTGGATGATGAAGACTACCGTTGATTTCGATGCTGACTGCTTTATCCAGATTCAACCCGATGAACTTACAAGCTACGTCGAATAGACTCCCCTCAACACTACGGCTGCAAAACCCTAGCACTATCAGACTCTAATCCTCGTTCGCTGGTGCCCTTTCAGTGGTTGCGCAGAGACCTGACCTCATCGACAAGCTGATATTGACCAAGAAGTACAACAAGCATGGAGCCTATCTGGTACGCTTGTGTCATGCAGGTCGTTGGCGCGGCATGTTATTGTTAAGCAGGGAGGTTGAAAGGTGTTTAGTACTTGTCACCAGTTTCGGAATGCTCATCAGGGCAACTGACCATGGCCATGCTTAGTACTTGAGCTTTTGGACAAACTACATGGGCATATTCTAACCTGATGCTAATCTACATCTACTCCAAATTTTCCGTCTTGGCGGATGTCCTCCTGCTGTAGAACCCGCTTCTAATCTCCGACGACTTATTCCCTTGTAGTAAAGTCTGGGACGGGCGACTGGCAGATGGGAAGATTTACTTCGCAAGAGGAGGTGAACTAAGTTACCTGCAGTCCCGCAGACGCCAGTTGTGGGTCCCGTTAATCGAAAAAGCAGCTGCGAAACTGTTTGTTAAGGTGAAGCCGTATAGTATTCCACAAGGAAGAAGAACCTTTTTTTAATGCCCGTGTTGCGAAAACTTCTGCATCAGTGACTCCTAATTTGATTGGACCCAGCAGTATTAACCTAGCCAGAAACTGTAGAGAGGTTCCGCACACTCGTGCTCTAAGCTCCGTTGCTACGGTGCGTTGAACAGTGGAACTTTCGGCGAAGCATTGGGCTTACTCACCGGCTATCCCGTAGAACAGATGAGATTATACGAACCGAAGTCCGTGAAGGACGCAAGAGAAAAGCGGCGCAACGAAATTGTAGCGTTGAGGACGCAAGCACTATATGATGACTGGAGAAGACTTTTTAACGGTAACGCCAGCGGTTGACATTGAACTTGAAGATGTACTCAAAGAAGCATGCTGCTTCATCAGCATTCTACAAAAAGACTCAGTATCTTCATCTTGTCCTCCTCGTCATGGTTGGCAAACCCTCGACTCTTCTCTTCCTTTCTTTCATACCCCCTTTAGAGGCGAGGAGCCTCCAGACGTCGATGAGGAAGAGATGTCTGTATTAGACGACGCGTTTCAAGTCGATGTCCTCTGGACACGGTTACTGAGTTACTTTGAAGCTGGCTACATCATGGGACTCGCCTGTAGTCACGAGGGCGTCGAAAAAAGCCGAGACGAAGTAGTGGGGGTTGGTTATGGCTTGTTTTTGTACTTACTTGATGGAATAGTTTCTTTAGACAGCTCTTGATCTACTGGTATTTCAACATGAGTGCCCATTCCTGCATGAAAAGGTGGCATGACCCCTCTTCTAAGTGCGTTTGCAGTCTCCCCATGCGTATGGTATCTTGGACGTACGCGAGATCGAATACGAATGGCCCAAAAACAGCGGTAATAAACGACAACTTATGTTGACATTGCTGTTGATCTGCTGATTTTACTCATACCCCAATAAATTCCCCTTGTACAGGAATACAGCTGTCTCAATGACCGGACTTGATCATCGCCTTGTTGTTCTTTGTAAGTACTTGGAAAAAATGAGGAGTAAGTATATGCCTGTGCGGGCCGCGGAGTGGTGGACCCTCAACCTTAATCTTAACCTTATATGCGAGCGGTATTGATGATCTGTTCTAGCGGATCCCGTCTGTCCTTCTAATAACAGACTGATAAAAGTAAGGAATCCTTGGGGAGACAAGGCACCGCAGACTTGGAAAGGCGCATGGGGCACAGACTGGGAAGGATGGACTTTCGATTTGAAATTATGGCAATCATGATATTATAATCACGTTTTGGAGAAGAATCTGTACTGTATCTTTTGAAGTACATGCTCTACTTTTTTAATAGGATGATTCCTGGCATTAAGTAGAGTTTCATTAACGGATGACTGGCATTAAGAAGAAGTAAGACATACAATTAGTTTCATGACCATTCTTTCTAATCAATCTGCAATTGGGCGTTGTAAATCGATCGAACGTGACCCTACACGAGACTATGGGCATATTTTGGATAAGCTTCGAGGACTTGCGCAAATATTTTGGCAGTGTGGAGGTCTGTCGAGTCCATCCACCGTACTGTTATGACGATGTCGCGCGTTTTCTTTGCTTAGTCGGATTCCATGATTAGTCAAAGTGCGAGTCTCATTGGGGTGGGCCTCATTAGTTTTAGAAAAGATATTCGTGAGTCTGTAACTCTCTGCTACAAAGTCGTTTACATATCATCATTGTTTGGTCGTTTTGTTGTTCCCATCAAGTAGTTACTTATACTTGTGTCGCTGATGATCATCTCCCTTTAACCCTCGTGCCTGCGTGAGGAACGATTATGGTTATCAAGCGCAGTGGGACCTGGTGAGTGTCTGGAGTTCGACGTTTACCAAGCTACGGAAATTGACCTCGCTGTATGGCAGGAGAGGCACGTAAAACGCGAAACTGCAATCGGAGCGAAGAGCACGAATCAAGATGTTGGTACTAGTAAGTTGTTTTCGGTTCTTTTGTGATAATGTATGTAGCTTGACCCTAACTTTCTTCATCACATATTTATAAATATTATAGTTACTTTTGGCTTGGAAATTCAACTTAGACTTCATACTGTTGGCCAATGGTCATTACTGGCTCGCGATCCAATGGATGAACCTGATTTCAATGCCAAATGACTGCTCTCACTCGTCACCTTGATCATGATCAAGGCCGTTCCTTGTCTTGAACTCTTGTTAGTTCCTCGTATGATCATCGTTTGAACTCAATGAGTTCCAACATGAATCAGCAGCAAGATCTCCCAGATCTTTAACTGCACTATGGCCCTTCATGATATCCCAATGACATTGGACCCATTTTGATACCATTTCAGGGCCTTAAAAAGTCAGTGATCATTCGGCACGTCCGTTCTGATCGTCTTTCTGTTACATTGCAACGATAACCATTCCATTTGCTCTCAAGAGCCTCATAGTGCGCTTGGACGTGTTCGGGTGTTCCAACACTGTTTCAAGCCCTTGAGCCTTACCTTATTAACGAAATTGTTAGTCAAGTCATTGTAGAAGTAGAGAAAACAAAGTCGCACTACTTGCGCCATAAAATGCCCGATGTGAGTCTCGGAGAGATTTCACCCAAACTGGGGCAGAAATCTGACTGGCGTGACTGGCTTTGAGCGGTAACGCAAGAAGCAGACCGCCTGGACCTAGTCCAATACCTCAACAACGTGCTGAACGGCAATGCGGCAGGGGTTCCGAACCAACCCAACAACAACGACCGCAAGCTCCAGCAGAATTGGCGAGATTTGAAGAGTGTGATCATCAAGTCGCTCAAAGGTGCAGCCGAAGCACATATGAAGGATCAGGATGCCACTGTAATGAACGCTGGTGAAGTGGTGACAAACCTCCGTGACGCCGGTTTCAGTCAAAATGACCGCACAGAGCAACGAATCTCTGCTAAAGCGTTGGAAGGGATGCACTTCACGAACCGTGACTCTCCTCCAGACGTTCCAACATTCCTGGCAAAGGTTAGAGATGTCATGAACCAATCTCCGACCGTCTATCCACCGGAAGTTGGTGTGGCTATTGCTGATCAACAAAACGGAGCAATCCTCGACATTCTGCCTAAAATGTTTTCCAAAGCATTTCGACAGACAATCGAGAGGATGCAAGAAGAAGAACATCTAACGTTCGTCCAAATCGGTGAAAGACTCACGAAACGACTTCAAAGTTTGATTGACTCTGGTGAGTACAAGACCGAGAGTCCATCTTTCGGCAAAGCTTTTCCAGCTGTCGAAGATTCCGATGATGAAAACCAGAACAATGCCAAAACCAAGAAGCGTAAGCGTCAAGATGAGAGTGATGACGATGGTAACGCGTTTGCCGCTCTCAAGAAAACAACGATCAAACGACTTCGCAAGAAGATTCGCAAAGAAATCAAGAACGAGGTCTACGCAACAAAAGGAAGTGGAAAGACCAAGAGTAGTAGTAGTAGTAGTTCTAGTAGTAAGAAAAACATCAAAGGAAGTGGCAAAGGTAAAGGTGCTAAGAACTCTAATCCTAATGAGGGTATCCAGTGCAACTATTGTCACAAGTATGGACATAAGGCGCACAAATGCTGGCTAAACCCGACGAGTCAAAGCCACCAACCTAACAAAGCCATGGGCAGCAACTTCTTCAGCAATTCATACAACTGCTGGCCGCAAGGTAACGCTATCCCTCCGTGGCACCAGAGCAGCTATCCACCGCAACAAAGTGGAGGAAAAGGATTCGACAACAGTAACCCACAGCAGCAATGGGGTGGACAACAACCACAGCGCTGAGTCGAAACCAATCCGGAATGGAATGGATATGGGAAACGAGATGGACAATCCCAAGATGAAGAAGAATTTGAAGAAGATTTCGAAGATGAAAATGGAAGATGTTCGCTGAACTTTGAAGAAAACTTTGAGAATAAAGAATATAGAAGTGAACTGTTTAGGGATGAAAGCTATATGGTTGATAGTCGCTCAGGTTGCTATCTAAGTGCAAATAACAGGGAAAATAGCAAAACAGTTCCACTTGTTGACAGTTGTGCAAATAAGTATTTGTCTAGCCATCGTTCCGATTTCAAGAAGATTAGCTACCGGCTTTGTCACATTAGTGGCACCGCTAGAAAGCGAAGTGGGAACTTAGGTAGACTGAAAGAAAACAAATTAGGACTAAAATATGGCGTACACTTTGAACACTTACCAAAAGCCATAGATCGCATTATACCGTGGTTAGGTGAAGGAAACTGTCATGGGAAGGGTTGGCAAATGAATTTCACAGAAAGTGGCGGAACGCTGTACAATACCCGCTCCGGCCGCTCTCTACCCATAACAAATTGCCCCCAGATGCAGTTACCTACTCTAGGCTGTGACATGTTTAGCAAAGAAGAAAATGAAACTGAGGAGGATATAGCATGTACTAGCATCGAAGAAGCTAGACTTCATTCACAAGCCTCAAGATTAGACATACATCGTAGACTTGGTCACTTTCACGTCGATGGCCTTAGTGTATCTTGTCCAGAATGTGATCGAGCCAAAGGCCAAAGACGCTCTCATGCAAAAGTGAGGCCCGCTGGGCATATACCTTCTCCATTGAAAACACTTGCAATTGATTTCGCAGTTGGTATTAGACCAGTATCTATAAGAAGCAAAAGATGTGCTTTAGTCATTATTTGTGATTCGATTAAAATGTGTTTCGTTCGTCCTCTTTGCCTCAAGTCGGACTGCGTAGAGGTGATTGAAGAAGTAATAAAAGGCATTCGCCAGGACTACTCATTGCCACTCGACGACAAGGCGGCATGGTTCATCCGTAGAGATAACGAACCCGTCCTAAGTAGTGACCATATGACCAAAGTCATGCAATCGCTACTGGTTTCGGAAATTCCTGGAGTTCCTTACAGTCCAGAAATGAAAGGAACTTGCGAACGTTTCACGCGGACCATTTTCGGTGCTGTGCGTACCATGTTGGTCAAAGTCGACCGACGTCTTTGGTGTTACTGCCTACAGTATGCCGGAGATTGTTGGAATCGCTTACCGCATCGTTATGCAAAAATGCCAGAACGTGATGGCATGAGTCCTGTCGAGATACTAGGAAAGAGGATAGGAAAGAAGTCCTCGAAAAGTGGTCTAGGTATGTTAAGAAGATTCGGGTGTTTGGTGTACTTTCGTGAACAGGTCGTAGACACCACCAACAAGAAAGAAGCAAAGCTCGCGTCACCTTATCGGCGTGGTGTGTTTCTCGGTCTGTGTCCAGTTTCGTCTGGTTGGCTAGTAGGTACATATCACAACGATGGGAGAACGAAAGCTGGCTTCAAGTGGAGTGAGTATTCCACACTAGATGTGAAATTTCGAGAGTCGATATTAGTCAAGAACATCGATTGGCTCTTGCCTACGTCGAAGGGCATTTATGTTGATTGTGACCCGCTGGAAAACCTGCAGTCTGGCACGCCGTCGCTGGGTCCCGTCCTGCACAGACATGCGCTGCAACGTATGGCCTGTCAGCCGCGCTTCTCTGGCACGGAGTACAGCTCAGGCGATCCAACCGGCATGGAAATGATATTAGGTAACAATGAAGTTGGTGAGTTTGTCTGTGAATCTTTGGACAAAGAAGAAGATCCAAAGACCGGTGATGATTCCAACTCTGACGCGCAACGCGTTGAGGAGGGGAATAGCCCATCGGAGCGTGTGTCACCTGACTCTAATCCTGAAGCAAGGGATCCGAGGCCCTTACCCATTCCACCATCTCAGCCAGGCAAAGTTGAGGAGGGGAAGAAAGGCCGAGGAAGACCAAAAGGGAGCAAGGATAAGAATCCAGGACAACGCAAAAGAAGAACAAAAGCCGAGCTAGAAGCATTAAGAAAAGACATGAATAAATTTGCCATGCTAGTAGGCGGGCATGAGCTGGAAGAAGGGGAAACCTTTCTCGAAGCACATGCCATGCTGTCAGTTTCCCAAGCCTTGGAAAGCCCTGACGCCGAAAAATGGCGTGCAGCTATCACCAAGGAGGAAGCTAGATTACTTGCCTTGGAGACTTGGGCGCCAGCTACTGACGAGGAGCTGCGAACCTCTTCTCAGGTAATGCCTATAGCAATCGTTCTCACGGTAAAACGTGATGGAACATTCAAAGCTCGTGCTTGTGTGCTCGGGAATCTTGATCGTTCGGGGAATATCGACACCTACGCCCCTGTAGTGTCACACGCTGCGAATAGACCTTTACGCGTTTCAGCGGCGACGGAATCTGACTTCGTCATCCCCTTCGACCTTGATTCTGCGTTCCTTAATGCTGAACTCGATCGCGACGCCTTCTGCCGTCTTCCACCAGTGTGGGCGGAGAAGCATGGAGCGGATATCGTCAAGCTTAAGAAAGCTCTATATGGGCTCAAGGACGCTCCACGAGCTTGGTGCAAGAAGTATTGCGTGCTATTGTCCGAACTCGGATGGGAGCCGTGTCCTTCTGCTCCTCCAGGATTGTGGCGGAAAAAGAGCAAAACGCACCCAGGAAAGTGCGCGAAGATGTCAGTCTATGTTGATGATAACTTAGCTACTGGACCTGACTATCAAGAGATACGGTCTGAGCTCGACCGGATCTTTAGTCGCGCCCCCGGCCGACCTATTGAGATGGCAAAGCGAGCCGATTCTCACACGGGTTTCGAATGGCTAGAGTTCGACTTTCTTGGTGCGATTGTGCACTATTGTCGGGAAGCGCGTTCAGTGAAAATCCTGATGAGTGTGCACATAGAGAAGACTTTACAGAAGTATAAAATAACATTAGGTAAGCCGGTGTGGTCTCCAAATTTCGACGAGTCTGCTTTGCTTGAGGAGGGGCTTAAGCTAGCAGCCGGGTTTCCATTGCGTGAGATTGTTGGCGCACTGCTTTGGATATCGACAACCGCGAGGCCAGATATTTGCGTCCCTGTGGCGACATTGGCTCGGTATGTCAGTAAGCCCGTTACTGAAAGAATTGCAAAAGCCTGTAGGAAAGTATTAAAGTATCTAGCTACAACAAAAGACCAAGGACTCTATTACTCTCCAGAAAGTGAGGAAGAATTCAACGAAATCTACAAGAAGCTCCTACCAGAAGGGAGAGAGCTACCGTATACTAACTGGTTCTCAGATGCAGGATTCGCAAACTGCATAAAGAGCATGCGCTCGACCAGTGGTTCGATTATGTACTATCGGGGTTTTCCTATCTGTTGGAAACGCAATACCCAAGCCGTGCGTGCATATTCAACTGCAGAGTCAGAGTATATAGCCGCGTCGGGCACTATTGTCATGAGCGAGCTGCATGATTTTACAGATTTCCTCAATCCCTTACCCACTCAACTAGTGGAAACGCGGTTTGGTATATCGCCATCCCTCGATGATGCCATATGGTGGATAGGCAACCAGTCTGCAATCTCGACAGCAAAGAGTGAAGATGCGAAGCCTAAGAGTAGACACTACGCGCTACGTTATTTAAGGGCTAGAGATGCAGCCGAGAAAGTCGCTTTCTGTCCTACTCACCTGATGAAAGCTGATGGACTAACGAAACTTTCATGCTCATCCAATCAACGCAGATTATTACTACACCACATAGAGAATCCAGTAATTAGCCGTAACCATGTTGAAGACGATAGTGACTCGGAAGAAGAAGATGATGAGTCTGGTTCAGGTTCTGCTTCTTTGGCGGTGCTTACCTATTCTATCTTCTTAGGGTGTTAGGTCGTTGGTCAAAGGTGATGTCAGTGGCTATACAGCGAATCGTGATGGTTCTGGGTCAGAGCAGGTAGCACCAGACCGCTCGCGGCTCCCGCCATTTCCTCGCCTAGCGATTGAGGAGGGGTGTTGGTCAATGGTCATTACTGGCTCAAGATCCAATGGATGAACCTGATTTCAATGCCAAATGACTGCTCTCACTCGTCACCTTGATCATGATCAAGACCGTTCCTTGTCTTGAACTCTTGTCAGTTCCTCGTATGATCATCATTTGAACTCAATGAGTTCCAACATGAATCAGCAGCAAGATCTCCCAGATCTTTAGCTGCACTATGACCCTTCATGATATGCCAATGACATTGAACCCATTTTGATACCATTCCAGGGCCTTAGACAGTCAGTGATCATTCGGCGCGTCCGTTCTGATCGTCTTTCTGTTACATTGCAACGATAGTCATTCCATTTGCTCTCAAGAGCCTCATAGTGCGCTTGGACGTGTTCGGGTGTTCCAACACATACACAGCTCTTTGGTATTGGCTAAAAGTGTCTTCATCGAAGTACTATTTTTTTGCTAGCAGCATGGACTTGTTATGTATTTATAAGGTTTCGCGCTTTTCCGTTGTCAACATGCGAAAGCGGAGGCGAAGGAGATCGAGAATAAGTATGAACTGCATTTCTTGCATCGCGGGAAACGCACGAGACAGGATCAAACTAGTGTCGATATCACACTCGAGGGAGGTTATATTACGGAAGATTGCGCTTGTACTAGTATTGGTGTTGCTACACCCTTGATGAGAGGGGCCGGCTTCGTTTTTGGCATGCGCGCAGTTGGCTTAGCTGATGTAGCTGCCAAGTGCGCAGTTGTTGGCCTTGCACTGTGCAGTTACTGGCCCTGGGTGGCCCGTACATTCACCAGGAACGGTACGTGCCAAAAAAGCTAGTTGTATGAACCGTCCACAGGATGTGAGAAAATGTAATCGATTGGCAGCATCTAATTATCCCTACCTGGTCGTTCTCTTTTCTTTCTCGCTGCTGCGCGAAGAGAACGCGTTTCCAAGGCAAGGCAGTCTGGTCCTGCATGCGAACCATAAGGTACTTCTACTTGCGTGTTCAACCTCTTAGAAGTCATTTCGATACAAGTTTTTTTTTTTTTTCTTGAAAAGTTCTACTCAGTCTCAGTCCATATCTATCATAAACATAAACGTGATGATGATCATAACGCTCATCTTGTCACCCTGTTCCTAACTGACCAAGGTCTCCGAGTTGCGGAAGGTTGGATCATCATGGCCCTTAATAGGACGCGCCTTGTGGTCTGTGCTAGATGCCGAGGTAACGAGAAGGGTGCCGCTCCAATGCCAGATGACTCAACGCGTTTTCAATTAAGGCTAGCCTTCATCTAATTCGCAAACGCCATCCACAGGATGAACGTAGAGTTTCGCGCTTGATTCAGCATTTATCTATAGTGCAGTTTCGGACTTTTCACGACTCTACCACTTAAATATTCAAAGAGAGACGAGGATTACTCGCTCTCACATGTGATGTTGAAACGCCTACCCCGTCTAATCCAAGGACGTGAAAACGTGTTTTATGCGAGACGGCGACGCGGGATACATAATGGCGGTCGAAAACCACAGCTCCACTTATGCATGGAACATATACTCTCGACATTTCAGACTACTCCTGCTCCTCCTCCTCATTCTCCAGTTTCTTGTTCCCCAACACTGTAGCACAACACTCTAGCATTGTTGTACCTCTAACTTCTAGACACAGCAGGCGTTCAGTACGATATGACGGAGTCTATCGGTATTCAGGGCTCAAGGGCGTCTGCGGTAACCTTTGATGTGGTGCCTCCGCGTCATAAGTTCATCGTTAACGTGGGAACCCAAACTTCAAAGGCGGACTTTGTGGATTATCAGCAGGTTATGTCTGGTCGTCTTGTAACAGATTGCAATAGAAGATAGATGTTGTAGATGTGGTGGAAGTCCTTCTTTATTCCTCATAGAAGATGTAGAAGTCCTTTGTTGTAAGATTCCGCTGCAACTGCAACATAGTAAATATGATTCCTCTAATACAAGCATGCAGTATGTGGATCCCGAAATGGCGATGGCGATGATGGCCCCACAAGAAGATTTCCACATAGTGTTGCCGCTAGAAGAAAAATGCGACGCCAAGAAAAAAGCGCCGCCTTCTGCTGAATTCCTAGCCCTCGGAGAAGGTGACGCAGTGTATAATGGCTTTTCGCGTGAAACTTTGATTATGGTCCATGATGATGGATGTGGATGATGCTGGTGAAGATGGTGATAATGGTGTCATATTTATATGAGTCTTCTCGTGTGTATAGGTATACATGCAATGATAAAAGTACGTAAAGATACCATATTTTGCATGATGTTCTTGACCAAACAAGAACATCTTTCTTTAACGAACTTGTTCCAACAAGAACCTCCCAGTATGATAATAAATCAACATTTACACCAAGGACGATGAGGTTTAGTATAAATGAGACTAGGGCTTGGTGCTTTGTTCTAAATCGCAGCAGCAGTATGGAGACAAGTACTTGCCGCGAAGCAGTTCCAAAAACCTGCCTGGAGGAGGTTCCTCCTCGTCATATTCTACAACAGTCACCGCGCCTGCGTCAACGAAGCAAGCTGAGACTGCCGCTAGCCTAGCGGGTGACATAATTATGGCATGCTTATCTAGAATTTCTTTTTCATTTTGAAGAAAACACTTTTCAGATGACGAAGCAAGTAGATGAAGAAGTTGTTTCCATACAGGCTCCTGGTGCCAAAGTCTCTCTCCGTCTTTGTTCTCTTCTTTTTTCGAGAGTAGTTCCATTCTCTTTGAAAGTAGTTCCATTCTCTTTGAAAGTAGTTCCATTTTCTTTATCGATTCTCTCTTTCTTTCTTCCATTCTCTTTGAAAGTAGTTCCATTTTCTTTATCGATTCTCTCTCTCTTTCTTCCTCTTCTTCTACTTCTAAAGCAACAGTAGACGCCGACGATGAGGAAGCGCGCTTGTTGGAACAGGCAATGCAGCTGTCTGTGGATCCTAAGGTGACGCTGCAGACACGCGTTAAAACTCTCTTCGAGCAGTACACAAATTAAGACATCAGATCTTTCTACAGATTTTTCTTTCTCGTCACGCATGAGAGCAAGCATGTGCTTCCCCCTTATAGTAGGGGGGGAAGGGGAGAAGGTTTAGGTCTGCGGTCTATAGGACGCTCGCCAGGTCTTACCCGCTCCCTACATTTAGACCCTTTACCTTTACTTTAATAGGTGCGTCTATCAGTCAGTCTCAGTCAATCAATTCGGTTTTCTTGTTACCCGATGCAGAAATTGAAATATCACTTATATGATCAAGGAGAATTAAGAGAGTACTTCTACATCCTACACTTTTCTCGGTATTAACTCAAGTTCTACCCAGCGTCATTTGAGTTTGCGACAGGACTAATTTGCATTTGTCGACACGGTATGACTTTGATAGTTCTTACCCTGCTCGCTGTAGTCGTGTTACACTTACAAGTATAATCATCAAATGATGACATTAATTTGATCAGGATCAGCAGAACTATGTACTTCTTAAGAATATTCGAACAAACACTACTACCTAATAAAGAACCTATGGCTAATATGGTGATATCTACTTCTCTAAGCAAAGGAAGGAATGCCACCGAATGAGGCAGCTGCGCAAGCGATGCGTGTAGCCAAGGAACAGATGCTGCATTCTTAGCAGATTTTAACGCCTATATAGAACGGAGATGCACATGACACGGTGGTCATCGTGCTGAAGACATGGTCATGCTGAAGACATATTCATTTGTGTCATGGACATGCACATTTGACACGCTGGTCATCGTGCTGCAGATTTTTTCTTATATTGTTCGATCACGATCGATGCGCATTTTGATATCATGAATCACATAAGATTTCTTGTGACCACACATCAACATGTTTGTTTAACACTGATCGTCCTCCAAAGAAATTCACACATATTTTTACACTTCCTACGACCAGGACCACCAGCCACCAACTGCCTCATAGCAGCTATGTCGGTGATTAGCAGGATATTATTAAATCATATTGTCAGAGTTTTCCAGACTGGCTAATGCCTGCTGCTAACATGAATTCTTGGCGTGTATGGTGTTCTTTTCGATTTGTAGTATACGCAGGCGACTGAATGACTCAGTCAGGCGACAGAATGACTCAGTCTTGCTTGGGTATTATTCTATCGGTTTAGATAGAATACGTCCACGTCCTGCCCTTAGGAAGGAAACTATGTCGACGTCCCCTACTGGTAGGTTATGATTGCACAGACCAGTAGAGGACGTCGACGTAGTTTCCTGCACAGAACTTTTGTGCGAGGTTTACTTTATCTATGTAGACTCCGACTTCAAAGATCCAAAGTAGATGGTACCAAAACTTTACTAGAGTGACAAGCAACATGAATGTTGAGAGACATCTTGTGACAAGGGTGAGAGACATCTTGTGACAAGGGAATAGAGAGTGGATGGAGAAGAGGATGGTTTTGACGTTGTTTCCCTGAGAAGAAGAGACTTGCATACGCATATGCATTTGGATCAACGGTTTTGATGTTGTTCCTTTAAGAGATCCGAACCACTGGCAATCTTGAAGAGATCCGAGTGCACTGTGAGTTGCAATTTTGAGTAAGTTTGAATTTTGAAGACTCCATCTGTGCAGGATCCTTCATTACACCGAACAACCTATTACACCAACTTTTAGGGTTAAGTCAATACAAGGTGACCTTGTTCTTGTCAAGAACAAGTGTAGAGGACTTAACTTTTTTCGTTTGAAATACGAGCATACTCTGAAGCTAACAACAAGAGACTAAGAAAGATCTATTTGATAGACAACAACTAACTTACAACAAATACTTCAACCACGAGTGAGAGGTATACATCTCTCGATTTCATCTGATATCGACATATCTGCAACTCTCTAAGAGTATCTTCAAGGGATATTCATTGAGTATCTTCAAAGATGAAGGGGGGACCTCGCATCGTTCTCCTTGCCTGCCTGGGAGGCTCTTGGGCCTTGGACCATGAAAAAGTTGAGCAAGGAGGAAAGGAGGAGTTAGATGCACTACAACAGGAAAAAGTGAAACTACTCACCGAGCTCTTGCAGCAGAAGAACTGGAAAAAGCTGGGACTAACTATATATGAGCAGAGCAGCAAAACACCAAAGCCAGTGTGCAAGTATCTTCCCGATAAGATGTTCAGAGATATGGATAAAACCGATGCGCACTCGATTTGGTTACAAGAAGAAGCCTGCGAGGGCAGTCGCTACTTTCAAAGCACCACCAAGCCACAGGAAGCAACTGCAGCTAATCCTCCTCACGAAAGCGACGACGTCGCGCCGGATGAGATTTAAGGCTGTCACAATGTACCTACTCAAGAAGCTGTAAAGGTAGGCTTATCAGATTCTATGAAAGTGACTACATGTTGTAGCTGGCACTTAACCTCGTGGGACGAAATAAAAAGCCAGACTTGAGCTAGCCTTTGGAAATGTAGAGCTTGTTGAAGGTATATGTCTGATGACTCCATTGTCAAGAAAAGACTCGTGGTTGAGATATGATTCAGGGAACGCAGCATGGGTTCCACGGATGGTTCTAATTTCATGAGCATGCAGAGGCGCAAGATCGGTTGAAGGGCGCGACTTTGCAGTTTCTATCTTCGGTTGCCGGCGATGAAAGTGTAAACATTTATTCGGCCACGCTGCCTCACTCTGCGCAATCGAGTTAAGGCCCTGTAACTATAATCATTTCTTTGATGGAACGAGAGTTGTGCATGACGATCGATCCATGTACAACGTTTGGAGAACTTGCTAATGTCGTGGCATATCGCCAATTTGGGTGAGTCAGAAATTCAAAGGTAAGACTTTTATCATTCTGCCTGCACGTTTAGAGACTATTTCATGATCACTAAAGAGCTGAGATATTGCCGGAGATTGAAACGTGCTCTGCATAGGGCTCTAATTTTATGGGGACACTGAACAGTATGGAGGTAAACATGAAGTGGTACAGTTGAAGCACATGCGAGGACGGATCAGCATCACAAAGCAAGCTCGGTTACGGATGTGAACCACAGCTCTCAAAAGATTTCGTGGAAGTTTCTGAGTAGTTTCCACTCATTCCTCTCACTCGGGACAATATCAATAGCGTTCACTGTAATATTTGATAGTTTGATCTTCTTCATGTTCAAGTTCATGTTCATTTTATACTAATTGCTCACTCTCCCACTACTTATCTAATTAAGATCGGCAACATCCTCGGAAACATTCAGGTTTATAGGGTATGAGACTCTTTCGAGATCGATGAATTAGTATTAGCAAGATGTTGCTAGTTCATCTTCTAATCCTCCTGGAACAAAAGTTTATTACTGCAAAATCGCCAGCAGAGGACGCCCACGCGGCCGAAGGGGCACCTCCGAATGGGGGCACGCCTCTTGTTGCTAAAAGCATCCCAGATGTCTTCGCTGCATTGTTGGTTGATGGCGATGGCGCTGCTGATGGCGAAAAGTCGAGTGTTTTGCAGAAAATCCAAGATGCGTGTGTTAGTCTCCATGTTTTTGGTCTAGAGCCGCGTAAAGACGGCACCAGTGAGTGTTGTGTGGGAACAGAGGAGGCCTTCGTGTCGTTCTCTATGGCGAAAGATGACACGCCAGGCGCCACTGGAAGCGAGGGGAAGGATGAAGTCTGGGTTGATTTCATTCTAGTGCAACAACATCACGAGATGACAAATCTAGCCACACACCTCAAAGATTCCGAAAGCATTGAAAAAGTCGCAAATGCAGGAGATCAAGCCGCGAAGGCCGTTCAGACGCTGCATTCGCTTGGATACGCGCACGGAGACATCAATTTATGGACTACAGGATTAATATTGCACTCCCTATTAAGTACTTGTTATTCTCCTTTAATATATTCCCATTGAGTATCTATCACCGCAGAATCAATGTTCAACCTGACGATTTTCTCAAAACAAATCAGTGTAAAGATGCAACCTCTAACAAAACCGGAAAATTTCGAAACCCCGACTGCGGATGTAGGTGGAATTGCTAACGTGGAGCGTTTATGCCTCAAGCATTTTCATTGTATACAACATTCATGTTATATATTTGTGAGTGACACTTCGTAGTGATATTTTCTGATCGTGACTTGTGTTCATCAACCGCCAAAAGGTGGATTCTTTATTCTTCATCGCTGCATCATGAGATCCTTGTGATTTATTTCTCTCATTTTTGTCCTTCTTTCCTCTCTGTATGTCTGCATGCTGGACGGAGACCAGTTGAACAAGAAAGAAAACTGTCGGTCCAGTTCGCTTATGCATACTTACTGTTTCTTCTCTAACGGTAACGACCGGATCAGAAGTGCGTCTTGTGAATTTCCATTGCGCAGTACCCGGCTACTTGCCGTATCGCCCTCTCGAAGGATGCAGCACGTTTCCCTACCACGATCCGGCTTACCGACCGTGGCGTGATGAATCCAGTGCGTACTTCAGTCCCACTGCTCCTACATTCGCCCAGTCGGACATGTGGCGAACGGGCTTGACTCGACTTTCCTTGCTGTCAAATTCTCAGGTTTTGGAAGAAGACAACTCTGCAATCCTCAAGGTCTGGACCACTTACGATCCGCAGGAACCCGCCTTCAAAGGGTTGGTAACGTTGCAAGAACCACCAGTAGCGCAAGATTCTGGTAGAACAACTACTGCGGACTTCCAGGAGGGATACAATATTCATGACTACATGTTTAGCCAGTTTTGGTGCCCACTCGGAGTTTATACCCCACTAGGGGTGCCGGAATGGGATGACGTTGACGATGTCCCAATGCTAGAGATCCCTCCACCTCCAGGGATCGATGAACGTATCAAAAAAAGGGGAATCACACTTGGCGACTGCGCGCTTGCCTCCACCAACGAATTTAGCCCATTTTTCGTACAGAGGACATGTATTGCTGCTAGGCGGACGCTTGAGGTAGAGGTTCAGGATGTATCTTCGTTGGAAGTGAAAGCTGATGGAAAACAAAGAATAAACGCGGAAACGAAATGGTCGACGTTGTACTCCTTCCTTAAGGCGAACTCGGAACACGCGATGAACTGTGTTCCGTCTGAGCGAGATCTGGGCAAGCTGTTGTCTCCACCTGCAGGCGAGAAGCTGAAAGACAAAAGAGCAGAGAAGGAGGAGGGGGTGGGGATGGGTGACAATGATGATGAACGGCTGAATGAATTCAAGAGGCTGTTAGAAAAGAACACGTGGAACGGGGTGGAGCTAGGTACAGAACGAGAAGCCTATGGTCAAGCGGCACAAGCAGATGGCAAAGGCGTGTGCAAGTATCTTCCCCCGAAGGTGCTAAAAATGCTACAAAAAGTAGAAGAGAAACAACAACAAGAACAGCAACAACAACAACAACAACAACAACAACAACGCCAAGAGCAACTGAAGAAGATCCTGAATGTGGGAGGAGTCAGCACTCCGCAGTCGGATACTCTTAGGAATATCGACCGTGGCAAACTCGAGCATTTGTACTCGACGGACAACGGCGACATTTACATGGCTACGCTGGCAGGCGGTTCTTAAGATTGTGATTTCTGACTTTATTCATATTCATGAACCTTCCACAACCACAGTTAGCAATATTTCAGCTTTAAAGTGAGGCGCCAGCCGGCAAATAGGATTATCGCATCAAACAGTTTTTGGGAAAATAGGATTTGGCACATAACTTTGTATAGCAAACGAGAAAGCTAGACGTAGGGTATGCGTCGCTCTGTATACTGAAGGATCCAGCTCACTCCAGAAAGAATCATGGATATTTCTACGAAGCCCTAAATAAATTTCGCGCACAGTTCTAATCTTCCGCACCGAAGACGTTGGTTACGTTGAAGCACTTGCGAGGGCGATTCCGTACCCAGCGTCAAAGCCTCATAAGAAGAGCGCCCCCAGCTTCCCAACGATTTCGTAACAATTTTCCAGTTATCAGCTAAGGGAGTTTTCTGAGTGTCTTCATGCTCGGACTCGCTTTCCGTCAACGTGCATTTTCGCTGCGTGTTTGTCCTTTTTGCAGTCCTTGCTGAAAAATATTCCTACTCACACAGCGTA